TGGTTTTTTTTTTTTTAATACGAAAACGACGTCGTTTTGGTGTAAGACGAAAAAAAAAAAGATAAAGCGCAAAACGACGTCGTTTTGGTGTAAGACGAAAAAAAAAAAAAATAAAGCCCAAAACGACGTCGTTTTGGTGTTAGGCGAAAAAAAAAAAAAAGAAAAAAAAAAGAAAGAATGCCACGTGTTAAAGGCTGGAGATTGTCCAAACCTTATTAGTTATGCAGATTCCTAAAGCCAACAACTATTAAACTAATAAAACGGTTATTAACCATACCAAACTCAAACAACATTTGAGTCTTTTAATAAAAAAATACAGCTTAAAATAAATCCACTAGATTGCCTTTGAAAAATCTAAAGAAAAAAATACAAAATTTAACAGAATGGAGAATAAAAAAAAAAATTGTGGAGAAGAAGGCTGTAGTGGAAATCATGTTGACCCAACAGTATCTGCTTCGACGTCACCTTCTTCTTCACCTTATTCCTTTCGTCTCCCAATCACACTTTTTCTATATTTCTCCAATCTCTTCTTCGCTTCCAATAGTTTCCCTCTTCTTCCTCTCTGTTACTGTAATCGGTGAGTATTTTGGTTTCTTACTCTGAAATTTTATATCTCTTTCTATATTCGATTCTCGTGAAAGATATTCTGTGTAGTTTCCTTTAATTGTGTTAGAGGGTAGAGGGAAAAAGTCGAAATTTCATCAGATTTTGCTTCGTTTGTTCTTCCTGATATGCTCTGTTGTTTGATCGCATCGCTGATTTTGACTAAAATTATCGATCTTTTCTTCATTTCATTGTTAGGGTTTGAGTGTCTTCGTCGTCAATTTCATCTGGGTTTTGTGCCAATCGAAGGAATATGTGAATCTTTCTCACTCAAAACGAATTTGAATTTCCAAGCCTAGTAAAGTTTCCTAATTTAGTAATGCATTCTAATTTAGGAACTGCTTAGTCGTTGTGGTTGAGGAAAAAAAACAGAAGCTTGAAATTGCTCTTTGTACTGATTTATAAAGTGTGACACTTTTGTCTCAGTTTATTCAATTTGCTGATGGATTCTTGGAGCTACGGTGGAAGCGTTTTCCTGGCTAATGAAACTCTTCTACACTCTGATTCTTTCGCTGAGAATCGAAAAGCCATGGCTGGATTTGAACAAGGACTCTGTAACGAGTTAGAGACTGATGATGATGTGTTGTTGATGTCTCATATGGCTGGTAAATCCAATGGAGCTATGGCTACTTCTTCGAGTTTGCTGTCCTCTAGTGTAGCCACTCAAGAATTGACTAGGATAGATTTCAAAGTTAGGAGCTTTCTGGATTATGGGAACAACAATGATACATCATCCTCTAAAAAGCCTCGAGCTTTAAGCTCGGAGAGACCCTTGTGTCAAGTGTATGGTTGCAATATGGATCTGAGCCATTCAAAAGATTACCACAAAAGGCATAGAGTCTGCGATGCTCATTCGAAGACCTCCGTTGTTATAGTTAGCGGTATTGAACAGAGATTCTGTCAACAATGCAGCAGGTTTGTTCTTCTTCTGATGATCTCATTTTTCTTCTCAAGTTTGACTCTGGCCTCAATAGCTTCTCTTCCTTTATCTTCTTGTCAGGTTTCATTTCCTCTCGGAGTTTGATGATGGCAAGAGAAGCTGTAGAAGGCGTTTAGCTGGTCACAATGAGAGAAGAAGGAAGCCTTCTTTCTATTTCCTACCGAGTAAGCCGCATAAGCTTCTTCGCACGTCTCAAGGTACACAAAAAGTCTCTGCCTTTACGTGATTTTGAACATTAATCTTCCAAATTTTCCTGTAAAGACGTGTAATTTGGGTGTAGCAGGCAACAAGTTTCTTGAAGATTCATCAGTGGATGACTTCTCGTTGGTCTTGCCAGAAGCTTTTTCCGGTGGTGTCTTGTACAGAGTAATGGATGAGCACAACCACCACCACCACCACCGTGCAAGTAGGCTCGTGAGTTTCAAAGATGAACCTACACGGTCTACTTGTGCTCTCTCTCTTCTGTCAGCTCAGTCCCAAGAACATTTCTCCGCAATGCCAAACGCTAGTTTCTCGATCACTCAGCCAAACCAAAATCTTGATCACTCAAGAATGGACTATCATCATCATCAAGTGCAGCCGTCGTGGACCGGTCTAGGCAAGAATGGATCTAGTTCGTGTAACGGAAAAGGATCATCTACGGTTGATCTAGTGCAGTTGTCGTCACATCTTCAAAGAATAGAGCAGCAGAGGAATGTGAGTGATGAGGTTAAGCAGGAATATAATGAGCTTTATTTCCCCGGTTAACAACATTCTTATTTCTTTAAACCGGTTGGTTTGATTAGATTGTGAATTTGGGATTTAATGATGAGATTTTTAGATTAAGGGAGTGAAAGATTCAGATTTATAATATTTTGTTTATATGATCTGATCTTTTGTTTATAATATTTGTTCACCAGTCTGAAGAAAATGGCTTTCAGATATCCATGCGTCTGCTTATTTAGCAGTGTTTCAGTTTCTGTTTTTTTCAGACAATTTGTATAATATTCGCTGAAAAAGTTGATATGCATTTTTGTTTTGATCTATTAGTCATGTGAGATTCTCGAAATGGACGTTACGATGTTAAAAGTTGTAGATCTTTCGAAGATAAATTTGTAGTAGATAGAGACGAATAATGAGCTGAAATTTTTGATAGGATTAAGACAAAGTTAAAGTTCCGACATAAACGTCAAAGCAAGTAACGTAACTTTCAAATCTAAGACAGACAGACATAACAGAAATATAATAAAGTCATAAACCAAGGCAACAACATGAGACATAACAAAAGACAACACACACCAAATTAAAAACTACAACAACACAACAACAGAAGATAGGGAAAACGACGCCGTAATAACCATTCGTAGGAAAGGTTTGGTCTTGCACACGTGCGTTTGTTATTTTTAGTAGGAACAATTGTGCCATCTATAGATGAGACAACACTACAAATTTTTTGAGTGTTTACCTCATTTTGTTTCTTGGCCGCCTCGGCTGTTTGAGCGATTTGCACCTCAAGCTTTTGAACGTGAGTAGAGAGAGACCCAAACTTGCTGCTTAGATCACCAAACATGTGATCAAGCTTCTCATATAGGTTCTTGGTGATCAATCTCTGCTCCTCCATGTATTTCTTCAACGCCACGTCAACTTCTCTCCGGTTTGGGTTGGATTTGTTTCTTGAGAAAAAGTGAATGGTTGCTTCACTTGGTACATCCCTCTTGGATAGACTTGTTGTGGCTTGGATTGGTATTGGCCTCCTTGATACGCTCCTTGATTGGGGTAGACTTGGTCATTTGGATTCTCCACATTGTTGCTCCGGTATGATAGGTTTGGATGCGCGCGAAATGGTGGATTGAATCCTCTATTCCCATAGTTTCCTCCAATGTAGTTGACTTCCTCTAGATTCTCTTCAGTGCCATCTCTCATGAAATCCATAAGAGTGTCTTCATTTGTGGCTAGGGCATCTTCAATGGCGTGAACTCCTTGTCGGCTTTTAAGTAGTTGTGAAACCATGTTCCTTAGCTCCGAGATTTGAGCTGATTCTGATGAGCTCGTGGTCTTCACGCTTCTATTGTAGTCAGGGCATGCATTGGCATCACTAGCAGCGAGATTCTCAATCAAAAGCTTTGCCTCCGGCACCGACTTGGTCATGAAATTACCATTGCTCGCGGTATCGAGAGAAAGCTTGTATTTATGATCAATCCCATTGTAAAAGATGTTCCAAAGGTTACCTTCTGAAAAGCCATGGTTAGGGCAGCTTCTTGTGTACTCCTTGAATCTCTCCAAAGCTTCATAGAATGACTCCATTGAATCTTGCTTGAAACCAGAAATCTTGCTCCTTATAGAGTTGGATCTTTGCTTAGTGTAGAATTGGTTCAAGAAAGCTCCCTTGTATTCATTCCATGTTGTAATGGACTGAGGTGGTAAAGATTTTACCCATCTTAGCGCCTTGTCACTTAGAGAAAAAGTGAATAGCTTGCACTTGAAGTAATCCGGCGATACTCCATTAACACGAGTTGTGCTACATATCTCCTCAAAGGTGTCGACGTGATCAAGAGGATGCTCAGTGGGCAAACCATGGAATTGGTTTTGCTTCACCAAGGCAATGATCTGCGGTTTGATCTCAAAATCGTTCCTTGGAGGTAGAGGCGGTCGGATTGGATTCCGATCCATAAAGAAAGCGTCGGACGAATCAAAGTCTCCCATAGTTTGGTGCCTTGGATGCTGCGCGTTTGGCACTCTCCTTGGAGGTGCGTGAGGTTGGTCTTGAGGCATCCCTTGGTTGTCACCGTGACGATGATGTCCATTTGCAAACGCCGGTGGTGGTCGCGGCGGGTTAAGAGGTGGCTGTAGCGGCTCAGCTGCATCGGGCGCGTTCGGATTGGGTGGAGGAACGTCTCTGGCCGGTGCTGGCTGGTCAGCTCTAGCTTCTGCTGGATTAGGAGGATCATTGGCTCTCCTCTCTTGGTCGGGCGGGTTGTGTGGCCTATTTGGCGCGCCTTCTCCGCCTGGATTCATTCTTTCTCTTCTTAGTCGCCTAAGTGTGCGCTCAAGTTGGTCAATGTCAAGATCTTCTTCAATGGTTGTATTTGGATTGGACCTTCTTGTCATGCACCTTAGAAACACACAAAGAGAGAGTTAAGTAAAATTTTTATGGTTTTTAAGATTTTATGAAAAACAAAAACAAAGAAAAGTGAAAGATGAGATGAGCTAGTCTTGAAATCAATCAAGAGGTGTGAAGGACATGTGAGCTAGTCCTCCATGGGCTTCGTTTGCTCGCTTACCGGACATGTCTCGGTAGAAAATAAGTCTAGGCCTCATAGTTGATCCAAATGGCTTCATTCCACTTCGACGTGATGCATGATTCAAGTATCTATCTTTCCATATCAAGATCGTAACTTTTGGACGTCGGAAACTCCTCCGCGCGCGGCCAAACTTCCGAAGCTTCGTTCTGCGCGCAAGCGAGAACTAACACTTGGAGATAAAATGATCTTCTTGACTTGGAAACTTGCATGGATCTTGGTTTAGGGCTCTTTTACTCCTTTTTGCATCCTTTTTGATTATTTCTCCTACAAAGACTTCAAATCCCACAAATACAAGAAAACTACCTCTAAAGGCAAATAATCTTGCAAAAACCGTTTGAAAACATAAGTAATTATATAGTAAAATCATGTAAAATATGGTGATATCATCATCACAGACCCTTTCAGCGGTTGTCCCAAGTTCACTTCCACACAAACCCTCGCAAACCTAGCTCTTTCCACGTTCAAAGTCGTCTGATCGACTCGCAACGGTTTCCCGAGACCCTTAGCGATCCCCATCAAGATAGACCTGTGATAGAAGTTGACTGGTAAGTACGATAGCCGGACCCAAACCGGTGTCGTCAGAATCTCATCTCTCAAGGGGTCAAATCCCGGCGACCACGCCTGCACCAATAAGTAGCTGCCAAAAGCTTTCCATGGACCCCCCGTCAACGCGGCCATGTATTCATCCTCCTCTCCAAACCTCACCATGAAAAAACCTCGAGGGAGATCTAAAACCGTCATAACTCCCTTTGGTTTCCACAACTCCCGCAGTTTCTTCGTTAGCACGAAAATCGGGACCGTCCTCCTCAGAACTTTGACGATCATACACTGCTTCCAGAGTCCGTTCATCGCCTCTAAGACCTCCTGACCAATCTTGATTACCGGTTCCCCTTCCACTCCATTCGGGAATTCAACGCTTAGCCTCTCCACAACAAACGCATCCGTCAGTAAATCCTCGGGGTGTGGTCGTCCTCCTGCGCTCGTGCCCATCACCATCGATGCCCAAGAGACCGCCCCATCCGGCGGTTGCCCCTTCCCCGGAATATCCATCATCGTGGCATCCGTGTCTCCCAAAACCCTAGCGCCGTCAGAGCTCTCCATTCTCCTATAAAAAAAGTATGGACTTTTTTACAGCAAAATATAGAAAAATGCTGAGACAGTCTCTTTAGTAACATACGTCTCACGTTCTCTCTCTTCCTTTCCCCTCTTTTTATTTCTTTTTCATTTTTCTTTAATTATAAGAGATCCACCAGATCTCTGCTGGACATGCTCTTAGATTCTCTAGAATGGAAACTGTATAGAAAAGTATTTGACAAAACTGAACTGGTTATAAAATATCTAGAAAAAAATGAAAAATAAGTTTGAGGAAACGATTACAAGGTTTCTATCATTCTATTCCAAGTGAAAGTGATGATGATCAAGATTTCTTCTACCAACTCACGATGTTCTCTTTATAAATTCTATGAAGTTGGTACAAGCTCCTCTTCGTATCTCGTCCTCGTGTAGTTTCAGATTCCTCAAATAATGGACCGAATTGGACTTCATGCCCGATTTTTGATTGACTTGTTCTCTCCTTTTCATCGGCCTGATTTATTCTCGAGCTCGAACTGAACTTTGTAGCTGAATCGACACTCAGCTAGACTCAGACAAGATCTTGATGGTCTTATACTTCTTTTTAGGATTTTATGAGATTAGTTGAGGACTTTAAATTTAGGCATTAAACATTTTATGGGCCGGATTTATAGAGTGAAATCCAGCTTCAACAATATGTGTCGAAAAAAAGTACCATATAATTGCTGAAGTGAGTGATTGCGATAAAAAATGTTATTAAGGAGTTTGTACAACTGACATAACAATTGAAAACAAATGTAGTTGCAGATACCTATGACTGGTTGACTTACAGATGCAATAATTTTGAAAATAGAGACATTAGAAGTATAGCTCCAAAATGTGAAAAGAGTTAAAAATAAGTTTTCTTTTGTTGGTAATGAAAGGGGACACAAGCCCCCCTTTTATATTATTGAAACAAAAATTATTCTCTTACAAATCGAGCTCGTGTAGAGCCATTAGCGTCCTCAATAATCAGCACTGAAACCTCAGCGGGTGGAGAAGTAAAATGAAAACCTAAAGGTAACGAGAAAGCATAATTCACGAGACCATCGGCCACTCGATTTGCCTCGGTAAACATGCATAACCCGGACTATCCAGTCCCTAAAGAATAAGTCATAGCAAAAACATACTAGGAAGTAGGAAGGACAGAGGGGGTAAGAATCACTAATCCCTGAACGAAGAAAACCCATCACAATCTCTTAATCTACCTCGAGTTCCAATCTCATAACTCTTCTCTCCCATGCTATGTAGAGCCTGTATTACACTCCACATAGCTCTGCGAGTGGAGCTGAACATATACTTATGTTAAGAGCAAACCCACAGACCCATCAGCCACTCTTGTCACGTAACACACCACCAGCCGTAGCCAAACCCAAATTTCCCCAAAATGCTCCATCCGTGTTAATCTTTCACCATACACTCTAGAATCTTTATGCTATATGTTGTTCAACTCTATTTCCCTCCCTCACTTGGTCTCTTGTTCGGGCATGTGCTGCGGCTACTTTGATAGCCATATATTTTTATAAATTTCACTTGATCTTGACATTTGCCTGTTGTTCCAAACACATTCCCGCAACGCCACTTCCACCTCCACTAAGCCGTTATTGCAAAGATGGTGGACCAAATGTATCCCCATATCAGCTTCACTAGGAGAGCACCCGCGCATTGCGGGTTTTTGTTTTTGAGTTTAGTATTTTATATAAAAATTTATATTTTTTTTATCTTAAATTTTATTCTTCTCTCTAACAATGGTAACATTTTGTGGCTTCAAGAACTGCCTAGGCGGCTGCTATGACCACCTTGTAGAACACTGGTTTTAACTAATCAATATTTCTTTGCTGCAACGGTTCTTGACTAAATTGAAATATACATTCACCAGACATATATAATTTCTAAAGAAGATGTACTTTAAGTAAGCAATTAAAAGGTAACTGATTTAACTTTGATTACATTACACTAATAAGAAGAAGTTGAAAATATCCTTTACGATCTGTCCCAAGTCCTAACCCAACGAAATTAAATATTATATCAATATATATGTAGTCAGTGTTTCTAATTTGAAAGACGTGCGACAAACTTATATTGGAACAAAGACTTGTGTTTTAGGAGTAGATTTGTGTACCATCCTAATTTCATTTGTCAAAAAAAAAAAAAAAAAACTTTTGTAACATTAGCAAAAATACTGTCCAGTTTGAAATTGCAATATTTAATTAACTACGACTTTACAAAAAAGCACAAGAATGTCAAGAGGACAAGAGTGTAAGACGTTGAGTTACATAATGTTGTCACTGTTATTATCGTTTGTCTTGGAAACTACATTAGATTTGGAAAGATTCATATATCGTCATTTTCTTAATCAAACTCTTCAAAAAAGCACAAGAATGTCAAGAGGACAAGAGTGTAAGACGTTGAGTTACATAATGTTGTCACTGTTATTATCTTTTGTCTTGGAAACTACATTACATTTGGAAAGATTCATATATCGTCATTTTCTTAATCAAACTCTTCCATGATAGAACAGAGAATACCTCAATTATCCTTCTAGTGCTCCGGTGGATGCAATTACTCTTCCATGAATATTTTATTGGTCATACTTTTTCGATCTTCTCTTTTCTTTTGTAATGCCTCGTTTCAATTTTTGCAGCACAACCATCACCCTTATTTTGATTATTTTTAAAGATGAATATGTGTAGGGGTATATTAACCTCATATATTAACTTGTCACGATCTCCTTAGCTGAAAAAAACAAAGATAAAACAAAGATAGGAGAAACATGTTAAAGTTTCTTTTTAAATACAACATACTGTAGGAAGAAAAAATGTGCGTCTGCATACAATTATGGAATTCAGAGTCTTTTTTTCGTATTATTCCTATATCTAAAACAACGTATATACACATTATGTGGTGTTGAATTTTTGAAAAAGCACTAACAGAGGGTATGAGTAACGAAGAGGAAACCCTGCATTTTTGCTTTTGAATTTTCTCATAGATGGTTAATAGACATTTAAAGCACCAATCAACACCATTAGGCATACTCGAAAGAGATAGATAATTAGTTAACACTTCATTTTTTGCGTTTTTTCTGTGGTATTCTAGTTGGTTTTGTAAAGCAAATACCAAACTGAAGTAAGAATCCTTCTGCTAAGACAAATTCTGAAACACATGAGTCAAAAAACAGTTAATGAGAGAAGAGAGAGAGAGGAAATGCAGAGAAGGGAAATCAGTAATAAGAAAGATTACCTTTGAGAACAGTAATACATTTCATAACTTACTCGGGGGAGAAGAACTCATGGACTTAACATGTCACCTTTGAGCATTTTCTGCCTTTGAGCTTCAAAGAACGTAATAAGAAAAAAAACCAATGAAGAGAACCAAACTTGTTGGAATGATTCATGAAAGTTCAGGAGTGTTTGAAGCTCTTTCATGATTACTATAAACAAAAAAAAAACAAAAATTTCTCAGCAGTATAAACCATCTGAATCACTTGACGTGTATTAGCTGATCACCTTATGACACAGGTGATATCCACAGGGAGTTTTCCGTCTTGCCATTTATGCAACATTTCAATTAGAAAATGATCCTGTATGTATAGAAAGATATTAGATAGAGTCACATCACATACTTCTTCAGCAGGAAATATAAATATTTAGAGAAATGTAAAAGGAGATTTGAATACCTGATTAGAAAGAAGAAGAGCTATCTTGTACTTGGGATCTATAGAAGCCACACGCACAACCGAGTTCATGGCACCGTATGTTTCCGCAATGCGACGAAAATCTTCATCACTTGGTTTCTCGGCCATTTCACCGGATCAAACATAAACTCACTATGAACAAGTAAACACCAAAACAAAATCCTTCACTCAATTACCATTCACTCTCAATGCATTGCTACAGAAGGTTACTCAATATATACCTCCGAGAGTAGAAGAGGGTGTTGTTCTCGGGAACGAAAACATCGTAGCCATGAATGTTACCGCCTTTTGCTGCAATACACAATCTGATAGCTTTGCTAGAATTCCAACAGCATCTTATATAAGCAAATTTCAATTCATGAAATTGATTTCAAATTGATTCAATTCAGCAAAAGCACGAGATTTTCAGGGAGGGGTGTACCTGAGAATGGAAGACATTGACGCCGGGAATGAGAGAGGTGCGAGGGAGGAGGAATCGAGAGACTTGCCGTGAACGATAGCGACGGTTGGCGAGGGAGGCCAAACAAATGCGGAGATGAGAGAAAGGGGATGTGGGTGGAGGTTTTTATACTCAAAGACGGTAATTGAAGGTATTAGATTATGATTTGGAATTAATGTAAACTGGGTCATTATGTTGTGACTAAACCGGAATCAATCTTTTATATAAGTGTGCCGTTGTAACAGTAAATGAATACAACAGAAATTATTTTCCGTCTTTAGCTCATCTTCTCCGATTCTATCTTTTCTCTAATATGGTATCAGAGCGTGAGCTGAAACGCTCACTCGATCCTTCGATTCCTCCGTTTTTCTTCTCTTCTTTTCATTGACCTTAATCGATCGGTGATTCTCCCGGTTGATTTTTTCTGTGGAAGGTTTTTGGTCATTCCGCCAAATAACCACTAATTCCACCTCTCTTCTTCGTTTTTAGCTCCAGATCTACAATAATGGTGGTCGGACGCAAAGTTATTCGCCGTGGTTCACGAACCTCAGCTCCAGCTCGACGATCTTCTATTCCCGAAGACTCGCCTCCAAATTCTCCTCAACGAACTCCGATCCTTCCCGATCTATTCACGGAATCGATCGACAGCATTCATTCACCATTTCATCTCACCAGCGGTGATAATCCCGGTATTTCCCTCATCTCCGAGGTCCTTGATGGTTCAAATTTCGATAACTGGCGTATTGCGTTAACTATTGCTCTCGAAGCTAAGAATAAAATCGCATTCGTTGATGGCTCTCTCTCTCGGCCTATTGAAACCCATCGTCACTACAGAATCTGGTGTAGATGTAACTCTATGGTGAAATCGTGGCTTCTCAATTCCGTTTCGAAGCAGATCTACAAGAGCATCCTCCGTTTCAACGATGCCTCTGAAATTTGGAAGGATCTGTTTACCAGGTTCCATATCACGAACCTTCCGAGATCTTATCAACTATCTCAGCAAATTTGGTCTCTGCAGCAAGGATCTACAGATCTAGCTACCTACTACACCAAATTGAAGACGCTTTGGATGAACTTGATGGGGCTGATTGTGTGACAACTTGTGGTAACTGTGATTGTTGCAAATCCACCTCGAAGAAATCCGTTCATGCTAAGGTTATCAAATTCTTAGCAGGATTGAATGATAGTTATGGCGTAATCCGTAGCCAAATCATCATGAAGAAACACATCCATGAGCTCTTTGAGGTGTATAACTTACTCGATTAGGATCACAGTCAATGTTCTTTCAATCCGGTTCCGAATGCCTCTGCATTCAACGTGACTGTCTCCGATTCATCTCCCTCCGTTAATGCTGCTTCAGCTCCATACAGGAACAATCCAAATCGTCCTATTTGTTCACACTGTGGTTACAATGGTCACACAGTTGAGACGTGTTACAAGATTCATGGATATCCTATTGGTTTCAAGCACAAATCGAAGCAACAATCGGATAAACAGGGATTCTCTGCATCCAAACCTCAGAATAATCAAAATAAGCCTGTTGTTGCTCAGCTTGCTATGTCTCCTGCCGGCTCAAATGATAACAACTTACCTGAGATTATTAATACTCTTTCAAAGGATCAGATTCAAGGGGTGATTGCTTATTTCAACTCTCAGCTGCAAGTCTCTCCTCAGCCTGTTGCAGCTTCTCCGAGTTCTGGTGGCACTATCACTTCCCTTCCCGGTATGGCTTTCTCTTCCTCTACTCTTTGTTTTGTTGGAGCCTTGGGAGCCATAGGGTCCGCCTTATCATCCCAGTCGTGGATTATAGATAGCGGAGCCACTCATCATGTCTGTCATGATAAAACCTTGTTCATGAATCTCTCTGATTCTTTGAATAGAGCTGTCACGTTACCTACTGGTATTGGAGTGAAAATTGCTGGTATTGGTACTGTGAAATTGAATGAGGCCTTGGTTTTGAAGAATGTCCTGTATATACCTGATTTCAGATTGAACCTTCTCAGTATAAGTCAGTTGACAAAGGATTTGGGTTTTCGTGTGGTTTTTGACGCAACTTCTTGTATGATACATGATCATACCAAGGGGCTGATGATTGGTCAGGGTGAAGAGATTTCAAACTTATATGTTCTGGATACCACAACTTTTACAGATGATATAGCTTCTTCTTCATACATTTGCTCACACACTACAAGAAATACGGTGGATAACGTCAGTTTAATAAAGTCATTTTCAAAACCGACGTTAAATCTTAGACAATGAAGTAATTTAACGTCAAAAGTTCAAATGACGTAAAATCACGTCCTTTTTACTAATATCATTAAAACAAAAATTACTTAAATTCTTTTCTGATTCATCGTCGCTGAGTTTCTCTTTCGAAATCAATTAGGTTTCCTTTTACGATTCGCATTTGAATCTCCGTTTGAGAATCCGTATCATCTTCTTCGTGACCTTGCATCCCTAATTCCTTTGAGATCGTTTTTCTCTATTGGATTGGATTTGGATCCGAAGGCACACAATTTCTACTCTGAATCTTCGTTTGAGAATTTGTTTGTCTCCTTCAAATTCCTCGAACTCGAAGATGATGGTTAGTAAAGTAGAATTTTCATAGGGCTTTGTTCTGTTTCCGATTGATTAACCTGATCATAGCTTCAATTGAGAATTTAAGTTAAGATTGTGTGATTTGTAAATAATTCTGTTAAGGTTTTTGGTGACAAATCTCAGATCTGGAGGCGACGCAACTTGATGTTAATCGTAGCCGTAAACCATTTCCTCTACAGGTGAGTCTTCGTTCTGAAATTGTAGTCTGGAATTATTTGCTTCCTTTCTCATATGCTCTGGTCGTCTCTGGCGCTTTATGACCATGTTTAGTTTTATCCGCCAAAGTGACTGTGAGTTTGTAAATCTGGTGGCTTTACTTGAATAAGCTCATAAGCTATGCACATGGCTTCTAGTGCTAATTGTGAGTTTCATTTTGCAGCTCAAACTTGCTGAGATTGGCCATGTCTAGTAGCTATCAATTGCACAACTAGTTCTCATGCTCTATGTTTCTTTAACTTCTTAAGCTATTGATTTTTTTTTTTTTCTATTTTGTTGTGCCATTGAGACGATGAAGTTACTAAAGTTAAAATGTATTTTGTGTACTTATGTTGCAGATGACAAGGTTAAATGAATGATTATCTATTTATGATGCAATTCTCATAGTTCCAATGTTTCAGATTGCTTGGACTTTCTTCTCTATCTGTACCGGATTCATCTGCTTCCAAGAATTTCAGGTTAATCTATTTGCTTAATGGATGCTTGGAAATCGTGTTTTGTTATGCATTCTCGTTATTTGAAAAGTGTCAAACTGTGACACGATGACTAAAGCTCTTCGTTTGTTGATGACACATTTTGGATATTTTGTTGATGGCCGTATGTTCATCATCTTCTTAAAGCTATTCTTATCTTATGTGAAAAGGATCTTGTGTGTTCAGGATGGAGTAAGAGCAAGTTATGCAAAAGGAAGAATAAAAAAGTAACAGGGACCGTATATTCAAGAAGTTTAAAGCGGCAGTCCAATTTTCAAGGAGGGTTCGTATTCTTCCTCTCATATATTTTGTTTCTTAAATTCTTTCTTGGGTTTGTTTCATCTTTAAGAGAAGATAATCAAGTAAAATTGAAACAGAAAGCTGGAGCTTGACTTTTAAGTTCAAGTCACTGGTTCACTTGATGCGTGTTTCCTTTTTGACCAGTGAACGCATTTTTAAGCTGTTCAACGTCAAAAGTAAGTGTTTCTTTATTAATATTTGATTGATAATGCCCTCTTCTTGCTTTTATCATATCTCTTGTGAAATGTTCATCGTTAATTAGTCTTAAGAGAGCCAACTTTTGGTGTTTCTTTATAGGTAATCTCTGTAACGAGTCTGATTCCAAGAAAAAATAGTAGAAGACGCTAAAGACGATGGGGAAATGCAGAAAGATAAGCTAGGAAGAATGTTTATAGCAAACTGATAAAATTATGGATTTTCATATGTAATTATGTATTCATGAGTGTGAAAACATAAAATTAAGTGAATACTTTTTGTTGTGTCGAGATTGATGATTTTAATTTAATAATTGTTATGAGTTATTTTTGTTTTCAGTATTTCCTAATTGCAATTAATTTAGTGAGAAATTGATATTTAATAATAATGCAAAAACAATTTACGTAACTGACGCTAAAATGAGCTATTTAAAACTAACGCTAAAATATATAAAAAAATGACGCTAAATTTAACGTCTGTTTTTAAAATGATGCACACAAAGTTAACGTCAGCGAATGTTACGACACTTTAGTAAATGACGCCAAGTTTTTAAAGTCAGTTTATAAATGACGTTAAGCTAAATAAAAACTGACGTAAAATTCCCTTCTTTTTTGTAGTGACATGTTGTGGTTGATTCAGTTATCTGGCACAATAGATTAGGTCATCCCGCTATGTGTAAAACAAATTTTCTAAAGGATGTACTTGGTCTCAAACAAAGGAATAAAGAAAATCATTGTGCTATTTGTCCTCTTGCAAAGCAAAAGCATCTTTCCTTTATTTCCAAGAATCATCTTTGTGACCTTCCTTTTGAACTTTTACACATAGACACATGGGGTCCTTTCTCTGTACCTACTGCTGAGGGTTACAGATATTTCCTTACCATTGTGGATGACCATACTCGTGTCACCTGGCTTTATCTAATGCGAACGAAAGATGAAGTTTTAACTGTGTTTCCAGATTTTCTGAAGATGGTGGAGACTCAATACAAGGCAGTTGTTAAGGGCGTTCGTTCTGATAATGCTCCTGAGCTGAAGTTCACTTCTCTGTTCAGGCAAAAGGGTATAATCTCGTATCATTCGTGCCCTGAAACACCAGAGCAAAATTCGGTGGTGGAGAGAAAGCATCAACATATACTTAATGTTGCTCGCTCTCTGATGTTTCAGGCTCACATTCCTCTTGAGCTTTGGGGCGATTTTGTTCTGACAGCTGTGTTCCTACTCAACTGTTTGCCTACACCTCTTCTGAATGATAAATCCCCATTTGAAGTTCTGACTTCTAAGGCTCCTGGCTACACTGGTTTGCGAGTGTTTGGTTGTCTTGCATATTGTTCCACTTCTTCAAAGAGCCGCCACAAATTTCAACCTCGTGCCAAGCCCTGCGTCTTCTTGGGCTACCCACCTGGTTGTAAAGGCTACAAGCTCTTAGACTTGGAGTCCAACACAACACATGTTTCCAGAAATGTTGTGTTCCATGAAGAAATATTCCCCTTCTCAACGGGTCAGTCAGATTTTCCTCTTGATTTCTTCACTTTGGATCAAGAATCTTTGAACACTGATAGTCCAAACATGGTTCATCGGGCTGTTCCTGTAGTCGAGGTTGGCGCTCCTATGGTTGTGAACGATAATCCCACCCATGTTTGTTCTCGTTCTGAAGATTCTTGTCCCGGAAATGAAGAGGAACCCTCTAAGAGAGCATCCAAAAGCCCTGCGTACTTGGATGAATACTACTGCAATGTGCAGGATGCCTATATTCCATATCCCCTTGCTAATGTCATGTCCTACACTCAGCTCTCGGACGAATACAAGGCATATATTTGCGCCCTCACATTACTGCCTGAACCTGCTTCGTTCAAAGATGCTTTGAAGTTTGATGAATGGATTCAAGCGATGAACGAAGAATTGATGGCCCTTGAGAAGACTAATACTTGGGATATCTGTTCCTTGCCTCCAGACAAACACGCTATTGGTTGTAAGTGGGTCTACAAACTCAAACTTTTGGCTAATGATTGTTTGGAGAGATACAAAGCACAATTAGTCGCGAAAGGTTATACACAACATGCTGGTGTGGATTTTGTTGATACATTCTCCCCTGTTGCTAAGATGACAACTGTGAAGACTCTTCTTGCAGTCTCCGCGGCTAAGAATTGGAGTTTGACTCAATTGGACATCTCCAACGCTTTCCTAAATGGCGATCTTGAGGAAGAGATCTACATGACATTACCTCCGGGTTATACCCCAAAGGCCGGAGTTACTTTGCCTCCAAATCCTGTCTGTAAGCTGAAGAAATATTTATATGGTCTGAAGCAAGCCTCAAGACAATGGTTTCTCAAATTCAGCTCTACTCTCTTGAACTTGGGCTTTAAGAAGTCCCATGCTGATCACACTCTGTTTATTAAGCGAGTTGATGGTCGTTACATTGCTGCTTTGGTGTATGTTGATGACATTATTATTGCCAGTAATAATGATGAAGATGTTAAGTTGTTGATTGCTGACTTGCAGAAAGCTTTTAAGCTCCGCGATTTGGGTGAACTTCGTTATTTTTCTGGGTTTAGAGATTGCACGTTCCAGCAAAGGCATCTCTATCTGTCAGAGGAAATACACGTTGGAGTCGCTTGAGGAGACTCTTGGTGGTGCCATCGAGGTTGTTATCAAGACTTGAGATCTTCTCATCTAAGTGATTATCCATCTCCTTGGTAGAAACTTTGGTAAAGTGTATCGCTCTCCTATTGTCTTCAATGGCCTCGCCTTGCTTCTTCAAATCTTCCTCCATGTCCAAGCATCTTGACTCTACTCTCTCTATTTGGGTAGAGAGTTCTCCAAGTCTTCCATCTAGTTCGTATCGCGTGAACTCTAGCTTTGTCTCAATGTCGCGGCTAGTTCTTCTTTGGCTCTCCATGAAACCCTCAAGCACGGCATCGAAATGACTATCTCTCCGCCTATTGAGAACATGGTCGTGGTGTGAATGCAACACTGGTCTAGGTGGTTGATGATAAACCGGAGGTCGGTTTTGATGATGATGGTAATGATGCTCGTCTCGGCTAGGTCCTTCAAACGTCGGATGAGCGCGGTTGGGAGGGAACGGATGTGGCACGATGCTTACGGCTGGGTCTTGGTAACTCCGGCCGTGGAGATCGTGTGGGATCAGTGTCCGGTTCCCAAAGTGGATGTTGGTGTTGTGATTCATCTCCAAGTACCTATAAACACAAGATTTAAAAAAAAAAGTTAGTATTCGAAAATACCAAGATCTAGACTTAGTTTTAAACAAGACTATGCAAGTGTTTATGATGCAATCCCCGGCAACGGCGCCAAAAACTTGATATCGCTGCATCTATGGGATGAGTACAAGTAATAATTCCCTAAGACAACTAGTGTTGCAAGTGCACAACATATAATTGTAGTATTTAGGGGTCGAACCACAAGGGATTGGATTTCACACATTACATAATCATAGAGTTTAAATGACTAAGCTAAATCAAAAGATGCAAGGGTTTGTGTTTGTTTAGAACACGCAAAAGAAATAACAATGCAATTCTATACAAGCAACATTATTGAACTATTGAAAACTCTTTTGAAAACATGAGCCAAGTCGATTGAAAAGTTTGTTAAAATCCGATTCTTTTGAACTCAAAACACTAAGGAAGGATTATTCCACTTTCGTGGTTCCAATCCCCTATGTCTCTTAAACCAATGGGCTCAGCTTTCGTTGGTCATTGTAGAGTGAGACATGCATTACATCCAAGTAATGATTGTTCACAAAACTCTTTAGGTCTACTTTCGTAGCCTAAAACGATTTGCCCATCAAATATTGTGTCCGGAGATATAACAAGCTTTTGGAGAGTATATCAACCTAAAATCAAGTCACTAGTTAGCTACTCTAGCAACAAGCATTAAGCATAAATAAAGATGGAGAACCATAGGGTTTCCCCTTTTAACAATCGATTTTCGATGGCCATTATATCACGTCCTCATTGGAAGGATCCATAATTCAACAATGAGTCTTAGATAGTAGATGAAGTCTCATGAATCCTTAGAGAGAGAGGCGGCGGAATATGGACTAAACCACGCCTCACCCTTAGGGAGAAATCTCTACTTCTAGACTATATAAATTGAAACATGCAAGCTATATACAAATGCAAAAGAAGAAAAGAAAGAAGAAGGAGACCACCTAAGTGGCTCCGAACTTTATTGAATAAGTGTTTCTTGTTATGCGGCTGGTGATTCTTATTACAAGAGGCTAAAAGCAAGTATATATAGGTAGAGAGCGGGTCTAGGTCGGCAAAGTTGAGCGCGCGCAGAAGAGGAAAGTTTCCATTTCTCTTTAGCCGCTTGAGCTTGCTCTCCAAGTTCTTGAATGGGCCGCGTTCAGGCCAATGGAAGCTTCTGGATTGAGTTATGCTAGTGTCAAGATGAGCCAAGGCCTTGGGATTAGATTATGATTTGGAATTAATGTAAACTGGGTCATTATGTTGTGACTAAACCGGAATCAATCTTTTATATAAGTGTGCCGTTGTAACAGTAAATGAATACAACAGAAATTATTTTCCGTCTTTAGCTCATCTTCTCCGATTCTATCTTTTCTCTAATAGAAGGCGAGAAGGCATAACCTCTGGAGTTAAAGCGAGCATTAACCTCTGTAACGGCGGAGGAAGGGAGGCGGACATTCTCGCCGGGAGTGAGTTAATTTTGCTGTGTAGATCTGCGGAGGAGTCCGATTAGGGCGGAGAAGACAAACCGAAAATTTGGTGGCAGGTACGAAAAATAATAATATTTTTAAAGTGAACCTGACGTAGTTTTGGTGGCAGCTATGAAAAATAATAATATTTTTTTCTAACTAAATAAAACGACGTCGTTTTGGTGTTAGACGGAAATTTTTAAAAAAAGTCAGAACGCTAAACGACGTCGTTTTGGCGTTGGGAGGAAAAAAAAGGTGCCACGTGTCAAATACTGGAGAGTGTCCCAAGGCTTATCAATTATGTAGATTACTAAGATTGTTGTACATCCAAGGTCAATTATGTAGATTACTAAGATTGTTGTACATCCAAGGGAAAAATGTAAAAGAATTTTTCATCCAAAATTTAATAGTTGAGCCATTCTTAGCCTAGATAAAGTCCATCTTATTACATAGAAATAAACAAAAAAATAAGTTTTCGCGAATGTATTAAAAATATCAATTGTTATTTCAAAAATTTGGTCTCCTTCAAATACACTAAAATAGTTATATACGAAATAGTTATATTCCTCAAAAATTTGGTCTCTTTTACATACCTCCAAAATAGTTATACACGAAATAGTAATATTTCAACCGCCTAGTAATAGAACTGTTACAAACACACTGTATCAATAAATTTTGAAATTTTAATTTATAGATCTTGTTCTTTTTTTGTTTCTCCTTCCGGATAATTTGGCAATAACTTGAAGGTATTTAATTTTATTTAAGTAGCTATCATTTTAATTTTTAAAATGGTTCAACTGTCATTTAAATATGATTAAAGGGGGGGGGGGGTAATTGCCAATTCTAGACCACAATTTCATTTTTTTTTTCTAGTAAACTAAATTACAATATTGAATCAATTGCCAAACTAACCTCCATGGGTAGTAAAATTACCCCACACTCCCTCATGACCAAACAAAAAAACACATGCCTCGATTACGATTTTAACCTCCGGACTAGGTAGATCTACCGCTTAGGTCTATATGGTAGACAATATTGGAGGTCTACCTCGTAATAACATCTTAAATTTTAATTAACAATTCAGTAAAAATTATTTTACACAAAAACATGTATGAATAATTATAATATAGACATTATAATCTACCAAAAATATGAATGCATACAAATGAATCATTTGTAGATAAGCAAAGACATGTAGGTTAAAATCTATAAAAATGTGTGAGGTCTATCGAGTAAGTCTATTATGTCATTAAATTTTAATTTTAATTATAAAATTTGAAAACAATATTTTGATGAAAATGTTTTATACGTAAATACAATACACACAACTTGCATCTATATAAAATATAATTTCATAGATTTGAACCAATTGAACTATGAAAAAAAACAAATTTGGTTAAAAGCCTATAAAACCATGAGAAGTCTACCAAATAGGTCTAATAAATCATCAATCTTAAATTTAAATTAAGAATTTCTTTTAAAAATAATTTGAAATATTTGTTTCACAAATAAAGAAATAATAGACATTTAACATCTATTAAAATAAAATATCAGAAAAACTCATGTATCTATAAATATCATGAGTATATAGTTCATAAAGATAAGAGTTTGAGTAGATTGTTTAGGGTTTAATGGTGTAAGTTGTAGGGTTTTGAAAAATTTTAGATGAATAATTGTTTTTGATTGGTTTATTTGTGATATATACTGTAAATTGGCAATATAGCAAGCAAATCGTTGCAAAATTGTATCTAAATTGTTCGATTTAGGGTTTAGGGTAAAGTAGATCTAACAAGTAGACTAATAGAGTGGACCGCAATGGAGGTCTACCAACCGTTTTAACCTAGAGTAGACTGATATCTAAACGATGTTTCTGGTAAATTCGTGGTAGACCGTAGCGGTAGCCTCATTTAAACGTAAGCCGGAAATAACCGGCTCAGTTGTTTGCGTAGAACCGTAAATTGAACGCCTGAACCGATATTATTTGAAATAACAGGCTAATTTGTTGGTTGAAACCTATATAACCAAACCAGTACATCGAACCGACGTATATAAAGCGATTTTAACCCTCAACAGTTAATTTCTAGGTTTTGTTAGAAGTTGGCCAGTCGTCGCTCTTGAGAGGCGATTTCTTCGATTTCCGTTTCCGATGCCGTTTGCTCCGCCTCCGTTTGTTCACGCCGGTAATATCTCCGCCTTCTACCTACTGTCGTTAACCTATCTCCGTTCCTATCTACGTTCAGTCGTCTAACAGTTTTATTGTTCATATTATTTTTCGAATCGGCGCCATCTTTTGTCCGTCGTCTTTGGTCTGCCGTGTGGTGAATTCGTCGCCGTTGGTGTAATAGAGTCAGAGCGCTCCATATCGATCCCCTTTCCTGGTAGTAACTCCGTCACTCTCTCTTCTTACCATTTCGGCTTCGTATAACCACATATAATCTCACCGAAATCATGTGTCTTTTTTGTCGTTAGATCTCGTTTCAGATATCGTTCTCGTTTCTTTGCGATAAGCGCTTAGGACTGTCATTTTCTCGCAGAGGTACAAGTATAATCTATAACATAACCTATACAACTCATATATGTCTTTTGTCTTCGTGATTTCTTCTTGTTTTCTTCTTCGTGATTTCTTCGTGAAATTCATGTTTTCTTCTTCGTGATTTCGGATGAAACGTGATAGACCTTTGTGGTACTGGTAGACCTTTGTGATAGCCCACTTAGATTTTCCTTTTTGTCGTTGTAGAATGGAGAAGCCTACCTTTCTAAGGAGGTTATACACAAGAGGAGCTGAACCGGAAGCCCAAAAGAACATTTCCTGTAGCAGCAACGACAAAAAGCTGTTTACTGCCGTGAAACAACTACTGAGTGATGCCGAGTGGGTAACACTATACAACTCGCGAGTTGGTGTCTTCTGCAAATTTCACGACCTCAAATTCGAGTGGTCTTCAAAGTTGGTTCACAGAATGCTCTCATATCAGTTAGAGTGCAAGAAGAAGTATGAGATCTGGAGTGCGGTTGGGGATAGCCCGATGAGATTTTCCTGCATGAGTTTGGACGTCTCACAGGTCTCAACTACGACTATGTGGAGGATGTTTGGTCCGAGTAAAATGGAGCTCATTCGTGCATGCCAATGGGCAACAGACTGGCCGAAAGAGGACAAACTTAAGCTTGGTTACTTGACCATCTATACTGGCTTCATTGCTGCTCGGAAAAAAACCTCGCACACTCGTGTGAGCCTGGTCAGATTAGTGATGGATGAAGAGGAGTTTGAGAATTATCTGTGGGGGCATGTAGGTTTTAAGAACCTGATTGAAGCCATCAAAGAAGCAGAGCTATGGAAGTCTGGGTATTTCCTGGATGGGTTATTTGTGGTTCTACAAGTATGGGCATATTGTTTCATGCCTGAATTCGGAGCCAGTCCTGGTGCGCCCATACCAGACGCTCCAAATACTCCGCTCTTGGCTTACAAAGGAATCCAAGGGTTAAGAAACATTGAACTCATGATATTGAAGCAGGTACAAACTTCGTTTACAAAATAATGTAGAAAGTAGACCTCTATGGTAAACCAGTATGGTAGACATCTATGGTAGACCAATGTGGTAGACATCTATGGTAGACCTTTATTGTAGAACCTATTGAGTAGTCAGATTAATTAACTTTGCCCTATGTTTGTAGGTGAACTTTGATCACTGCATAATGGTGGAGAGAGACTTTGTTTACCCAAAGTGGGATGAGCATAAAGAAGATCCGCTCGTAGATAATCTCATTAGGGCACTGTACGGAGAGCTAGGCCAGTGGAAGAGGAAGCCGGAGGACTGGAATCCTCAAGGTGTTCTGGTCAAGAATTCTAAACCCGCAGAGTCTGTAAAGAGGAAAAGATCCTCAGACCATGGAGATGAAATGCAGAAGAGGCTGTGTCCTGAGAGCGTTTCCCTTGCTGAAGATGGCTTCAGTCGCTTCCATGAGAAGCTGAAGTTTCTGTTTGCAGATGGCTTCAGTAAGTTGTCTGCGGATATGAAGTTGGGGTTTGAACAGTCTGATTCAAAGTTCACGATCCTAACTAGGAAGGTGGTCCGCATAAAAAAACCCGTCCAGACTATGCAAGTAGCATCAAGGCATCTGGACCCCGAACCTGAGGCGCCTAAACAGAAGAATGAGCTGTTTGGTGAAGAGGGTGATGCTAGAGCCGAGGAGAAGGCTGCCACTCCCAAGAAGGACAATCGTAAGGAACTGTTTCAGACGCCTTAACTGAAGGATGAGGTGTCCGGTGAAGAGGAGGAGGAGGCTGCATCCGAGGAGAAGGTTGCCGATAACACTGCCGAGAAGGCTGCCACTCCTAAGAAGAACAAAGCTCCAGCTCGGGTTAGTAACAACCCCTCTCCCAAATCTTCGTCTAGGAAGAAAAATCAGCCTTCAATATCTACTAGGGTCCTTCGAGATAGGAAGCAGAACCCGAAGTACTTGTAGTTTAGTCTACCGCTGCTGTTCTTGATTTATCTTGTTTCTATATGTGTGAACCTTTTTACTGTGTATAAAACAATGAACTTATTTGTTTAATTTATACATATGTTTACCAGAAGTACCAAATATTTATGTAAGCGTCGTTCATTAACATTTGCAGAAAAAACAAGTTCTATCTCCATGCGGTAGTGACAATGGCGTAGATCCGGACCTTATTTTTGTTAAGGAGTATACACCAACAAAAGAAGAGGAAGCGGAGGACACAAAGCGGATGCAACTAAAATAACAAGCATCAATAAATCTTGCACATGCAAACGTACAGAGACAGCGACAGCTGGCCGCTTCACAACGGTCTCCGTTTGTAGGAGATAGCACAGTGAAGGGAATCATTCCTAACAAGTCACAGCTTGGGTTTGGGTACAAGGAGAGGCTCGCACAGATGAAGAAATAGTTTAAAGGCATTTTGTAAGTATTCTCTTAAACTTCCTCTTAGTTATATGAGCTATCCTAACTTTTTTGATTACCAACTATGTTTTTGATGTATTCTATCAAGTGGCCCTAAGAATTTGACATCTTCCCTGAACCTCAACTACACTGGTGGCAAGAATTGGTCGTGCAGACGCAATGGCTCGCTGATACGGTAAGTCGACTATTATTGTAGACCACTATGGTAGACCATAATGGTAAACCGAAATGGTAGACCAATATGGCAGACCTTTATTCTGTTTTAGTCTTCTAACTTGACTAAGTATTTCGCATCTTTTTTTCAGCACATGGACGCAATAACGAACCTGTTTCGTCAGCGTATGAAATTGCACCCGGAGTGGTTTAGGAGTGATCAAATTTTCTTTGGTGATAGTGCTCCTAGTATGTTGTGGACGAGAGACAAGTTCGAGAGGTTTAAGAATTTTGAGCCAGATAGACATGGACTAGGAAAGTGGCTCCCGGGAGGTGCAACCGACTTATTTGAAGGGAAGACACCACTTTTATGCCAAATCCTGAAGAAATGGGAAGTAGATATTGATGAGATCTACTTTCCATGGAACGTCAAAGATAATCATTGGGTGGCGTTGATGATTTCTTTACCTAAAAGGCATATTACTGTGTGGGACAGCATTCCAAACTATCTGAAGGAGAATGTGTTATCTGCATCTATCGAGCCTGTTGCTGTCATTGTGCCTTATCTACATCGGTTCATGGCTGACATCAATGATAGGTATAGGTATTCGTTCGCCCATTTCACCCACGAGTATATTTCTGGAGGAGATGTGCTTGCGCAAGACAATGCAACTGATTGTGGAGTCTACCGTCTAAAGTTCATCGACTATCATAGTCTTGGGATGCTTTTTCCGAGGACGCTATGTGGTAAGAACATGAGAGCTATCAGAGCAAAGCTTGCAGCGGAAATACATCATGAGATCAACTGTCGCGGACCTCTGGAGCGTAATTGGGATGACTGATATACCTCTATTTTACCTACTTTTTATGCTATTTTACTATGGTTTTCTAATGGTTTTCTAGTGGATTCTTGTGTTAAAAGGTAGTTTTTATGGATTTATAGTGCAAAGAGTCATTTTAGGTAAAAAGGTGCATTATGGAGCAAAACAGGAGATTTGGACTCTAAACCAGTTCAATGCCCCTGCATCAACTTTGGATGGAGCTAGAAAAAGATCTACTCAATGGATTTCATCAAGACCAGTTCCCTGCGTGCTCTGATTGAGTTAACTTTCCAACGCAACTGGAATGGCCTTCATTTGGATGAGTAGAAAAGGAGTTATAGCCAAAAGAGTGAAGGCTGCTCCAGACGGCTATATCGAGAATCAGCGTCCGAACGCGCAGACCGGCTGGCCGAGGAACGATGTTCCGCGCTCGGCCAAAACATATCCGTCCGACTGAAGTCTCGGCCAAAGTTCCAAACCACCGGCCGATCACGCATCACGACCCGGGAAACATTGTCCCGCGGTCGGCCAAGCAACGTCACGCCAGCCGCGCACGACCATGCCGCGCGAGCCGGGAAACAAGCCTCGCGGCCGCGCAACCCGTTCGCGTACCACGGCCGATGCATCCGTCCGAGCCGGGAAGAACGTCCCACGTCCGGCCGAGAAACCATCGGCCAAATCTCTATCCGCCGACCAAGCCGGCCGACCATGAAACATCCGGCCACGACCGTTCCGACTCGGCCAAGACCCGACTGTCCGGCCGATCGTCCCGACCGACCGTCCGAACGCCGCGGTCGACCCGAAGCCGTTTTTGAAGCCCAATCCGCACAATTCAAGCCCAAAGCCGGCGCCGACCTAGCTAGATTAGGTTTAGCCGCTTCTTATACTTAGAGCATTATAAATACTTCTTTTTAGCCTTGTAACTCAAGAAGGAGAGAGACCACAATCTATTTTACATCTTAATAAAGTTTTGCTTGCTTTTACTTTGTTCTTGCTTGTTACTCTTTCTAGAGAGGATTCGAATCTCTGTTCTTATGAATATGAATTCGTGTTCCTTCTCTATGTCTGAGTAGTTTACTTGTTAAGTGATAGGAAGTCAAAGGATAGCATTCATGTATGCTTGATGATTGATCACAATTAGGGTTTTACTTATAATCTCCATCTTTGCTTATACTTAATGCTTGTTGTTAATCTGGCCAATTAGCATATGCCTTTAGGTTGATTTGAGCCTCGACAGTGCTGTATCATTCGCCTGAACTAGTATTTGGTGGGCAATCTCTTTTAGACTGCGACAGTTGATCTACTTGTAGGTTGTGAACAATTGATCTTGATCGAACTAATGCTTGATTTAATCACCTAGGGACATACCAAAAGTTTAGCGACTAGGTAGATTAACAAAGGGGTCGGAGCCTCGACAGTGGAATGATCATACCATAGTGTTTCAAGTTCTAGATTAGCACCTAAGTGCGGTAACCCTAATTGATTGATTTCATGCTTCTTGAATTGCTTATCTCAAGACTATCCTATTGCTTAGCCTTTCTCTCCTATTGAATTCTCACTTTCTTTATTACTTGCATGCTTTACTTTCTCTGCACTCAACCAACTTATACTTTTGCCCTAGCTTGTTCAAACTCATAACTTGTAGTGTGCAATCTGGTCCTTGTGTTCGATACCCGTTTACTACTTCTGACCTGTGCACTTGCAGAATCAGGGATAGGAAAGGGGAAGACCTGATCCCGCGATCAAGTTTTTGGCGCCGTTGCCGGGGACCAATTCGCACCTACAAGCTCTTGCAAGAGAGCTAGTCTAGGGTTTCATCTTTTCCTTTTTGCCCTTTTTTCTTTGATTTGGTTTTTCCTTTTTGTTTTTAGCTTTTCAGGTTTTCCTAGTTAGATATGGAGAAGGAGCCACAAGCCTCTTCCCCTATAAAGGCGATGCCAATTCGCCACATACCACCTCAAAGCACCTCTTGAGCGAACAAGAGATGTTAAGCCCTCAAGCACCACCACCTTCATGGGATAGTCCTCCAAGACCATCCACTTTGAAGACAAAGAAGAAACTTCTTCCTTACCTTGAAGCAGCCGACCTGGAGACGTCTAGCCAAGCCGCATCACACCAAGAAGAGTACCTTCTAGCCACACCAGAAGAGGAGATTAACCCTGAGCTGATCGAGTTCGTGAAGAGAGATCAATTCCATGATCTGTTTTCAGAGTATGCACTGGAGCACATAGATCACTTTGACAATCTTTGTGATTCCTATGGAGTTTTTGACTTTGAGAAGAAGATGATGCTATTCAGCACATCACTAGCTGGACCAGCACTAGATTGGGCGCAGCATGAACCACCTCTACAATCGAGTCATGGATCGATTTTAGAGAAGCTTTCTTGGAAAGGTTTGCAAGAAGCCACCTTTCAAATCCAAGTACCACCACTACTCTCATCAGCTGGAGAGAGAGCGTGATGAAGAAGAATGGGGAGGCATACCCACCTCATCCTGAAGTTCTGAATGAAGAGCTAATCAAGCATGTGGAGAGGAATCCTTTCTACAACTCTATTTCAGAATGTGCAAAGGAGCATCTATGCAACTTTGAGCAGCTTTGCCATGACTATGGACTTGGAGACAACCCCAAGAAGATACAACTTTTCCAACTATCTCTAGCTGGACAAGCCAAAGACTGGGCTAAGTTCAATGCCCAACATGCTTTCAAGACTTGGAATGGATACAAAGGAAGCTTTCCTCCACAGATTTGATAAAGGTCCTGTTTATGTCCCACCACCACGCCCAAGCTATTCACATCACCATCCATCATCACCAGACATAAACAAGACACCACTTTTCCCAAGGGAGAGCTATCAAGCTGCGCGCCAACCAAGATTGAAGATGCTTCAAGAGTACTTGAGAAATCAAGAAGAGAGTACAAAGAAGATGGAGAGAAGAATCGATTTCATCCATGAGAGCCTTGGAAACAAATCTGAAGTCCTATTCAAGCAAGTGATCAAGCTTGATGAAGACATTAAGAAGTTAAGAGAGGATCATGATCGATCTTTGACCCTAGTTAAGCTTGATGTTGCTTCCAAATATCAAGAGTTGCTGAACAAGAGCATGAGAATTGAAGATACTAGCTATGGCAATAGCAAACATCTTGGATCAATCTACAACCGCCTACAAGCCCTTGAAGGATCATCTCATGCCAATTACAAGAGAGAGAGGAGTCCAACACCCAACCACCCTCCCTTTTATTGCAATGCCATCACAAGAAGAAGCACTACTCAAGTCCATGAAGGACAATGAAGAAGAAGAAAGAGAGTATGAGGAACAATTGAATGATGAAGATGAAGAGCAGAGCATCGACATCAATGCTTCCCCAAAACAGAGCATGGATACACCAAGCCCTAGAGACCCTCGTTTCTCACCAAGAAGTCAAGCTTCTACACTTCCAAGATTGGAAGCAATGCAAAGACCATCACCACCTACTGAAGAAGAAGATACTTGGCAGTATGATCCCATTGATCCCAACAAGATAAGCCCCATGAAGCTTAAAGAGTTCAATGCTAAGGTGAAATCACTTCCATTCTATGTCACTTTTGAAGAAGCTTGGGATAAACATGGTCTAGTGGAGTTCTTTTTCACAACTAGTGAAAACAAAGAAGAGATACACCAACTTTTCAGGAAGGCTCGATTTCCCCTTGCCCCTCATGGAGTCAATCAACCACCATCACCACCATCATCACCACCACCCAGTGGTATGTCAATTCCATATCAAGAGAGAAGCTTGCTGAGTTCAATCAGTTTGTCCAAACTCTTCCAGCCAGCATGTCTTTCAAACAAGCTTGGCGCCACTACCCATTCACCACCTTTTTCCACAACTGCAAGGAGACACCTGAGGACATAAAGAGCTTTTTGAGAAAGCTAAAGTTCAGCCAACCTTCAAGACCCTCTACAAGATTGAAGACCCAGGTCAATTCTCTATTCCCTGTCAAGTAAATGGTCATTACTTTGATAGAACACTATGCGATTCTGGCTCTTGCATAAACCTCATGCCAACCCAAACCGCCAAACTCCTTGGCATCACACGCTTGCAACCTGCTCAAATTAGTATTGGACTTGCTAACCATACTATAGCCAAGCCAAGAGGAGTTGTTATTGATGTTCTTCTAGAGATTGGAGATATCAAGATCCCGGTGGACTTTCATGTCATAAACATTCAAGGAGGATGTGACACACCATTGATACTAGGCCGACCCTTTTTGGCCACTGCTGGAGCTGTCATGGACCTTCCAAACCGGCGAATGTCCTTAGCCAATGTTGACAAGACAGTCTTTTACAAGACCATACCATTCATCTCACCAAACAAGCTGTCTTACCTCATCACTGCCCAAGGCCGCCCAAGAGAGCCACCAGACCACACTCAAGGTCACAATGAGACAAGAACTAAAAGACTATGTCTCAGGCCGTGCCCTTACCCCATCTCCAACTAAGAGATCCTATCAGTCAAGCTAATGACTCAAAAAGAAGCGCTGCATGGGAGGCAACCCATGAAAGGTGTTTTTCTTTACTTTTCTTTTCAATTAGTTTTAGTTAATGTCTAGTTTTGTTTTGAGTTTTGGAAACAGGAATCTAAGAACCACACAATGGTAAAGAAGATATACCACACAATGATAGGAAGTCAAAGGATAGCATTCATGTATGCTTGATGATTGATCACAATTAGGGTTTTACTTACAATCTCCATCTTTGCTTATACTTAATGCTTGTTGTTAATCTGGCCAATTAGCATATGCCTTTAGGTTGATTTGAGCCTCAACAGTGCTGTATCATTCACCTGAACTAGTATTTGGTGGGCAATCTCTTTTAGACTGCGACAGTTGATCTACTTGTAGGTTGTGAACAATTGATCTTGATCGAACTAATGCTTGATTTAATCACCTAGGGACATACCAAAAGTTTAGCGACTAGGTAGATTAACAAAGGGGTCGGAGCCTCGACAGTGGAATGATCATACCATAGTGTTTCAAGTTCTAGATTAGCACCTAAGTGCGGTAACCCTAATTGATTGATTTCATGCTTAGCCTTTCTCTCCTAATGATTTCTCACTTTCTTTATTACTTGCATGCTTTACTTTCTCTGCACTCAACCAACTTATACTTTTGCCCTAGCTTGTTTTCAAACTCATAACTTGTAGTGTGCAATCTGGTCCTTGTGTTCGATACCCGTTTACTACTTCTGACCTATGCACTTGCAGAATCAGGGATAGGAAAGGGGAAGACCTGATCCCGCGATCAATGACTTAGGCATTGATGTACTTGCATTTTACATAGTTTTAGCACATCTTTTATGCATCTTTTGCATAGTTTTAGCTTCCATTTGCATCATATCTTGTTCCTTTTCTCTTCTTATGCATTCATGTTAGTTTTAGGTTGCATTTGCATACATATGCATGTTTGGTCCTTTGAAATAGGTCTTTTGGAGCATTCTGGAGCATATGGGACATGAGGAGCATGGAGGGACTTGGCACATGGAAGCAGCTCAACTGGATACGCAAAGGAAGAAGGGAGAAGCCATCTTGAAGACCAGCTCGACCGTCTACTCGACCAACCGGTCGAGTTCCTCAACTCGACCGGCCAAGCTTCAACTCGATCGAGCTGAGAAGTCAACAGTCAAACCCGAAAAATGTTGCTTCCCCCTTGACTTTCCTTTGACCCTAAACCTAATCCTCTTGTATTTAAAGGCTCTAAGCCACGAAAAAACCACCAAGCTTTAGATTACTTTTGTTTTAGTTTCTTTTAATTTATTGTCTTTTACTTTTTAGAGATCTAATCCCATCTTTGTGTTCTTGAAGCTCTTGCTTCTTGAATCCTAGATCCTGGATAATCTCTTTGTATTTGCACTTGCTTATTTCAATAAAAGTTGTTTAATTTCATCTCCTCTTTCTTATGATGTCTCTTTTATTGCATTTGCTTGTGTTTACATTCATGTGTAGTGAGTAGTTACCCATTAGGGTTTGAGATGGGATAGATTAGAGGTTTCATATGCTTAATCCTTCTAGCTTATGGTCTTAATCTAGATTCTCTCTCTTTTGGATAGATCTTAAGGCTACATGACCACTACCCCTGGCTTGTAAGTCCTTAGGCGATCCCCACACGAAAGTGATGGCATTCGCTGGAAAAGATCCACTAAGAGCTCCAATATCTCTTGCTCTAGAAATAGAGGTCTAAGGGGTTGGATGGATTAGTTTGGGCAATGATCCTATAGCCTCCAAGGTTTGATTCTCACTGGCTAACCCCCTGTTTCTGAGATCATTCCTTGGTTGATAGCCTCCACCTTGGGAAAGGGTTGGCTAGGCATTGAGAAGCCCAATATCAAGAGAAGCCTTGATACAAGGAGTTTTAAGAGCTAGATTGATTAAGTGTAGATTCCTTTGATTGCAAAACCCTGTCTTGAACCCTAATTCTCTCTTATCTTGTTAAAGTCGTCACCTTTAGCTTTGTTTGTCTCAACTCGTCCCTAAACTCGATCGAGCTGGTACTTTGTTCTGACTCGACTCGAGTCTTGGTCGAGCTGCACTTCACTGCTTTGTTTACTTTTATTGCATGCATTTCATTTTTTAGGTTGTTAGTGTTACTTCAAATCTATTACTGCTTGCTTGACTTTCTGGTTGTTTCATATTCTCATAGAGTGACAAGTTTCCCATTTTGGATTGATAACCTCTTATACTACATGACTATGATGGTTAAGAGGAATTGATTGATTGTGATTGCACCATTTCATCTTTATTCACCCTGTTGCATTCCACCTCATATCTTATCATTCTCATATCATTCACATCCACACAAAATCCTATCATCAATTTGGCGCCGTTGCCGATTTGGGAATATTTTTGTTGCATTTGAGTTTCAAACACACTTGGACGATCAAGCTATACCACCCCTGTTCTATTGTACTGCTGGGTTTTTGTCTCTTTTTGCAGGTGTATGCGAACTCGATCGAGTCGGTCTACTGAAGACTTGGTCGAGCTAGACTTACAACGGGTAGAAAGAGGGTTCAGAGGTCACAGAGGGTACAAGAGGAACCTGAGGTGCTTGTTGCTGATACAATGGATGTACCAGAGGGGAATGGAAACCCTTTGGGAATGGACTCGGTCGAGCTAGGCAAACTCGACCGATTGGTCAAGGAGATGCTCCAAACCGCCACCAACAGAGACAAGGGATTGTTCCACCACCAGTGCAGAACCACAACTTTGAGATCAAGCTGGGAATGATCAACCTTGTCCAGAACAAGATGTTCCATGGATTGCCAAGTGAAGACCCCATTGACCACCTTGATGAGTTTGATAGGCTTTGTGATTTGACAAAGATCAATGGTGTCTCTGAAGATGCCATCAAGCTGAGACTCTTTCCTATGTCTCTAGCTGACAAAGCTCACCAATGGGAGAAGAGCTTGCCCCATGGCACAATCACCACTTGGGATGAATGCAAGAAGGCCTTTCTTGCTAAGTTTTTCTCCACCGGTCGCACAGCCAAGCTTAGAGGAGAGATATCCAGCTTCATCCAGCGAAACAATGAGACATTCGCAGAGGCTTGGGAGAGGTTCAAAGGCTACACAAGTCAGTGCCCACACCATGGATTCAACAATGAATCACTACTCTCCACTCTTTATAGAGGATGCTTGCCTAGGTATAGGGAGATGCTAGACACAGCTAGCAATGGGAACTTCCTCAACCAGGATGTAGATGATGGCTGGCAACTTGTGGAGAACATGGCCATATCAACAGAATGCTATGGAGAGCAGTATGAAAGTACAGACTGGAGCTCGACCGCACTCGATCGAGCTGGACGCTCAGATGAGAAAAGACATGCTTGCACTCAATCGAAGTTGGACAAACTGATCCTAGCCCAATTCCCTGCCAAGCATGTCAACTATGTCTCAGAACAAACCTAGTCAAGGACCAGGAAGGGGAGGAGACAACACAAGAGTTTGCTACATTCAAAATAGACAAGGAAGCTATAGGAATCCTCAACAAGGGATACAACAATTATCCAAGCCCCCTGGCCGCACCAACAACAATGTTCCACAAGGCTTCAACCAAGGACTACTCATACCCAACCAAGTCAAGATTGGGATATGAAGGAAATGCTCCAACAACTTTTACAAGGGCAAGCCAAAGGTTCTCTGGAAATGAACAACAAGCTGGTTGAGATACACTCTAAACTAGAGTCATTGACTTCAAGAGTCCAAATCATTGAGTCTTCAAGTGCATCATCCTCTTCACCACAAGAGTATGCCCAAGCAGTTACACTAAGAAGTGGGAGGCAATTCCAAGTAGAGGTAGCCCACCCCAAATCGCTGTGGACATCGATGACGAGGAAGGGGAGGATTTAGTCGACTATGCTGATAACTCGACCCGAACTCGATCGAGCTGGAACAAAACCCTGAACCAGAACTCGATCGAGCTGGAGAAACTGAGACACTGCAAGACAAACCAGAGCTCGATCGAGCTAGAGAAGAGCAGACAAAGCAAGCTCCAGCCAACCAGCTAAACCTGTTGCAAAGAAGAAAGACACTCCAGCAGGACCACCACCATACAAACCCCCTCTGCCCTTTCCAGGAAGGTTCAAGAAACAACTGTTGGAAGCACACAAGGCCAAGTTTGATGAACTAATGAGACAGCTTGAGTTGAAGTTGCCTTCATCGACGCCTTGATGCTCATTCCACCTTATCAGAAATTTCTGAAGGATGCTGTTCAGCAAAGAACCAGGGAAGCACAAGGGATGGTAGTGTTGACTCGTGAGTGCAGTGCAATCATTCAGCGGAAGGTCATCTCCGACAAAAAGGAAGATCCGGGGAGTTTCACTTTGCCCTGCATGTTGGGACCCCTATCTTTCAAAAACAGCCTCTGCGATCTAGGATCATCTGTCAGCCTCATGCCTTTGTCTGTAGCAAAGAGACTGGGATATCACAAGTACCAAGCCTGCGGAATCTCACTAGTCTTGGCAGATAGATCGATAAGGTTACCAACTGGGATGCTTGAAGACCTGCCTTTGAGGATAGGGAATGTAGAAATCCCCACCGACTTCATTGTGCTTGAGATGGATGAGGAACCAACAGATCCATTGATTCTAGGAAGGCCATTCCTAGCTACAGCAAGAGCAATGATAGATGTCTGTGAAGGAACAATTGAGCTAAACTTGGGAAAGGACCTGAAGATGAAGTTTGATATCAAGGATACAATGAGGAAACCAACTATAGAAGGTCAGCTCTTTTATGTTGAGGAAATGGATCAGTTGGCAGATGAGCTTCTAGAAGAGTTATCAACAGAGGATCCCTACAAGTTGCTTTGACCAAGGATTCTTCAGAAGGATATGTGAGCTCAGAAACTGATGAGTACAAGAAGCTCCTTGACACCTTCAGACCAGTTCCAAACATTCTGAGCATTGAGGGATTGGACAGGCCAGTTTGCGAAGTCATGGCAGTGAGCTCGATCAAGAACTCGATCGAGTCGAGTTTCGAACAAACGAACTCGATCGAGCTGGGGACTGAATGCAAGGAGCAAGCTCAAGGAGATTGGTCTGAGCTCAAGGCGCCTAAAGTCGACCTCAAACCTTTGCCTGAGGGCCTCAGGTATGCATTTCTGGGTGAAAACTCAACTTACCCTGTCATTGTGAACTCTGATTTGGAACCTGAACAGTTGAGTGCTTTGCTTGTTGAATTGAGAAAGTACAGAAAGGCAATAGGTTACACTCTAGATGATATCAAGGGGATCTCCCCTGACCTATGCATCCATAGGATTCATCTAGAGGATGAAAGTAAGTCAAGCATTGAACCTCAAAGGATTGAACCCCAATCTAAAGGAAGTAGTGAAGAAAGAGATACTCAAGTTGCTTGATGCTGGGATAATCTATCCCATCAGTGATAGCACTTGGATATCTCCAGTTCATTGCGTCCCAAAGAAAGGGGGGATCACTGTCATTAAAAACGACAAAGAGGAGCTGATTCCCACTAGAACAATAGTGGGGCATCGCATGTGTATTGACTATAGGAAGCTAAATTCAGCATCTAGAAAGGATCATTTCCCTCTCCCTTTCATTGATCAGATGTTAGAAAGATTGGCAAACCACCCTTTTTATTGTTTTCTTGATGGCTACAGTGGTTTCTTCCAAATCCCGATCCACCCTAATGATCAGGAGAAGACCACTTTCACATGCCCTTATGGCACCTTTGCTTATCGAAGGATGCCATTTGGGCTGTGCAATGCTCCAGCTACTTTCCAGAGGTGCATGACCTCCATTTTTTCAGATCTGATAGAGGAGATGGTAGAAGTCTTCATGGACGATTTCTCAGTCTATGGAGCATCCTTCTCCTCATGTTTGTCTAACTTGTGCAGGGTGTTGCAGAGGTGTGAGGAGACCAATCTAGTACTCAACTGGGAGAAGTGCCACTTCATGGTTCGAGAAGGGATTGTGCTTGGACACAAGATTTCCGAGAAAGGGATCGAGCTCGATCGAGCTAAGGTGGATGTCATGTTGCAGCTCCCTGTTCCCAAGACTGTGAAGGACATAAGGAGTTTTCTGGGTCATGCAGGGTTCTACAGAAGATTCATCAAGGATTTCTCAAAGATAGCAAGACCCTTGACAAGGCTTCTGTGCAAGGAGACAGATTTTGAGTTTGATGAAGAATGCCACAAGTCTTGGACCTTGCTGAAGGATGCTCTGGTGTCTGCGCCAATAGTACAAGCTCCAAACTGGGATCACCCATTTGAGATTATGTGTGATGCATCTGACTATGCAGTAGGAGCAGTGCTTGGCCAAAAGATAGACAAGAAACTCAATGTCATCTACTATGCAAGCAAGACTATGGATGATGCTCAGTGCAAGTATGCAACCACAGAGAAGGAACTCCTTGCCATAGTCTTTGCCTTTGAGAAATTTCGAAGCTATATAGTTGGATCCAAGGTGATTGTGCACACTGACCATGCTGCCCTTAGACACATCTTCGCTAAGAAAGATACAAAGCCAAGACTTCTCAGATGGATCCTTTTGCTTCAAGAGTTTGACATAGAAGTTGTGGACAAAAAGGGAGTAGAAAATGGAGTTGCTGATCATCTCTCTAGGATGCGAGTTGAAGACATGATCCCCATCAATGATTCTATGCCTGAAGAACAGCTTATGGCAATCATGATCTTGAAGGAGAGTTTTGATGAGAAAGCCAGGCTGGAAGAAGTTAAGGCTCTGCGTGATGAGAATTTGCCATGGTATGCTGATATAGTGAACTTCATGGTGTCCGGAGAAGTCCCTAGTAGCTTTGATGCTTACAAGAGGAAGAAATTCTTCAAGGATGCTAGGCATTACTATTGGGATGAGCCCTACTTGTACAAGAGAGGACCAGACAGCATTTACAGGAGATGCATAGCTGAAGAGGATGTGCAAGGAGTTCTAGAGCATTGCCATGGGTCAGCTTATGGAGGTCACTTTGCTACATTCAAAACAGCAACTAAGGTTTGCAATCTGGTTTATGGTGGCCTACTTGTTTAAAGGATGCAGCAAGCTACATTGCCAAGTGTGATCCATGCCAAAGGAAAGGAATCACCAAGAGAGATGAAATGCCACTAAACCCAATTCTAGAAGTTGAGATCTTTGATGTATGGGGAATAGACTTCATGGGACCTTTCAAACCTTCCTCAAACGGGCACAACTACATTTTGGTTGCTGTGACTATGTGTCCAAATGGATTGAAGCCATCCCCTGCCCAACCTGTGATGCCAAGGTTGTTATCAAACTTTCAGAACCATCATCTTTCCAAGATATGGCATCCCAAGGGTTGTTATTTCGGATGGAGGTTCCCATTTCATCAACAAGGTGTTTGAAAAGTTGATGAAGAGTTATGGAGTCAAGCACAAGGTCGCTACACCCTTATCACCCTCAAACCAGTGGGCAAGTTGAAGTCTCCAACAGACAGATAAAGGCCATATTGAGAAGACTGTGAGCTTCACTAGGAAAGGATTGGGCAGCAAGGCTTGATGAGCACTTTGGGCTTATAGAACAGCTTACAAAACCCCCATTGGAAGGTCTCCTTTCAATTTGCTGTATGGGAAGGATTGCCACTTACCTGTGGAGGTCGAATACAAGGCTTTATGGGCAGTAAAGATGCTGAACTTTGATATAAAGGCAGCACAAGAAAGGAGGGTAATGAACTTGTTTGAGTTGGAGGAAATCAGAATGAATGCCTATGAGAACTCCATGATCTATAAGATGAGAACCAAGGCAGCCCACGACAAACTGATTCGCCTTAAGACTTCAAGGTTGGGGACAGTGTGCTCTTGTATAACTCCAAGCTAAGGTTGTTTCCCGGGAAGCTAGGTCAAAGTGGGCGGGACCATTCAAGATTCACGAAGTTCTACCCTATGGATCCCTCACTTTACTCAATCAAGAGGGGAAGGAATTCACAGTGAATGGACATAGATGCAAGCCATATCTAGGAATGACCCCCACAGAGGAGATCATCACTCCTCTAGAAGATCCAACCCCGGCCTAAAAGGGGTAAGGTCAAGCTATGAGACCTAAAACAAGCTCACTTGGGAGGAATTCCCATGTCTATCTTGTACATATTTCTTTATCCTTTTATTTGTTTTTCTTGCTAAGTCTCAGGAGCAGGTTTTAGGAAGGAATGGCCAACTCGAGGCACAACTCGATCGAGTCAAGCAAGCTCGATCGAGCGAGGAACCCAGTTGAGTGGAGTGCTCCTGATGGCCGTCTCCATCTCCAGACCACGACCTAGCCTCCCAGTTCTTTGGGGGGCACTGAGGTATCCAAACACCAACCCTTGTATATACCATTTCATATTTTCTTGCATTTGTTCTTGTTTTTTCTTGGTTTTGCCCTCTTGAATCTTTCACTAAATTTTTCTCACACAAGGGACTGTGTGATTTAAGTTTGGGGGAGGGTTCAAGAGATGATTTAACCTTGTTTTCTTTGTTCTTAGTTTTTCATTTATCTTTTGCATAGAAAAACCAAAAAAATCATAAAATTTTCAAAAAATCCAAAAATATTTTCATCTTTTTGCATTCATATTTGTTAGACTTGTTTAGGATTGCATTTTTCACTTGCATTGTTGATTTGACTTTGAAAACTTGTCCATCTTTTGCGATTTCTTGAGTGCCCTGTTTTTAGATTCTTTTGTGCATTAGGGTGAGATTGATTGAGCAGCAAGAACCATGTTTATCTTGATCATATCTGCATGCACATCTCATTCAACCATTGCTGTGATTTGATGCATTTCCCTATCTATTTGAACCATAACTTGATCTTTAATTACCAATGCTTGCATTTGATTTCAACTCATGGCTACCACATACATATCTGGACATTCTTTACCATTTTCATATCCCTTTGCTTGTCCAGATAGCTGATCTCTATCTTTGAGACAGTTACCACACCTTAAACCTAAGCCTTTTCATTTCAAACCCCATATTATCTCTTGTGCGAATGTGAGAACCTTTCTTGGCTTTGCTTAGCATAAGGTGTTGTGTTTAAACCGGCAGGGGCAGTAGTTCTCTTGTCTAGGCTAAGTTTGGGGGTGCCAACTCGAGCTCGATCGAGTTGGGTGTAAAAACCAGAAAAGTGGTAAAAGTTGGGAAAAACCCAAAGGAAAAAGAGTTTAGTTAAGTCCAGGGAGTTGGCAGTGTTAAAAAGGGTCTAGTAAAGGTTTGGGAAGTTAAAAAAGGAAGTAAAAAGGGTTCTAAGTAGAATGAAAAGAAGGCAAAGCCTCAAGTGTCAAAAAGGAAAGAAAAGTTCCCTAAGTGTTTAGAAAATCCCAAACCGCTAGATGTTACCTCAAGAAGCCTCTCCCTAGGAAGTTCTTAAAAGAAAAGTGAGCAAAGCTCCTCAGTTTCAAAGGCGAAATGCCAAAAAGGGTAGTTAGGATTTTGTTCTAAAAAGCTCTAAGTGTTGAACTCGATCGAGTTAGGATTAGGCGGCTCGAGCTGCTGTTCTTGCATCATCTTTGGTTCTAACACTTAGCCTTCTGCCAAAGCAAAGCCACTTTCTTGAGAGATCCCTGTTACTAAACCACCATACAAAAGAGACCCTCTTTGTCTCTTAACCCATAAACCCTTGAAACCAAATGAGTTGATTGATCTTGCATGTTTTTGGTTCACTGTTTTTGCTTAATGAATGTTAAAGGGATTTGCTGATTTGAATGCATTGTTTGAGTGACTGTGAAGTGGGATTGATGTTGATAAGCATGGTTAAATCTTAATGAATATCTCTCACCTTGTTGCATTCTAGAATCTCTAAGTTGGACATTTAGCAAATCGCTTTTGAGGACATGTTTTTAAGTGTTGAATCAGCTTATTTTCAAACCTCATCTCTTTCTTGTTCTATTTGTTTGCTTGAGGGCAAGCAAAGTTCAAGTTTGGGGGTGTTGATGTACTTGCATTTTACATAGTTTTAGCACATCTTTTATGCATCTTTTGCATAGTTTTAGCTTCCATTTGCATCATATCTTGTTCCTTTTCTCTTCTTATGCATTCATGTTAGTTTTAGGTTGCATTTGCATACATATGCATGTTTGGTCCTTTGAAATAGGTCTTTTGGAGCATTCTGGAGCATATGGGACATGAGGAGCATGGAGGGACTTGGCACATGGAAGCAGCTCAACTGGATACGCAAAGGAAGAAGGGAGAAGCCATCTTGAAGACCAGCTCGACCGTCTACTCGACCAACCGGTCGAGTTCCTCAACTCGACCGGCCAAGCTTCAACTCGATCGAGCTGAGAAGTCAAAGTCAAACCCGAAAAATGTTGCTTCCCCCTTGACTTTCCTTTGACCCTAAACCTAATCCTCTTGTATTTAAAGGCTCTAAGCCACGAAAAAACCACCAAGCTTTAGATTACTTTTGTTTTAGTTTCTTTTAATTTATTGTCTTTTACTTTTTAGAGCTCTAATCCCATCTTTGTGTTCTTGAAGCTCTTGCTTCTTGAATCTTAGATCCTGGATAATCTCTTTGTATTTGCACTTGCTTATTTCAATAAAAGTTGTTTAATTTCATCTCCTCTTTCTTATGATGTCTCTTTTATTGCATTTGCTTGTGTTTACATTCATGTGTAGTGAGTAGTTACCCATTAGGGTTTGAGATGGGATAGATTAGAGGTTTCATATGCTTAATCCTTCTAGCTTATGGTCTTAATCTAGATTCTCTCTCTTTTGGATAGATCTTAAGGCTACATGACCACTACCCCTGGCTTGTAAGTCCTTAGGCGATCCCCACACGAAAGTGATGGCATTCGCTGGAAAAGATCCACTAAGAGCTCCAATATCTCTTGCTCTAGAAATAGAGGTCTAAGGGGTTGGATGGATTAGTTTGGGCAATGATCCTATAGCCTCCAAGGTTTGATTCTCACTGGCTAACCCCCTGTTTCTGAGATCATTCCTTGGTTGATAGCCTCACCTTGGGAAAGGGTTGGCTAGGCATTGAGAAGCCCAATATCAAGAGAAGCCTTGATACAAGGAGTTTTAAGAGCTAGATTGATTAAGTGTAGATTCCTTTGATTGCAAAACCCTGTCTTGAACCCTAATTCTCTCTTATCTTGTTAAAGTCGTCACCTTTAGCTTTGTTTGTCTCAACTCGTCCCTAAACTCGATCGAGCTGGTACTTTGTTCTGACTCGACTCGAGTCTTGGTCGAGCTGCACTTCACTGCTTTGTTTACTTTTATTGCACTGCATTTCATTTATTTAGGTTGTTAGTGTTACTTCAAATCTATTACTGCTTGCTTGACTTTCTGGTTGTTTCATATTCTCATAGAGTGACAAGTTTCCCATTTTGGATTGATAACCTCTTGTACTACACTAGTAGAGTACCCGCACTTTTGTGCGGTGTGATGTTGCGGTTTAGTAAAGAAAAACTAATATCTTAATCACTAAAACCCGTTTAGAAAAACCGAACAAAACCTGTTAAAAACCATTCTATTTGTTAGTCTAAAAATCTGAAAATTCAAAACCTGTAAAAATTTATTTTTTTTAAAAAAAACTTATAAATCTGGAAAAACTTGACCCGTAAAACTTGACCAAAGTCATGTGTTCAAGTATTAGTTATGAAACTTTCACCCGGAAAAACAAAAAAAAATTGGGAAAATTCGAAAACCCGAGAAAAACAAATCTGAAAAAATTTGAACAGTCTTTAAACCTATAACTCCGAAACTCTAAAAAACTAATATCTGAAAAACCTGACCCGAAACACAAAGTTCCATGTCCACTTATTATCTCCCTATTTGTCAATTTAGTGAGTGATAATTAGCATATTTTGTAATTTTTGATGTTACAATAATTCAATATTTTTAAACATTCATAATCAGTTTTTGAGGATGGTTTAGTGCAATGTAATATTTCTAAAAGTTAAGACATATCTATAGGTCCATTATTAAAACCATGTCGAATGGTGTCCCGTCAATTCTCCGCCACGTGTTTTAATTTCCCCTTCCCCACCTCTGGTTTACATTTGACGCCTCTTCGTCTCATCCTTGCATCTGGGTTTCAATCTTCTGGTGTTCTCGCTCATTGGGATGCTGATAATTGCAGGAAAGCTCCTCAATGGAGTCTCTTTTTCGAAAATGTTGGTTTCTCAATCTCACTCTCACTTCTCTTTCTTCTGCAAAATTGGTTTCAGTTTCTTAATCGGTGAATTACTTTTATCGTAGATTTGAGAATTATCTCTACCCAAATTCCACTATTTCTAAGATTTTTCGTCTGAATCAAGCAATTTTCGATTTTATATTATCACCACTATATTTTGTTTGTATTTTATTTTCTTATTTTTATTTATGTCACAAATTGGATACGGGTTTAATTAAACTACTGAGCATTGAATCAATTTTTGGTTAAGTTGAACCATCACATTAGATTGGAGCCAAACCAGAGTATGGTTTGATTTAAGTTGGCATAGGATCCGCGTCCCAAAACCAAGAAATCCGGGTGGGCTATTCCGAGTTACTGAGTCAACTCAGCCGAGTTGATTTTTTTTTTACAAAATTGACCCTTGTTACCCTTGTTGCCAAACACAGTCTCTTTATAAATAGACTGGTTTTTTGGTCCAAAAGTTACCAATGTACTTCTCAATTAATAATAAAGAGATTGACTATGATGGTTAAGAGGAATTGATTGATTGTGATTGCACCATTTCATCTTTATTCACCCCTGTTTGCATTCCACCTCATATCTTATCACCCTTCATTCATATCATATCACATCCACATAAAATCCTATCATCAGGCATGTAGCTAGCTATCTAGATCGGTATATATTAGTTATTCTGGGTGTTTTTGGGAAAGCGGTCATGGTACCATATTTTACTGTGTACCTAACTCACACTCTAATTATTTTTTGGTGTAACATATAACAAGATAACTTCGATGTAATCCAGCTAATTCTATGGTATAATATAACTGTTTTCGGATAAACCTTAATCATTCGAATAATGCATGGTTTCCGAACATGACGTAGTATCAGATAAAATGAAGAACATAAAACATAGTCATAGATCTCGCTCTCATACAATTCAAGAGAAGATTACTTAAAAACTTGAAAACAGCAAAAAGTAGACTTTTATGGTAGATCGAAAAGGTAGAGCTATTGCGTTGACCGAAACTCAGGTCTACTGATGAGAAGTAGACCGCTCTTCTGCTACCTATTCAGTCTACTAAGTTCAGTCTACCGCTGCGTTGTTCATCGTACAACAGTTGAAAATTAGATAAATCGAAACATGAACAGGAAAGAGAGTTTTCAATGGCTTACACAATGAGGCGGGTGTGTCCTGGAAGCCTGCACAGCGAACAACTATAAACTTTGTGGATCTTCCTTGGTTTGGTGTGTCTCTTCCTTGACAATTCTAGCCATGTTAGATACCTTGATTTCTTTTTCCGGCCACGAGTTGGCTTCCTTCTGGAGGGAGGCAAATGTCTTCTTCTTCCTCTGCATCTTGTGTAGGCTCCGGGTATATGGGATGTGCATATGTTGAGTACAAGGATTCTTTCGTGTATGTCATTGACACATTTTGCGACATGTGTATGTTTGCCTCAGTAGACGCTGCAATCACATGTGAACAAGGTATTTTCTCAACCTGGAATACACCACATTCGCAGGAACGGTTTTCCAAATTGACAATATAAGGCCCTCTCCGCCTATAACATTGAAATCCATCCATCTATGTGTTCCACAGTATATGATTCTGCGTGGTGTGAACGAATAGCCAGCAAATATTCAACTCCCTTGCTGTATGGGTCTGAAGACTCAAGGCGTCCTCTCGCCTTTTGGTAAACCAAATCCCTAACTTCTCCCGGATGAATTGCAGCAGATACGGTATTGGAAAGCCCTTGGCTCTCTTCAATGTGGAATTGATAGATTCAGCAATGTTACTTGTCTTGATATTGTATCTATCCCCTGGAAAATGTACTCTGGACCATAACTTAGGATCTGCTCTCTAAGTAATTCGCAAGTTCTGGTTTAGCAGCCCGGATTGCGCCATGCAACGGTTATACTCTCTCAGCGTATGGGCGTAGGCAGCTCCTTTCACCAATACATCAAATCCTTTGCACCATCTGACTTTGAGACAATGTTATGCGAAGATGGTAGTAACAAATACCTCTGGTTACCCAAGGTAGAACATTGAGACATGCATTAGGTATGGAGGGGTGCCTGTCCGAAACTACACCATGGGATGAGGTGAAAAGCATTGCTGCAACTTGTTCATAAACCAAGCCCCCATGATTCGTTATTCTCGGCATCTACAATCCCAAAAGCCAACGGGAAAACCTGAAAATTAGCGTCTTGACCGGCTGCAACCAGCAAAACTCCTCCATACTTTCCAGTTAGATGAGTCCCATCTACCACAATAACACGTCTCAAGTACTGAAATCCCAACATTGAAGCATATAAGGACAAGAAGCAGTATTTGAATTGACCCATCATCACATACAAGGTCAGTCACGGAGCCCGGGTTTGACTGCTTCACTCTTCGCAAGTACGAGGGCAAAGCCGCATATCCAGCCTTCTGGTGTTCCCCTAACAAAAAGTTCGCAGCTTTTAAAGCTCTGTAAGAAGTGGTGTAGTTAAGCTTAAGTCCAAGCATCACCCTTATCGCGGCAATATGCCTTGGGACAATTCCATCAATGATTCCAAACCGCTCTACAAATATCTGCCCAAGATACCTTGGAGTACATCCCTTGCGGAATCGAGCACGGTCCACCACAGAGCATGTATGAACCTTGACATACTTTGTGACGAAGAACCTCTTTGCTTCATTCTTTATAGCAGCTCTGCACATCCATTTGCATCCATCTACAAAACATTTTGCCACATAGAGCTTGGTAGTGGACTTAGAAACCTTGAAGGCGAATCTAGACATCACTGCCTTCACTCGCAAGGCAGATATGAGATCATCCTTGCTTACATAGCTCTGGCCAATTGATATATCGCCTGACCCATTTCCATTGAATCCTACCCCATGACCATTCATATCACCTCTGCGAAGCCTTTCTTCAAAGCATTTTTTCTCCCAATCATCTTCATCTTGAACTTTCCCATACTCACTATAGTCTGCGTCCGTGTCTTCAGCTTTCTTTCCTGCAAAAGCTTCATCCACATAGTCCTCGTCCCCTACATCATCATACTCTTCCTCAACTTCTTCATCTGAATTTGCATCCCAATTTATATCTGAAAGTTCCTCCTCTTCTTCATACTCATCCTCATCCACATATCCTCATCTCTCTCCTGACCTTTATCCTTGTTTCCAACAGAGATGCAAAGGCGCAGCACATGCGTTTTGCCTAGCTCTATCAAGCTATGAACCTGCCCATCGTTGGTGATGTACATAGGAGGAAAGTCAGAGGGCATTTGATGGAGCATCACATCTGGTAATGGATAAGATAACTCCACCCGCTCTGGTTCCATATCCAGCATATAGTCAGCTTGTACCATTCTAACAAGCTCCTCATGTGTACAACCATCCGCAAGTAGAACATTCTCTCCCTCCTTTTCCTTTATCCACCTCAAAATGCCATGACTTGTCTTCCATCACCACCCATTTTCCATAAACGGAAGCTAGACAAACCATTACCTGCAACAAAAACAAACCAGACCACAAAACGGATTAGTAGACAGAACGGTAGACCGACAGGTAGACCCACAATTTGGTCTACCAGAAAATTAAGCTAGATACCTAATTCAAAAGAAAACCGAATATAGCCTTAATTACAGAAAGAACATTTCAAACTCACACAGAAGCAAGTAAACAAAAAAAAACAACTAACTGTTCGAGATAAATTTCAAAATATTTGATATATTGAAAGGAAAACGACATTTAAAAAACACATAATAATAGACCTAAAACGTAGACATTCGGAGTAGACGTTCACGGTAGACCTCCACTTAGGTCTACTCCACGTGGCCACGTGGAGGGTTAGTTTTGCAATTGTCGAGAAAAATGTTTTTTTGGAGGTCTACCTTGTCGGTCTACTACACGTGGAGGGTTAGTTTTGCAATTGACCAAACGTTGACTTTTTACGAAGGTCTACCGTGTCCGTCTACCAGAAAACGTAGACCTCTCAATCGGTCTACCAAAAAAAGTAGACCTCTGAATTAGTCTACGCCTTAGGTCTACCTACCAAAAACAGTTTGTTTTGCGTTGACTCAAGTTTGACTTTCCTCGGGTAGACTTCCGTGGTAGACCTCAGTTTTTTTGCGTTGACCAGTAGACCTCACTTTCGGTCTACCGATGGTAGACCTACACGGTAGACCTCAATGACGCAAACTCTCTCCTTTTTGAGGAAAGTCAAACTTTTGTCAACGCCGACCAACTTTTTTTTTTAGGTAGACCGACAAGGTAGACCTCCAAAAACATTTTTCTCGATCAATTGCAAAACTAACCCTCCACGTGTAGTAGACCGACAAGGTAGACCTAAAAAAAAATTTCTCGATCAATTGCAAAACTAACCCTCCACGTGGAGTAGACCTAAGTGGAGGTCTACCACTTTTTTTTTTGTTTGCAAAGGAATTGACCGGTCTCTTTGCGTTGACCAGTAGACCTCAGCCATGTAAAAGTAGACCTCCACTTCCGTCTACCTTCGCGGACCAAAACTGAAAGTCGTTGAATTTTGAAAGAAATGTTACCTGGCCGTCGGAGAAAGGCTCTTCGAAGCCTGATAACTTCAATTTGGGCTTCCAATAATGTCTCCGGTCGTCAATGTAAGCTAAACAATCGGAAATACCAAGATCCAAGATTTGAGATTTCTTATAGAGATTTTGGGATGAAAATGGAGAGAAAATGAAGAATAAGAGTTTGTGAGATGAAAGAAGGAGAAATGCTAGCTCACAACGAGTTTTCGGAGCATTGAAAGCTCCATGTTGGTGAAAATGGTGGTTGGCCAACATTGATGATATGGCATTTTCGAAATTTTGTGTAGGAGATGAGGGGTCTTTGGTCTTTCAGCAGATCTGGTAGACCTAAATATCGGTCTACCAATCGAAAAAGTAATGGCATTCCTGTAATTAATTAGAAAAAACTGGACAAACTTAAAACGAAAAAAATAGGAGGTTAGTTTTGCATTTGACCACAATTTTGGGTCCAAAAGTGAAATGAGAAAGGGATTTCAATCACGATTATGGGATCCAAAGACATTATGGGCCCCTAATATGGTTATGGCTACTCCAAAATTAAGTTGATACTTTTGAAACTATTATAATTAAATTAGGGGTGACATGCGCTTTATGCAGGTTGGGTTAGTTTTATTATTTTTTTGCAAATTTTAATATTGTGTCAAAAATATAATACACATATTATTTAAATTTAATTAGAGTTAGGCAAAAATTTTGTACCGTCTTGTTTCATCCCATTTCGATTTCGTTCATTTTCATCATGTACGTCATGTACTCCTGTCCAAATTTTCCCATTTCATCATGTTCATTCTTTCCCGTTATGTCCGTCCCCTCCCATGCAATCCCATCCTATCTCATTCCATTCTTTTCCGTTTTGTCTTGTTCCGTCCCATCCCTTAATATAATTAAGTATTGGCAAAATTTACTTCCTGTCCCGTCTCGTCCTATTTTATTCCTTTTCATCATGTCATATCCGCCCTGTCGAGGTCCATCCTATCTCATTTTGTTTCTTCCGGTCGTATTATGTCCTATTTTGGTCCTCTTGTTTCTTTTCATCCCGTCTCTAAAACTAATAAGAGGTAGGCAAAATTCACTTCCCGTCCTGTTATGTTTCTTCTCAGTCTGTCTAGTCCGATCTCGTCTCATTTCATCCCAATAAAAATAAAATATACATGATTTAATAAAACTAAAATTACTAAATAATAGTTTTTGTAAATCTATACATAAGCCTATTTTTTTTAAATGACTTTTCATATTCTTGTTCTTGTTAAACATATTATATTAATGGATGATAATTTATTACTATGCGATTTAAATATTAAAATAATTAAAATTAAGAAATATAATGCTGATGTGTCAAATTTTTAGAGCTCATTTTTGATAATGTGGAGGGTTAAGAAGAAATTGACTTAAGCTTTATATATATAGATTTCTTTATTTTTATTTTTCATATTAATAATATATTCTAAACCATAGATGGTTATTTATATAATTAAAATATTATTTAAAACTAATTAAATTTCATAATCAAATACTAAGATGGCTTTTGTTTTGTTCATAAAAAGTTATACATAATTATTTTCCAAATTAATAGTATATTTTAAACTATATAGTTACCTATGTAACTGAAATCATTATCTGAAGTAAATTTACCATGAAAAACCTTCAACTATATTTCGTTTCTCAACTAAAACCTTCAACTTTTTGAATTCCTACTTTAAACCTTCAAGTTAACTATTTTCCCCTAGTAAACCTTCATGTAGTCTAGATTGTGCTCTACCTAAGGTTAGATCAATGGTTAATGATGACTCAAACGATCCTCAATCCCAAAATTAAGAAATCATAAAATTGAAAAAAAAAGAGAAAATTGCTAAACTACAAAAAAAAAAAAAAAACGGCTCTCTTGTCCCTTTACACCGTCACATATGTTCTTTTTCCTATTACACATTTTTAACATATATTCCAATTTTGTCCTTCAATTTGATTGGATAAGTTTTTATTTTTAATTAATTGATTTTTGTTATTTTAAAAATATTTTAATAAAAAAAAAAAAACGAAACTCATTAAAAAAAAACCAACACTGCTAGACATCTTCTCTCCTTCTCTCCCGACGGTGGCCGGAGTCTCTCCTTTCTATGCTTTCTCTATTTACAAACAAGTAAAGCGGTCTCTTCCTTTATTAGCACAACATTTACTATAACAGAATATGTTTCATTGGGACCAAAATATTGATACCTTAAACCAACTGGAAGTTGTTTGAGTTTGGTCTTTGGAGCTCTCAGTGGGCACCATGGGTCAAACTTCACTTTGGTTTTTAGTTTGGATATGGGTTTGTGGTGGTCTAGCGTCTCCTCTTCTTTCTCCAGATCCAGAAAAGCTACCAGCTCCTTGTAGGCTTCCATAGAATCCATAAATTTAACCAACCCTTGTGCTTCTCTCTCCATGTATCCAAATTCATCTTCACCCATCATTAGGGCTAGCTCCAATGGGTCATGAAGAAGTTCATCCAGCCCTTCCTTATTTGTTTGAGTAAGCTCTCCAATCCAAAAATCTTGGCCATCTACATTTGGCTTTTCCAGTGATTTGTTAACTTCGAAATTCACAATATCTCAAAGATGCAAGTTAATCTTTCCATTTTTAACATCTATTATGGCCCCTGCAGTAGCTAGGAATGGTCTTCCTAAGATAAGAGGGTCCTTAGGTTGATGTTATAGCTCAAGAACCACAAAGTCTGCTGGTATGTAACAATCTCCCACCATGATTGGAACATCCATGATCACTACAACAGGGCGGCGAACAGATCGGTCTGCACATACAAGGGATATCTTCGTGGGTTTAAAATTAGTAATGCGTAGCAATTTCGCTACATAGTAGGGCATTAGGTTAACAATAGATCCCAAGTCACAGAGGGCTCTATGAAAGAATGTAGACCCGATCTTGCAAGCTAGAAGAAAACTTCCTGGATCATTTAGTTTATCTGGCATGCAATTTTGGAGTATAGCGCTGCATTCTTTTGTATTAATCATCATTGCACCTTCTTTTAGGCTGACATTACTAGTATAGCCTTCATGTACTTCCTCAAAGATGGAATGATTTGGCAAGCATTTCTGAATGGTAGCCGGACTGAAAGTTGGCTAACAAGATCTTTAAGCTTTTCTTGCTCCTTCTCCTTCTTTGGTTGAGCAAGAACATTTCGGTATGGGATCTTTGGCTCATACACTCTTGGTACTACTAGTGGTTCAGTCACTTCTTTTGGGGTTCCTGGTTCAGTTCTCACGTGGACCTCTTTAGGCGGTTCAGTCCCATCTCCAATCATCACATACTCCAGCGGTTTTTTCTTTGTTAGTGGGGTTGATTCTTCATTTGCAGAATAGGCAGGAGATTCATAGCCTTTTCCATTTCTCAAGGTGATGGCAGCTATAGTCTATTTCCTTGGGTTTCTCTCTTGATAGAACTGGCTATGTTAGCAATCTTGAGATCTAATTTCTCATGCATCCTTCTGAAAACGAATTCCAACTTTTCATCTATCTCTGCTGTATACCTTCTTTGTGAATCAAAGATAAAGCTTATCAAGCTATCAAAGCTGTTCCTTGGTTCCATTTTTCTCCTATTGAAAGTTCGCCCATGATGATCACGCCCAATGTCATCATGTTCGCAGTCTTTTTCTCCTTGGAATGATTTGTGGTTCGGAAAAGTGTTAGATACTTCATCCCAATTCTCTTGCTACTCCATCTACGCCGATGAAATTCACTTCCTCCTGTAGATTAGGAACAAAATCTCCAAAGTAGTTCTGGACATCAGTAGGTCCAACCTTATAGGTTTCTCTTTGTCTCATCATTCCCTTTTCTTGGTTCCTCATAATTGCAACCATCATTGCTTTGATCTCGCCATACTCTTCTCGGTAAGGATCAAAGTTTATAGCTTTGACAGCTCTCTCATGTCCAATGAAATTGTTACTGTCGCTTGAAGCTAGGTTCTCAATTAGAATTTTTGCTTCAACAACTGTCTTGGTCATGAAATTCCCATTACTAGCTGTATCAAGAGAAAATTGACGTTTTCTGTCTATCCCTCTATAGAAAATGTTTCATAGGTTTCCATAAGAAAGCCCATGATTAGGACATTCCCTAGTATAGTTCTTGAAACTCTCTAAAGCTTCATGAAAAGGCTCCACCGGCCCTTGTTGAAAATTGGAGATCTTCTCTCTCAATAGATATGCTCTTTGCTTAGTGAAAAAGTGCCTAAGAATGCCCCTTTGTACTCTTTCCAAGTAGTTATGGATTGAGCTGAAAGATACTTCACCCATCTTTAAGGCTTTTCCTGTCAATGTAAAAGAGAAGAGTTTACATTTCAAATACTCCTTTGGTGCTCCATCTGCGCTGATAGTCCCACAGATTTCTTCAAATGCATCAATTTGCTCCAAGGGGTTCTCTTGAGGTCTTCCCTGAAACTGATTTTTGTTCACCAAAGCAATAACCTCTGGCAAAATCTCATAGCTTCTTCCTTCTGACAGTGGTGGATGGATAAGATTTCGATTAGTGAGTAGAGCTGGGTTGGAATCGAAATCTCCCATAACTTCTTTATCTATCCGCACCGGTTCCTTAGGAAAACAGTTATCGATTTGATCGTTCACGCCATCGTGAATCGGAGGATGACCATGTTGTCCGCCCAATAAGATATATCTTGTGGCAGGGTTGTCTCCCTCTTCTTGATTGTCTGAGTCACTCATATCCCAGTCTCTTCTTCAAGTTCTCACCTGAAACACACAAAGACAAGGATTTCTTAAATAGAAAGCGAACAAAAGAAAAACTTAAAACTAAAATTGCAAAAAATTAAAAGAAAAACGAAATCCTAGACTAGACTATAGTTGGGACCTCAAAGGTAGCTGTATTTCTCCTCGGCAACGGCGCCAAAAACTTGATGCGGGATCAGGTTTTACCTATTCATGTCCCTGATTCTGCAAGTGCACATGTCAGGGTTAGTAACGGGTTATCGAACACAAGGAGCAGATAAGTACACTAAGAGTATTGCAAGTCTAACTTGGCTAGGAAATAAAGTATGTTTTGGGGTTTTGTTGGGTTTAGTGACTAAAGAACTAAACAAAACAATTAAAACGGATTGTAAAATCAAGAGGGATGAAACGCTAGGCAGTGGAAAACTCGCAGAGACTCAAGGTTGATAAAGTGATAGATAAATTCACTAGGGTATAGATGCGCACCGTCTATAACTTAGATTGCTGATGTAGAATCTTTCCACTGTCGTGGCTCCGATCCCTTTGTTAAATAATATAATCGCTAAACTTTTGGTATGTCCTTAGACAGCTAATCAAGCATTAATTCGTTCAAGACCTAATTGTTCACAACCCCGCATAGATCAACTGTCGCAGTCTACGAAGTGTTGCTCACCAAACACTAGTTCCGGTTATATAGCAAGGTTTTGGAATGTATATAAAACCTAAGATCTGATGCTAGTTGATCAGAAAAGCAAGCATCAATTGATTCAAGTGAAGATGAAGACCCATAATGATGAACCCTAATCGATATCTAACAACCTATCAAATCATGAACTCTTTGATAAATCCCATGACCTAACTAGAGAATTACTCAGACATAATCAAAGCAATAACACAAAGAGATGAAGAAAACATCATAGATAAAATAAGGTTTAGAAACCTTCTCCAAATCGAATGAGGAGGAGAGATCCAAGCCTTGGAATATCTAGAACAAGAAATCTAAGTATTTTTCTATTACAACGTGCGGCTCTCAAGAGGCGGCATTAGGTTAGACGGGTGTGAAAACGTGTGAAACGGGCTTCAAAAATGGGCTTGGGTCGACCAGACCGTTCGGCGTGTTTGGCCGGCTATTGGGTTGTGATTGGGCTTCGGTACGGTCGGAACGATCGTGGCCGGATGATTATACGTTCGGTCGTCGGGGTCGGCCGGGCAGGACGCGGGACGTTGGACTCCTGGTCGGACAGTGCGGTCGTGCGGGAAGTGGGCTGGTCGAGCGCAGGATGATGCTTCCCGGTTCAAGCGGTGCGGTCGTGCGTGTTGCTGGGCGCTGGATTGAAATGAGTCAACTGTGGGGCGATGTTATGTTTCGGTTCGTGTGCTCCGCGCACTATGCTGGATAAGTGATGGTGCGCTGCGCGGCTCGACCATGGGACGATGGTTCCTCGGTCGGCCGATGTGCGCGGCTTGGGCGCTGAATGATACTTGTGAGGTTCCGGCTATTTGGACCAGTCTTCACTAAAACGATCATAACTCCATTTCTACTCATCCAAATGATGCGAATTTACTTGCACTTGCGGCGAAGTGGTTGATATACCCATATCTTTCATGTTTTTATCAAGGTTTTCACTATGTTTTTAATACAAATAATGTGGTTTTTAAGCCCAAGAGGTAGTTTTCTTGTATATTCTGGTTTTGAGCATCATTCAGGTCAAAATAGCAAAGAAGAGTCCAAAATGGAGCAAAAAGAGTCAAATCACCAAGTTCCCAAGTCTAGAGCACCAAAATACATTTCTCGCTAAAGACCAAACCGGAGCATCCGAAGTACGACCGCATATTCATGCCTTCCCGACGTCCAAAAGTCATGATTCTTATATGGAAAGATAGATATTTGAGTCATGACCCGCGGCGAAGTGGAAAGAGGTCATTTGGATCACTCGTTGGACCGGAACTTATTTTCTACCAAGACATGTCCGACGAGCGCCTAAGTAGAGCCCATGGAGACTTTGATGGATCAAGAGGCCCGAGATACCGCGCCCAAGGCCTTGGCTCATCTTGACACTAGCATAACTCAATCCAGAAGCTTCCATTGGCCTGAACGCGGCCCATTCAAGAACTTGGAGAGCAAGCTCAAGCGGCTAAAGAGAAATGGAAACTTTCCTCTTCTGCGCGCGCTCAACTTTGCCGACCTAGACCCGCTCTCTACCTATATATACTTGCTTTTAGCCTCTTGTAATAAGAATCACCAGCCGCATAACAAGAAACACTTATTCAATAAAGTTCGGAGCCACTTAGGTGGTCTCCTTCTTCTTTCTTTTCTTCTTTTGCATTTGTATATAGCTTGCATGTTTCAATTTATATAGTCTAGAAGTAGAGATTTCTCCCTAAGGGTGAGGCGTGGTTTAGTCTATATTCCGCCGCCTCTCTCTCTAAGGATTCATGAGACTTCATCTACTATCTAAGACTCATTGTTGAATTATGGATCCTTCCAATGAGGACGTGATATAATGGCCATCGAAAATCGATTGTTAAAAGGGGAAACCCTATGGTTCTCCATCTTTATTTATGCTTAATGCTTGTTGCTAGAGTAGCTAACTAGTGACTTGATTTTAGGTTGATATACTCTCCAAAAGCTTGTTATATCTCCGGACACAATATTTGATGGGCAAATCGTTTTAGGCTACGAAAGTAGACCTAAAGAGTTTTGTGAACAATCATTACTTGGATGTAATGCATGTCTCACTCTACAATGACCAACGAAAGCTGAGCCCATTGGTTTAAGAGACATAGGGGATTGGAACCACGAAAGTGGAATAATCCTTCCTTAGTGTTTTGAGTTCAAAAGAATCGGATTTTAACAAACTTTTCAATCGACTTGGCTCATGTTTTCAAAAGAGTTTTCAATAGTTCAATAATGTTGCTTGTATAGAATTGCATTGTTATTTCTTTTGCGTGTTCTAAACAAACACAAACCCTTGCATCTTTTGATTTAGCTTAGTCATTTAAACTCTATGATTATGTAATGTGTGAAATCCAATCCCTTGTGGTTCGACCCCTAAATACTACAATTATATGTTGTGCACTTGCAACACTAGTTGTCTTAGGGAATTATTACTTGTACTCATCCCATAGATGCCGCATCAGTGGTCTTGATGAAATCCATTGGGTAGAATGTTTTTAAGGCCTTCTCAAAAATGATACGACGGTATGGAGCGGGATGAAGTCCAAATCTTGTAGTTTCGCTCCAAAATACATCATTCAACCTGCTTAGACTCTTAATGCTATAAATCCAATAAAACTACATTTTTAGACTGAAAACCTGCTAAAAACCATTAGAAAACCATACTAAAATAGTATAAAAAACATGTAAAATAGAGGTATATCAACACCTCACCAGAGCTTAACAATCGGGACGGAATCGGGTTGCACAACCCGATTTTCACTTCAGCGGACCAAATGAGGGGTTTACATTCAGATTCAGCCTCAAAAGTTTTCATTAAATTTGTAGATAACTGATTTAGCTTTCAACTGATGGTAGCTTCAACAAGTGGCAGTTTGACTCACCCTGTCCAAATTGTTGCCTACAAGAAAAAATCGACACGCCAAGATTAATGAGTTGACCAAGAACCTCTTTCCCATTCACCTATAAACACTCTTTTACCCTAATTATTTTATTATCTTGTAATCTCTTATTCGTAGCCAATTGAACCACCCCGTTTAGGGGTTTAAAACATTTTACAAGATCTTTTAAGACTTTTAATGAATTTAAGAATTCTTATTCTTTTATCTCTCTTATTGCATTTCCCTGATATATTTATCAACACTTCCATGCTTGGGTTGTTATTTTAGATATGATTAGTAAGTAGTTATCCTTAAGTCTTGGGTTAGGATAGACTAGGGAAATTTGATAGTTGACCCTTGATGCTTAAGGCTAAATTATGTTAATTCATTTCTTGAATAGTGTTCTTAATGCCATTTCCTCTTTGACCATTTTGATTTAGAACCTTTGAGCTTTTTCCACCCACAAGGTATTATTATTTGATGAAACGCCTCAACCAACTAATCCAAAAACTTTGCATTCGTAGCTCATGGGAATGATTGTGTCTAAAGTGTTAATTGGGAATTTAATGCTTGCTTAGTTCGAATTCACAAATGGGAATTAGTTATTGATTTTTTTTTTATCAAAGTGAGTAGTACCATAGAAGTGGATTAATTTAATGTAATCTGTTCTTTGGCTAAGGATTAGCTTAATTGTGATTGTGTGAGCATCATATCCCAAACTCGATTACCGTCATCCTAAAACCTATTTGTCATTCGTCTTCCTTTGATCATTTTTCATTTTTGCATTTGCGTTTTGATTGCTTACCTCACCTTGTTTAATGCTTTATGTCTCTTTATGTAACTTAGGTTGATAGTGTAAAACCGATATTTGATTTGGCTTAGCTTAGAGAGTTTTATGCATTCTTTTGTGTTAATCTAAACCCCTTTGAATTGATCCTCAAATACTACCATGATATGAGTAGGTTTGGGTAGTTGTTAGTGAAAAATCCTACTATCAATATATTGTGTACATCACTCGTAAAATATTTATTTGGCCTCTAGCCCTAAAAAGAAAATGTTAAGAAGAACACCAAAAAATGATGAAGTTGTTTATTTGTCTCTCTCTCATCCTCCTCCCTCTTATTGCCGGTGTGAGAGGCTGTGATCCCGATTGCATCCGATCACGATTGCATCCGATCACGATTACATAGAATATGCGAACTATGAGGTTGATGTGCATAACGGGATGACGAAAGAGAATATAGTATTCGTCAAGAACCTCTCAAGAAGGGAGAAACTTAACTACGACACGAGGTATGAGCTGATAATGGAGGCGAAGAATAGAGATGGTAAGACAATGAAATACGAGGCTATCATGTTTGTAAGTAGGGCGTATAATATGGTCTTTCACGCCATATTAGATTTTATAAAAGTCAGAATTGGGGGATTCTATTATATCTAAGTTTCGATTAATCTCAGAATTTGACATGATGTTACCACTACAAGAAAATGTAGTAAATATAGCATAAGAACATAGCGTTTTTAATTTGAATGCTATCTTTGACATAACCCTTACTTTGAGACAGCGTTTCCGTGTGTGCCTACGCTATGTTTTTGTTTCGGGCTCAAAATCACTTTGGTTTTAAAAGAAAACCGCATTAAAAGCGCTATGTTTTGTATTGGCGGAAATTTTTCATCATTTTCCCGGTTTAAAGACTTAGGAAAAAAAAATCTCGGTTTCTTCATGTCTCTGAAATCGTCGGCACCTCTTATCCGTTTTCCTCCGACAAATTAATTCGATCGAGAAAAATCTCGGTTTCTTCACAGCTTTCGATCTCCTAAGCTAACAGCTTCCGTCTTCGTTTCTCTGGGATCTATTTCTCTCATCGGCTAGGTTATCACGCGGCGTCATCCTCGTCACTGTCGATTCCGATTGAAGGTAAGAGTTTCATCAGAAATCGATACTTATATCGATTTATAGTGTGGTGATGATTAATTTTGATTTGCTTCGACGACATTTGGTTTTGGGCAGGCTAATTGACAGGAGCTCGAGCTAAGGTATTTGTAATTTGTAGGGTGTTTTCTTTTAGCTTGGAGTTTGAAGTTATTGCATGTTGATGGATTTAGTTTTCTTTGTCTTTGCATGTCTTTCGCAGGATCTCTTTAACAAGATCTTCATTATCTTCAGGTAATTTACTCCCTCCTCAAATTCTTCATTTTCAGTAATTATTCATTGGAGATTGTCTGATGTTTGAAAACATTTATCCCAAAAATATGTATTCCTTTGACCGTGGAGCTTTGGTGGTGGTGTGACATGGATAAGTCTTGGGTTTGGCTTCCAAGGTATAAGTTTACAATTACATTGTTTCGAATTCCTTTACTTGAAACTGAGTCTTGTATGATTAACTTTATTATGAGTCTTGTGAAAACCCATTCTTAGTATTTTGCAGGACTAGCCTTGAGTATGAGCAGGGAGCCACAGATTTTGTTTATGGATCTTCTTGGAGGTTAGGTGATCCTCCAAACATGTTTTGTCCATGCCTGATTGCCGAAATCTGTGTCACCAACCTATAGCAACGAATTCTGGATCATCTGGTTATTAGAGGTATGGATCAGAAGTACAAACGGAATAGATGCTGGACTAAGCATGGGGAGAAAAGGAGATTTGAATGTAGGCGAGGAACAGACTTCTGAATTTGAAGCGTACGAGTTGTTCAGAGCTGCTTTCTTCGACGGTGATGACAATTCAATACCACGGAGTAATATAACAGAGATGATGTCTTGAAAATGAGGAAGACTCAGAGTTTGTGAAGAAGTTGAGAGATGCTGAAACTCCTCTGTACAACACATGTCGCAAACACACCAAAGTTTCTGCTATCATGGGGCTTTACAGAATAAAGGTGAGAAGCGGGATGTCAGAGAACTATTTTGATCAGCTTCTTAAGTTAGTTCAGGAGATGTTACCTGAAGATAATGTGCTTCCCACGTCAACAGATGCGATGAAGAAGTTCCTTAAGACATTTGGTTTTGGCTACGAGAACATTCACGCATGCAAGAATGACTGCATCTTATACCGGAAGTAGTATGAGGATTGGACAAGCTGCCCAAGATGTAATGCTTCTAGGTGGGAAGTGGATAAGCACACAAAAGAGGAAAAGAACGGGATTCCTGCTAAGGTTCTTTGATATTTCCCGATCAAGGAGAGATTCCGAAGGATGTTTAGAAGGATGGATGAGGATATGCATTGGCATTTCAGTAATGCTGCAGGAGATGGAACGATGCGGCACCCAGTGGACTCTCTATCTTGGTCTCAGATAAATAGTCGATGGCCTGAATTTGCCTCTGAACAGAGAAATCTTCGACTAGGTCTGTCTACAGATGGGATGAACCTGTTCTCGATCCAGAACACGAAGTATAGTACATGGCCAGTGCTACTGGTGAACTACAACATGTCACCAACATTGTGTATGAAAGCGGAGAACATAATGCTGACTATGCTGATCCCTGGACCTACTGCACCGAGCAACGACATTGACGTCTACCTTCAGCCGTTGATAGAAGATCTACAGGATTTATGGAGTGAAGGTAGTGAGGTTTATGACGCATTCTCGAAGGAAACTTTCAGTCTGAGAGCTATTTTGATGTGGACTATTAGTGATTATCCTGGTTTAGGGACATTAGCAGGCTGCAAAGTGAAAGGGAAACAAGCCTGCAATGTGTGTGGGAAGGACACACCTTTTAGGTGGCTCAAGTTTAGTAGAAAACATGTCTACTTGTGCAATAGGAGAAGACTCCCACCTGGGCATCATTACCGACGCAGATGGAGTTGGTTTGATAACACGGTCGAAGAAGACACTATGCCTAGAATTCAAACCAGAGTTGAGATATGTGAGCAGTTGAAAGACTTCAGGAATGATTTTGGTAAAGCTTTAGATAAGAAAGGGAAGCGAAAGAGGTCTGGTTTGTGTGAGGATGATGAGCTTTCTGAAGACGAACATGATGAACATAGTGATACATGGCGTTGGAAGAACCGATCTATTTTCTATGATCTCCCGTATTGGAAGGTTAGAAAATTATACAAACCTCTAAGTATTTTTGATTTTTAATTATTTTCTAACTGTCTAATTTCTTCTTTTCATTGTCTTAGAATATGCCTGTGAGACACAACATTGATGTCATGCACGTAGAGAAGAATGTGTCTGATGCCATATTGTCTATCCTCATGCAAAGTTCTAAATCAAAGGATGACTTGAAGTCACGTCGTGATTTGGAGGATATGGGGATCCGGAAAAACTTACACGCACAGGTACAAGGGAAGAGAAACTTTTTACCACCTGCTGCTTATTGGCTGTCTAAGAATGAGAAAAAAGAAGTTTTGCAAGAGATTGTCTGAATTCAGAGGAACACATGGGTACTGCACCAATATCGCAAACTGTGTTTCAGTGGATCCGCCTACAATTGGTGGATTGAAGTCGCATGATCACCATGAGTTATTGTAAAACCTTGTACCTGTAGTTTTGAGAGGATTGCTTCCAACTGGACCTCGGAATGCAGTGAATAGGATATGCAACTTCTTCAACCGACTGTGTCAGCGTGTGATTGACCCAGAGAAGCTTGTAGCATTGGAGACTGAGCTTATTGAAACCTTGTGTCAGTTGGAAAGGTTCTTCCCTTCGTCTCTGTTTGATATAATGTTTCACCTTCCAATTCATTTGTCAAGAGAGACACGTTTGGGTGGACCAGTTCACTTTAGGTGGATCTATCCTTTCGAGAGGTACTGGTTACGCTTATAAGTTATTCTCGTCTGTGAAACTTAATAATCAGATGGTTTATTTTCGTTTTTATTTTGCGTTTTGAAAATACTAAGTAATCTTGAACCTGTTTGATGTGTAGGTACATGAAGACACTCAAGGCATTTGTTAAGAATTTTGCAAGGCCAGAAGTTTGTATGGCAGAAGGTTATATGGCAGGTGAATGCCTTGCATTCTGTCTGGAATTTCTAAAGACATCTGCACCAGACTGGGAAAATACTAACTGTAATGAAGACCGTGAACCAGATGAAATAGTCCTTGAAGGTCGTCCAATTCACAAGGCTAAAACAGTTATACTTACGGAGACAGAGCGTGAGATAGCGCATCGATATGTTCTGATGAACACAGCAATGTTTTCACCTTATATTGAGTAAGTATCAATAGACTTAGTTTACTGTTTTTCGTACTTTGGGAACTAAATATTTCGTTTTTGTATACACGATGCACTTAGAAGAATTACAAGCTAATGATGTGCGGTGTAGAAGAAATGAAACTCTTTTGTGGAAATTGCATGGTGAAAGATTTACACATTGGATTAAAGAAAAGGTAATATGATCATTACCGGATACGGATGCTATTACTTTGTAACTATAATTGATAAAAGCATTTGTTGTTCATGACTTTCTATTTCCTATCAGATCCCAAGTAACTCACATCACTCTAAGAAGCTAAGGTGGTTAGCTTTTGGACCAAGACAAGCAGCTCAGAACTATAGAGGATACATAGTTAATGGACATCGATTTCACACTGACGATCTGAAGAGGAAGACTCAGAACAGTGGTGTCTCTTATGAGGCTTTCACGATGTGCCGTTCTAGTGCTAGAGACACTAATCACATGGCAGACATTGTTACGTACTACGGTGTCATCCAAGAAATAGTTATGCTCGACTATCACATGTTTGAGGTTCCACTATTCAAGTGTAAGTGGGCCAACAGAGGGTATGGTGTGAAAGAAGAGGATGGCTTTACACTTGTCAACCTAGATATCAATCAGTCTGCATTTCACCATGATCCATATATAATGCCCTCTCATGCGAAACAAGTTTTCTATTCCAGAGAAGATGACTCATCATCTTGGTATGTAGTCATGAAGGCGCCACCTAGGGAATATCATGAGTTGGAGACAGAAGAAGCATTTGTTGCACCACCATCAGCCGTCCAGCAATGTGAAGAGTTAGAGAATGAAGCTTCAGATGATGAGAGTTCATGCGGTCGGGAAGATTGTGAAGGGATCTACGTAATGGATTAGGCAGAGTAGTAGTAGTTGAGTTAGAATTGGTGGAGTTAGGTCTACTGTTTAGTAGTTTTAGGAGAAATGATGGATTTGGTGGATTTGGTGGATGTCTGTTTAATATCTTTTGTTTATTTATAGAGACATGAACCCTACTGCCAATTAGACAAAGCCAAGACGCAGCAAGCATCAGCAAGGCATTGACGTAACTCCATTTCAGGTGAAGACATGTAGCAGAGGATCGAACCAACTGGTTTACACTCTCGCACAAGGAGGCTTCTGCCAACTGCTTAATGAACAAGTCAGCCGGAAAAGGACGCTTCAAGAAAGCGAAGCATCTTTCGATATAGACGACGAAGAGCCTGAGGATAGACACGATGGAGATCCAGATAATGTGTCTGAGAACGAGAATTATGGCTCATATACGGAAGAATGTGAAGAGGAAGATGAAGACATTAATAGTGAAGAACCTTCAGATGCCGATGAAGATAATGAAGAAGCTAATTATTGTCAAGGAGAAGGACCTCAAGAAGAAATTCAAGAAGATGAAGAAGTTAGAGAAGAAGCAGAATCTCAGAAAGTTGCAAGTGAGGGTGATAACGTCTGTGCTTCAATTGAAGCATGTTTAGCAGACCAGGTAAAGACCAAGAAGAAGAGAACTAGAGGACCGACGAGGATGAACAAAGTGGCTAAAAGCGCTGAGGAGAAAGTGGAAATTCAGTTTAACACTTTAGGTGAACCTGTTGGCAAAGGATCAGTTACACTTTCTTCTTTCCTTGGGCCTCTTGTGAGAGAATACGTTCCTGTTACTGTAGACGATTGGAGGCATGTTGATGACCAGACCAAAGAGATTATGTGGGAAGAGGTTCAGGTACATAAACTCTGTTACTTTGTATTTTATCTGAGATTATGTACCTAGTTTGGTTTATGTACACGTGAAATTGTTGTAGGCGAGGTTCAATTTCCCAGAAGGGTGGCAGAAGGCATTTGTCTTCCAGCAAATGGTTGCATTTTCAGAGGTTCTAAGTCTCGCCTAGTACATAAACTGCGGTCCACAAGGAGTAAAGAGAAGCAACGTAGCTTACAACCAAGCAACATTCACAATGCCTCGGCGTGGATACAGTGGGTCAAGAGTAAAACTGGTGAATCTTTCAAGGTGAGTTTAGTTTACTCTGTTCAAGAAAATACAGCCTTCTTTTATGGGAATTTTTTTTTCTTTTTTCATTTACCACCACTATAACTGTAGGAACGAAGTGAGAAGTTTAGAGTTTTGCGGCAGCGTCAGATACCACACACCACTAGTCGAAAAGGAATGGTTAGCCTTGGCGATGAAATGGTATGTTAATGATGAGTATTGTACTATAGAGAGTAACCTACTAAGCAAATTTCTCTGTCGCATGTAGAAGAAAAAGGCTTCCGACCCCAGTAAGATTACTAGAAGCAAGATCTGGATAGCTGGACATACTCATGCAGATGGGAGAGCCGTGAGACCAGAGTTTAAAGAAACAATTGTAAGTACTTATCAAACCTTTGTTTGTGTTAGACATGTATGGAAACAAATATTCATACACCAATTATTGATTTGCTGTCAGGAACAAATTAAATCACTTGATAGTGAGATTGGCTCAAACTCTAGCGTTAGTGTTAAGGAAGATGTTGTGAGTAAGGTTCTAGGTGCAAACAAGAGTGGAAGAGTCAGGGGAATGGGTAGAGGGATAACCGCAACGAAGATAGCCTTCATACAGGCTAGAGATGCACATGTGCAGAAGCTTGAATCTAAGCAAGACGTACTGGTTAGCGAAATTGAAGATTTCAAGGACTTGGTTCGTGACTTAGCAAACGGGAAAAGGGTATGTTCATATCACCATGTGTTTATAATATACTCACTTGACCACATATTAATTTGTTAAACTTCTTAGAAAAATCTGGATGATCTTTCACCATCTGATGAAACTGGTCCAAGCAACGGAGGTCCTAGATGTCAGATACTTGATTGGTATTCTGAGGATGATGTTGTTGTGGGTGAAGGAGAGTTATGCTCTGTGGAACCAACTTACAAGATTGGCTGTATTCCAATTGGACCTAATGCAGCAGCTGTATTAGTTAAGTTCGCGGGAGATAAAGAAGCATTTGTATGGAGGCCTACAACATCTATCACCTCACTTGGCCAAGCTGTGGGAAGCAAGATTGCATGGCCATTCGATAAGCTCATTGTCGATAATACGATCTCCGAAACCGTCAACAAGACTGCTGGTTCCTCTGTAAGTTCCTCTCGTCATTCATGTTTGCTTAACAAGTATGTGAAAAAACGTATTGGTTAGGTGACACATGTACTCTGTTTTTACGTGACTCTCTTTAGGCTACATATGCATTAGAAGACAGAATAGAGATTCTTGCTTGGAATAATGAGACTGAAGTAATTGCTGAGGGATATTTGATTTCACAGGACCCAAAGCAAATGGTCAATAATATTGCTTTAGGTCCGAACACAGCCATAGTTAATATTGACAATGTGATTAACAAAGAGGCTTACATGTGGAAACCAAGTGAAGATATGAATGTCATGGGTGATGCACTCTTCTCCAATATAGCGTGGCCAAGATCTAAGGCTAAGCACTGTAATGTAGATCAAATGGTGGATGAAGTTTATAGAACAGCTTCTAGCCTGAAATCTCAGTGTAAAGGAGGAGCTTTGCCAACGGTCGCTAAAGGGCCAGAAACATCTAAAGATTCATCCACTAAGGTAAAACATAAACTCAGAAATGTATTATTTGACGTCAATGTTATGTTTTCCGATTCTAATGATAGATCTATCTGGATTTTTCATGTGTAGAGTGTCACTAACAGCTCCAGAACCAGCGGCTATTCTATGAATAAATGCTTCATCTTAGACTGCTTTGGATCAGGAAAAAAGGTCGCAGAAGGCAGAGTTTTATCAAACAATCCTAAAGACAAAGTCCATTTCGTTCCTTTGGGACCAAACGCCAGCAAGGTATGGATTGAGGTATGTCTCGTTGATGAAGCACGCGTATGAAGACCAAACTCAGAATTCAAGATTCTTGCTGATGCATTGGGTTCAACACTTGCTTGGCCTAATGACGCAATAAAGTTCATTTGAACAAGAGTTTTATTTAGGATTGTGTTGGTAGTAAAACTCTGTTAGATAGACAAGAATAACTAGTTTGTGGCTTGATGATTTATGGTTTCTGAACTTGTTTGTATGACTTTTGAAGGTCTTGGTTGAGTAATGAAATGGTTCTCTTTGTTTGAGTAATGAAATGGTTCTCTTTCGTTGAAAAAGCTAATAGGTACAAATAACCACAAAAACGTCTCCTAAACTTGAAGAAACAATAACAAAAAAAAAACTGCTATATAAACTGAGTGTCTACAATAGCGTGTGTTAACATTTTAAATAGCATAAGTTTTCCGCTATTTTAAGTTTTTTCATTGCGACTAAAAAAAGGCATCGAATCCATACTTTTAAATTTCATTTAATAAAACGCTATCATAAGCGTCCGACAAAAGATTGCGGGCGAAGATATAGCGTTGTTACAAATGCTATGGTATCCAGTAATAGCGTTTTTCGTCCGCTATATATGAGACATTTTCTTGTAGTGTACTATTGGTAATATTACTATTGGTAATATCATTGGTAATATCATAGGCATATGCTTTTTTTGAGATTCAGTAAGATACTTATGTTATTTTGAGCTTTCGATCAACGATGATGTGATGCAGTTTCGCAGACACACGTGCATGTGTCGCTTGTACTTGAACCACCAGCAAAATCATAGGAAAATGTGTATTTTAAATCTTAGTTCACTTTGGAAAAGTAAACTTTTTGGTAATTAATTTTCGAAAATTTCATAGTTAAATTATCTTCCACATCTTATTATACATTTTCTCCGTTTTTTTAAGATGAATTTTCTTGAGTTTTTACACATATTAAGAAAAAGTTGATTTTCAATTATTAGTGTATAGATTTTGGCAATAAAACAACTTTTTATAAATTTAGACCAATAAAAATCTAACAAATCCAATTATTGTTTCTTGAAAACTTAAAAAGTACTTTAAAAAGCTAAAATTTTTATTTTTGTGAAACAACCAAAAATGTTTGGAAAATTCATCTTAAAAAAACGGAAGGAGTAAGTTGGATGCATGCAATATGGTTGTGACACGTGTGATTTTTACAGTTTTGAATATCGTAATATATATGTGTCATTTTAATTTTAAAACTATTAAGATCTTGGCATATGTCTTGGTAAAGAAAAAAAACTAATTAAAAATGTTTAAAAAGGAAAAAAAAATATTTTTCAATATTCTATTGGAAAAAGATTTCATATTCTAATTGAAAAGGAAAAAAAATAGTTTTGCATGCCTCATTTACCAAGATAATTCTTTTTCATATTCTAACGGAAAAAGGGAAAATAAAGTAAAAAAAAAACTAATTAAAAAGGCGTTAAAAAGGGGAAAAAGTAGATATCTGATATTCTTACGGAAAAAGAAAAAAATAATTATTTTTTTTCTTAGACTGCATTTTTGATAGTTTATATATCTTTGTAAAATTATTTGAGAAATAGTTTCCAAGTAATTTACGTTCAAGTTCACAAAAAAAATATTTAAATGAAGTAGTTGTTTACGACAGCGATTTTTTATATAAACTAATTGAAGAAGTGATTGTATATCTATGGTAATAAATATCATACTTCTTAAAATGAAGTTTATTTTATTCAGAAAATATTTTTATTAGGCATTACACATACAATTTTATCATTACAAGTTCAGTTGTTTTGTATTTGGTAATGGAGGAGTTTTACCACAGCCAGGATGTTCTGATATACACTTGTTTTTGGAAGAACCAACGTCAATTGTATTTGGTAATGGGGGAGTTTCACAACAACCAGGATGTTCTGGTATACACTTGTTTTTAGAAGAACCAACGTCATTTTTTTTTGGTAATGGAGGACTTTGACCACAACCAGGATGTTCTGGTATACATTTATTTTTGGAAGAACCAACGTCAATTGTACTTGGTAATGGAGGACTTTCACCACAACCAGGATGTTCTGGTATACACTTGTTTTTGGAAAAACCAACGCGAATCGCAAAATGTTGTTCTTAAACCACCCCAACATCAAAATAAAAGAAAAAATAATAAAAACATTAATCAAAAAATTAACAAAGTAAAAATTAGTTTCTAACAAAAATAATTTATTTATTTTCTCAAGGATGAGTTAATATGACATATAAAGTTGTTTTTGGTTTGATTGAAAAATCATATGTATACTTACGGAAAACACCGACAAGAAGACACACCAATAACAAAAGCCTACAGAAAATGCTCTTCATTTTTCTAAGCAAGTATATATTTTGTTGTTTTATGCTGGAAGGAAATAGAGAACAAAGGTATTCTTCATCCATTTTTATAGTATAATGTGGAAGATAATTTTGGAAATAATTACCAAAAAAGTTTACTTTTGTTAAGTAACCTTTTTAATCCTAGATTTTGTTGACCAAATAATTTTATCATTGACCAAATAATTTTAGCATTAACATTAATGACTATAACATTTACTAACTCTTTATTAATGCTTGAACTATAACAAAAATAGTTTCGTCATTAAAAATTGGAGATTTGTTTGAAAAAGAAATAATATTAATTTATCCACAATTTTTTTTTTTTGAATTAAAATAGTTAAAATTATCATTAACATTAGGTAAAATTAATAAAAAAAGAATATTATGAACTTTATGAGTCTTTGATAAGAGTAAAAATTATATTTTAAAATAAAATGGAAAAATATTTATATAATTAAGTAAAGTTACTGAATGGTAAACTAATTTCAGATATAACATATTTTAAACAAAACCATCTAATTTGGTTGGTTTTTGAAAATAGAGTAAATATATCAAAAGATAAAACAATGTTCTATTTTCATCTATGATCTATTTGAAGTTTTCTTACTTATAATAATCTATAATTTCTCTGAAATTTCAACGTTAAATATCAATATATATAAAAAGGATATATGATTATTATTTATTACAAATTCATGAATATTATTTTATCATTATTTATAAATAATTTCAACAATTAATAATTTAATTATCAAGTATTTTAGAATATTAATAAATAACTATATAAATTTATCAAAAATATTATTAAAATATAAATACCTAAGTAGATAATAAAGTATATCCTATATATTAAATAGGCAACTCCAAAAGTTTTAATAAAATATATGCTATATATTAGTTGGTTTATTCTGACAAAAATTGATTTTCAAACTTGTATGATCAAAAATCTATTTTTTTTTCTTTATTGATAACCCAGTGTAAATGGTCCATAATAAGAATCGTTTATTACGAACATGGTTCTTACTGGACACGACTCTTGAGCAATCTTTGTTCACAAAGCAAAATTGGACGTGTTAAGATGGACATGGACGCCGATATTGACAGTTCTACTGTCTTGTTTGGTTTTGCTTAACTCTTTTCTTCGTTAGCATTAAATCCCCTACTATTATCTGATATCACTATATTTTACATGATTTTACTATATAACTACTATGTTTTCAAACGGTTTTTGCAAGATTCTTTGCCTTTAGAGGTAGTTTTCTTGTATTTGTGGGATTTGAAGTCTTTGTAGGTGAAACCATCAAAAAGGATGCAAAAAGGAGTAAAAGAGCCTAAACCAAGATCCATGCAAGTTTCCAAGTCAAGAAGATCATTTTATCTCCAAGTGTTAGTTCTCGCTAGCGCGCAGAACGAAGCTTCGGAAGTTTGGCCGCGCGGAGGAGTTCCCGACGTCCAAAAGTTACGATCTTGATATGGAAAGATAGATACTTGAGTCATGCATCACGTCGAAGTGGAATGAAGCCATTTGGATCAACTATGAGGCCGGAACTTATTTTCTACCGAGACATGTCCGGTAAGCGAGCAAACGAAGCCCATGGAGGATTTGGAGTGTCTAATGGCCCGAGCAGCAGCGCCAAAGGCCTTGATCGAATAGAGAAGAGGCCTGGCTAATGTTTGGAGCTTTCCTTGGTACAATGTCGGCCCATACACGACGTGGAGAAGAAGGCTTTGGCTCATGGGAAACTTTCCTTTTCCGGCATGAAGAAAACCCTACGCGACTTCGCCCATATATACATGTTTTTAGCCGCTGAAGAAAAGAAGAGCGTGTGAGTTTGTGAGAAGAGAGTCAGAGAAGAGAGAAGAGAGAAGCCCTAGGAGATCGTCCAAGAAGAAGGAGGCGCCGCTCAACTCTTGTTCTTTCTTTTTCATTGTTTCCATTTCTATAAACTTGATCTTAAGAGTTTTCAAGGGAGAATCCGACTTTGTTCATCAATAGAGAAGCTTTCTTCATCCCTTTATCTCTTTTAATACTTGCATAATGTTTCAATCATGCTTTGCTTGCTTGTTTGCATCATGGCCGAGTAGATCTCTTAGTTAGGCCGAGGAGATCTATGGTGGCCGTGATGATTTGATTGTGTTGCAACTTATTGGGATTTATCTTATGGATCTTCACCTTTACTTGAGCTTAATGCATGATTACTCTACCGTACATCTAGTAATCTGATCTTAGAGAAATAGAACCACGACAGTGCTGAATCTAGATCTCAAAACTAGTATTTGGTGAGCAATAGATCATAGCCAACGAAAGCTGAGTTATGGTTTATTGTGAACAATTGAATCTTGATCACTTTAATGCATGTTTGCAATTCTAATAGCCAACGAAAGCTGAGTATATTAGGTTGTTTTAAACATAGTGGTTGGAGCCACGACAGTGGAAAGACCATACACTAGTGATTCATGTTCAAGACGGCTCTACACACATCCCATGCAACTATCTTTTCATCATTGCTCCATATGATTGTCCTTTGCCTAACTCTTGTTTTAAATTGTTTACAACCTCACTCACATCTCTTTTGTTTTGCTTTCTCATTCTAGGTCCAAAACCATCTCATATTGCGAGCTAGCTACAAACCAATCTCACAAGGTGTTAAGAGAACACTTCCTCCTCGTGTTCGACCCCGACTACAACACGGCTGTGCACTTGCAGCTCATTAGTTGGGTTTATAAATTGTGAAAATTTGAGGCAATCTAAACCCGCCATCAAGCTTTCTGGCGCCGTTGCCGGGGAGGAGTTGCTTTTCCTTCACACCTCTTGATTGATTTCAAGACTAGCTCATCTCATCTTTCACTTTTCTTTGTTTTTGTTTTTCATAAAATCTTAAAAACTCATAAAAATTTTACTTAACTCTCTCTTTGTGTGTTTCTAAGGTGCATGACAAGAAGGTCCAATCCAAATACAACCATTGAAGAAGATCTTGACATTGACCAACTTGAGCGCACACTTAGGCGACTAAGGAGAGAAAGAATGAATCCAGGCGGAGAAGGCGCGCCAAATAGGCCAACACAACCCGCCCGACCAAGAGAGGAGAGCCAATGATCCTCCTAATCCAGCAGAAGCTAGAGCTGACCAGCCAGCACCGGCCAGAGACGTTCCTCCCCCAATCCGAACGCGCCCGATGCAGCTGAGCCGCTACAGCCACCTCTTAACCCGCCGCGACCACCACCGGCGTTTGCAAATGGACATCATCGTCACGGTGACAACCAAGGGATGCCTCAAGACCAACCTCACGCACCTCCAAGGAGAGTGCCAAACGCGCAGCATCCAAGGCACCAAACTATGGGAGACTTTGATTCTTCCGATGCTTTCTTTATGGATCGGAATCCAATCCGACCGCCTCTACCTCCAAGGAACGATTTTGAGATCAAACCGCAGATCATTGCCTTGGTGAAGCAAAACCAATTCCATGGTTTGCCCACTGAGCATCCTCTTGATCACGTCGACACCTTTGAGGAGATATGTAGCACAACTCGTGTTAATGGAGTATCACCGGATTACTTCAAGTGCAAGCTATTCACTTTTTCTCTAAGTGACAAGGCGCTAAGATGGGTAAAATCTTTACCACCTCAGTCCATTACAACATGGAATGAATACAAGGGAGCTTTCTTGAACCAATTCTACACTAAGCAAAGATCCAACTCTATAAGGAGCAAGATTTCTGGTTTCAAGCAAGATTCAATGGAGTCATTCTATGAAGCTTTGGAGAGATTCAAGGAGTACACAAGAAGCTGCCCTAACCATGGCTTTTCAGAAGGTAACCTTTGGAACATCTTTTACAATGGGATTGATCATAAATACAAGCTTTCTCTCGATACCGCGAGCAATGGTAACTTTCATGACCAAGTCGGTGCCGGAGGCAAAGCTTTTGATTGAGAATCTCGCTGCTAGTGATGCCAATGCATGCCCTGACTACAATAGAAGCGTGAAGACCACGAGCTCATCAGAATCAGCTCAAATCTCGGAGCTAAGGAACATGGTCTCACAACTACTTAAAAGCCGGCAAGGAGTTCACGCCATTGAAGATGCCCTAGCCACAAATGAAGACACTCTTATGGATTTCATGAGAGATGGCACTGAAGAGAATCTAGAGGAAGTCAACTACATTGGAGGAAACTATGGGAATAGAGGATTCAATCCACCATTTCGCGCGCATCCAAACCTATCATACCGGAGCAACAATGTGTAAAAACCTTCTGTCTCTTACACTCCTCTGACTTTATAGTAAACCCACGGGTGTCCCAGCTGTTCATTGTCTCAGACTCAGACCCTGCACTAGCGTCAATTTCCCAAATAATAACCATATCTTGCGATGTGTCTATGGTGTAAGCCGGCACACTCTCTTGGAGTAACTCAGAAACAGAACAAGCAATGAGGGTTTGTCGGGACATCAGCTCACTTCCATGCTTTGCTTGAGTATCGAGCTTGATACTTTGTTACCTTGTTGTGAAGACTGAGTTTTGATGCCAGATCCATAGACAAGAAGTTGTGAGTAGCTCCAGAGTCTATTTCAATGCTAACCTCATGATTTCCCAGAAATCCTTGGAATCGAAGTGAGCTTTCATCAAATGGACAGCTAGTATCTTTTCCTTGTATCCCCACTTGGTCGACCAACTTCATTTTCATGAATTCTCGTGGGTTATTCCCTTGCTCCCTTGTACTAGCTTGACTTCTGATTTCAGCATCCTCTTCTAGCCACTGAGCTAAATCCATCATTTGTATAATTTCCTTAGGTTGAAATTGCTTAACGGCATTTCGTAGCTGTGGCTTCAGGCCGAGTAAGAAGATATCCTCCCAATGCCTACCAGGAAGATGACTTGTGTTGAGGCAAAGAGCTTCAAAACGGTTCCTATACTCTCTCACCGAACTCTCTTGGCGAATTCCTTGGTACCAGTTTGGCGCTGCTCTTTCTCTAGTATCTCTATAGCCCCCTTCAATGTCTCTTGGTTCCTGGTTCTCATATTATGTTCTCATATTTCCCGGATTGGACCGTAGCCCCAAGTAACCATTAGTTGTTCTCTACCCGCAGGATTTCCATTCCTTCTTGACTGATCACCATTTCTTACTGGTTTCTGGAAAATCAAACTCTTAAATTCCTCCCAAGTGCGTGGAGCCTTCCTGTCCCAAAGCTCCTTAATCCTACTTCCCGCTGGTCCCTGTAGATTATGATAGGCTACCTGTATCTTCTCACTCGCTGCAATGTGGTTTGCAGAACAATGTCTCTCAAAACATTCCAGCCAATACTCTAGCTCTGCAGCTGAACTGTGTGACAACCTTGTTTCTCTGCCAACTCCAATTAAGCTTTCTCTCTTGTGAGCTCCACCATGTTCAGTCTCATGATACCTCCTTCTATCATGTTCATCATACAAAACAGCTTGTGACCTTCTATTTATCGGTTCTCCATCAGCCCCACGAACCAGTGACTCTCTCACACCCCCATTTTCTGAACCATAATGTCTTGGATTTACAGGGAGCCTTTCAGTTCTACGATCCTGGACAGTGACCTTCCCAAATCCATACTTATCGCTGTTCATGATAGCTTCACTTCCATTTAGCTTCACGTGTCCTCCTCTATCACTTTCAGCATCTAGAACATCTCATTTCCACTCCCTGTTGATACCACTCAAACTAGGGCCTAAGTGTCAATATCCAATGTTTTTCTCACCATACCTCTGATCTGTTTTCCATCCTGTATCTACCATCACTATTTTCCGCTTGAGATGCGCTCTTTCTATCTTCCCATTCCCTAAACGATTTCGAAAAACAGAACCACGAGGCATACCATGGTCCTTGCAAGCCAGCAAAATCGCACTCTGTGTTGACTTCTTATCATGGTGGAATCATCTCTTCAAGCCTACTGGGTTAACACCGATGCATCTTTCTTGAGAACTCGCTGTCGCTCGTAGATCTGGTGCACCAGAGATCTCGATATCCTTTTTCTAAGATCTCTTCTTCCCTTTCTTCATCCGAGTCTTATAGTACCTTCGATCTGCATAGGACCACTTGTTTATGCTATCCTTCGTCACATGTTGCCTCTGGACAGGTTCTGAATCAGAAGAAGCATCATATGGATTTTCGCCAACCAAGTGTTCGACAAAATGCCCCACAGGTTCGTTGATGCTTTCCTTCAGTTTTGGCTCTTCTAGCCTTGTCTCTTGATGCTGCGGAAGCTACAGTGTGTCTGCGTTGCTCACGGATGATGTCTCGCTGATTGAGCGTCTCCTGAAGCTTAACCAACTTATCATAGATCCGCTGCAGAAGCTCGTCACTGTTGGAACCCATTTTTGAGCACACAACCCACAGTCAGAAGATAAGACCGCTCTGATACCAATGGTAAGCTCAGGCTTTATTCACGAATAGAAAGGAGGGAGAATAGACGAAGATTGAGATGAGAAAAGAAGATTAGAGAGAAAGAAATATTTTCATTGATAGTTTTGGTGATCTTTTTAGATAAAGTATTTACAAGGATAATCTCATTAAAGGAAGATAACTAATAAAACAACAACATAATAGCAATAGAGTTATAATACTCATTTAAGCCCATAATGTCCCATATCCATACTTATCAGAAACCCAATACCATGATGTTGTGGTCAAAACATACCGCAAACAGCTTCCAAATTTGCTCAAGAACATTATCAGCAAAGCAAAGTGTGGGGGAAAAAACCCGGCTTTTGTAAGTGATGGTGACTGGAGTCTTATGCTAGAGTACTGGGACACGGCTAATGCGGTGAGGAAGTCTAAAACTTGTAATGAGGCCAGAAATTCAGATAGTGCTGGCTATGGTAAACCTCGCCATACATGCGAATCAAAGGGCTTCCTCAAAATTGAATTCGAAATGGTATGTGCCTTGTTTACATAATTCAAGTTTTTATTTTATTTGTCTTCCACTTGGGCTAATTTATTAATCAATTAACTTTTTTGTTCCTAGACTGAAGAAAATAATAGTGTCAAGCCTTCTATCATTGCTTTGATTAAGCGGACTCACACCAAAGCAAATGGAACATTCGTGGACAAATACGCTGAGGAAATCTGTGAGGAAGTGTATAGCTTGGCAGCTCAAATGTCCCCTGCCACTTCAGATGATGAGTATGACAGTGGAGATGATTCCACTGTCTCAACACCTTGGCCAATCATGCTGAATAAGGCATTCTATAAGGTAAAACCTTATGTATGTTATTTCTTGGTTTTGTCTTATAAATAAATTTGATGGGAGAATTGTGAAATGGGTTTAGTTCGCTTAGAGACTTGGTGTTCTGTTTTTTTGTAGTTTAGAGATTGGGTGTTCTGTTCTGCTTTTGATTTAGAGTTAAATTTAGTTTGAAAAAGCTGTCTTAAATCAACCGTTGATGAGAATTTGATAATTTGATATTCTTGTCTTGCAATGATTCTTGGTTTTGAATACAACTTCATGCATTTTTATTACCAAATGTAATGTCTTCTGGTTTTTTCGAGTCTAGTTCACACTTGTTAGACAAATTAAATGTTGTTTGTTTGTGACTGGGTTTATTACACGACACTAGTTTGAATTTAAGGCTAGCAATATTTTTGTTTGGTTGTGTTTTACTTTAGCTGCATGTTTTTATACTGAAATTATAGTTTGTATGTTTGTCCATCTATTCTTTTGTTAACACATCTTTTCCATTTACGTAGCGTGTTCCGGTGAGAAAAGGAAACCGGTTTGGGTTGGGCTCTATTCATCATCATGAACAGGTAAAAAAAGCTTCATCAGTTTGTTACTCATCTCCAGAGATTGAAGAAATTACTGAGCTGAAAACCACCGTAGCTGCACTTCAAGCTACTGTGAACACCCTAATTGAAACTTTGAGGACAGGTACAACACCAACACCAGGAACCACCCAACAACAGCCTCACCAGCAACCACCATCTTAGCCTAGTTCACAACAACCAGTGGAGGATTGAACTTGTCCAGTAGGTACTTAATGCACTTTTTAGCCTCTTAATTTTAAGGGAAAACTCTAAGTGTGTTTGGTTTTGTTTCATATTGAATGATTTAAGTTTGTATTTCCTATTGTCTCAAACATGTTTAATACTAAGTTTGTTTCTACGGTTTTTATTTTATACGTTTAGAACTTTGAATTACCAATTTACATATGAGAAATTACAGATTATAGCCAATTGATACATTTAGCTATTTAGCTACATCAGCTGCTAGTTCAGCTACCATTTTTTTATGGTTAAGTAGTGAAATTTGCGACAGATATAATTGTAGCAGATCAGTAGCTGTGAATATATGGCTACCATTGAATCAGGTACAAAATCAGTGACCATATAGCCACCAGTTGTTAGTGGATAGATCGGTAGCCATTGGCATCAGATAAATTGGTGGTAAATCAGTAACTAAGACAATATTGGCTACTCTTATATTAGTTGCCCATTCAGTAACAATGAGCCACGGTATAATGGTGGATAAATCAGTGGCCACCGGCAACTGGTTTATAGTAGCGATTAGTAGCTATAACAATGTTGGTTACCTTTTTATCGGTCACCAAATCAGTGGCCATTTGACACTGCAAATTGGTGGGAAGGTCAGTCGCGATCAGCCACCAATTAATTGTTCAATTTTGGGTGGCTATTTAGCCACTAAATTATATTGTAGCACGCTGGTGGCTATTTAGCTACTATTGGCTACCGAATAAAATTAGCTACCATCGGTCCACAACCGTTTACTTTGGTGGCTAATGGTGGCGAAATATTATTTACCCACTGAATTAAGAGTTTAACCACTGAAATAACAGTGGCTATAAAACAGTATTCTTGTAGTGTTTCGCCCTTGGAATACTTTACCAAAAGCAATACTTGAGTAGATCAGTGATTCTCTTTTCAAACAAGAAAACGAATACAGAAAACCAAGTTAAATTTTGAAATAATCTAAACCACGTTAAATTTGATGAGCAAAAGACTCCAACATATAGTCGGCTAACACCATTTCCACAAACTCTCCATGTGTACAATCATCCCACAAGTACAACATTCTCCCTCCTATCACCTTGTCCACCTAGAAATGCCAACAAATTTCTTCCAACGTCCACGCTCCATACACATAAGTCAAACAAACCATTATCTGCATGAAAACAAATGTAAAACACATTAAATAGAAAATTTTGCCGAATAGGTAGACCTCTCTATGAGGTCTATACAATTTAAGCTGATTACCTAATTTAAACGAAAAAATTAATGGAGTCTTAATTATAGCAGACAGACAAGTGAAACTCTTAGAAAAGCAAGTAAGTAGTCTAGAAGAACATTTTTAACTTTCACAAAAAAACATTTTTCAAAACACTAAGCACTATAGACCACAACCGTAGATCTCATCCCTAAACCAACCCCAATGAGATTTAAATCACAGCTGTAGACCTAAATGAGGTCTACGGAGATTAGTTTTGCGATTGACCGAGGGAGGGCTTTTTCCTGAGGTCTACGGAAGAGGTCTAAAATAAAAGAGGTTAGTTTTGCAATCGATAAAATTTAACCGTGTAGACCTCACATAGAGGTCTACTAGTCATATTAGGTCGCCGCATGAGGTCTACAGGATCTGTAGACAAAGAAATTATTTTTGCAATTGATTCTTAAATTACACTGTAGACCTCAAGTCTAGACCTCTGACTATTTTGCGTTGACCAACTTATTGTTGTAGATCTCAGTGTGAGGTCCACAGCTCACCCGTAGACTTCACGCGCAAAACAGCCTTTGTAGACCTCTAGTTGAGGTCTAACTTATAAAGTCGAACATGGGTCAATTGCAAAACTAACCTCTTTGACTAGTAGACCTCATAAAAAAGCCCTCCCTTGCAATACAAGAAACAAGCGATATTCTGACGGAATTATCTATGGTGCAAATCCGTCGGTAGTTTTCCGACGGACTTCCGACCGTTTTCCAACGACAAAACACGGGTCGGGAATCCGTCGGTAATTTCCGTCGAATTTAAACTCGTCGATACACCATCGGAAATATTATATCCAAAAGCTCGTAGCTGGTCTTGGTTTGCCGTATCAGATGATAGATGCGTATATCGATAATTGTATGATCTATTAGAAAGAGGATTCAGACCGTACCACATGTCGATTTTGTGGCAAACCTCGGTTTAAGGAAAGTGGCGGATGAGTATCAATCCCACATAAATGGATGTGGTAATTGCCATTAGCTGAGAGGTTAAAGAGATTATATCAATCACATCATACAGCGGAGGCTATGAGATGGCATGCAGAGCATACAATGGGAGGAGAAATTACTCATCCGTCCGATGCAAAAGCGTGGAAACATTTTCAGTCAGTGTATCCTAATTTTGAATATGAGCGACGGAATGTATATCTCGGCTTGAGTACAGATGGTTTTAACCCTTTTGGGAAGAATGGGAGGCAATATTCGGTGTGGCCCGTGATCGTGACGCCTTATAATTTGCCTCCGTCTTTGTGCATGAAACGAGAGTTTTTGTTTCTCACCATTCTCGTTCCAGGTCCAGAGCATCCTAAGAAATCACTTGATGTGTTCTTGCAGCCACTTATTTATGAGCTACAAACATTATGGGTGTAACATCCGTAGACCAAAGAATTGTGATTTTTCTTTAGTGTCGGACGACACCAGGATGGTGTCGATCGACACCAATGGTTAAAATCCAATTCCCGGTTCGATTTAAGTCTGTTTAGCCCGGTTTTGGGCCAGGAAGCCCTTATTCGTGAATAAAAAGAAGAGCAGCCGCGTCTGTTTCTGATTTTGTCGTTTTGCGGACTGGAGAAGGGGAAGAAAGGCGATTTTGGGTGATTTCGTGTGGTTCTTGATCGATCTGAGGCTAGTTTGTGCTGTTATTTGTTGTTCTTCGTTGTCTATCTCCTCCTTTCCCGTTTTCAATCCAATCTGAGGTGTGTGCATAATTGTGGGTCCGTGATTGCGAGGATTGTTGATTGGTGCTTGATTTTGTTTTGTTTTGTGTTCATTTGGGTGTTTGATTGCATTGATTTGAGTTACTTGTGTGATTTCTGTGTTTCGGGTACTGTTCTTCATCGTTCTCTGCGTGTTGAATCTCGGTGTCGGTCGACACAGGAGGGTGGTGTCGAGCGACACCGTCCGGTTCAGTTGAATTTAATTGGTTTAATGGAATTGAATTGTTTTAATTCAGATTTAATTAATTAAATTGTATTTAAATAATTAATTGGCTTAAAATAATTATTTTACATATGAAGCATTATTATTTAAGTATGAGAATTATTTAATAATTGAGACTTGGAGTTTTAATAATTATTGAGTTTTATAATAATTATTTAATTGCTAGTAATTGCGTAATTGACATGTAGGCAGGGTGTGATGCAGATAAAAGATTTGTGTGATCGCGGAATCAAGGCTGAAGAGGGGATAATAGAATTTTATGTGTTTTGCATTATTTTATTTGAACCTGTTTAGGTTGCTAGATTTATTTTATTGAGTTAATTGTTTTTGCTTCCGCTGAATATTGTTATTGATTTGATTATTTATTGAATTTATTTTCAGACTTCCCGTTTTTCGAATGTCTCTTCCCGTTTTTCGAATGTAATTTTCGATTCAATTCCCAGAGAAGCCAACACTTTGGCTGACTCTATCGCAAAACTCTCTCTCCATGACCTTTTGGTGGTTGCGGAGTTATTTCCGATTTAATGAAAAGCGAACTGTTTGCACACAAAATAAAAAGTTGAATTTATTTTCAGACTTCCGCTAGAATTATTGGAGGAATTGCAATTTTAGACACAATTTCATTTTTTCTAGTTAACTAGACCACAAATTGAATCAATTGCAAACAAAAAAGTTGTATGCCTCGATTACAATTTTAACCTCCGGACCAGGTAGTTCTACCGCGATGGTCTACCTGGTAGACAATATTGGAGGTCTACCTGGTAATAACATCTTTGCTTTTTTAATTAACAATTCAAAAATAATATTTGTATACAAAAACATGTATGAATAATTGTAATATAGACATTATCATCTATCAAAAATATGAATGCATACAAATGAATCATTTATAGATAAGCAAAGACATGTCACTAAATTTTAATTTTAGTTATAAAATGTGAAAAAAAAAAAAATTGATGAAAATGTTTTATACATAAATACAATACAGAAAACTTGCATCTATATAACATATAATTTCATAGATTTGAACCAATTGAACTATGAAAAAAAAACAAATTAGGTTAAAACCTTACAAAACCACGTGAGGTCTACCAAGTAGGTCTACTGAATCATCAAATCTTAAATTTAAATTAAGAAAAATTTAAAAAATAATTTGAAATATTTTTTTCACAAATAACAAAGTAATAGACATTTGACATCTATTAAAAACAAAATATCAGAAAAATACATGAATCTATAAATATCATGTACGTTCATATTCATATTATGTTCGAATCGGCGCCGTCTTTGGTCCACCGTGTGGTGAATTTGTCGCCGTTGTCTAACAGAGTCGGAGCGCTCCTCAACAACCCCCTATCCCGGTAGTAACTCCGTCACTTACTCTTCTTACCATTTTGGCATCGTATAACCACATATAATCTCACCGAAATCATGAGTTTTTTTTTTGTCGTTAGATCTCGTTTCAGATATCGTTCCGCTGCTTCGTGATAAGCGCTTGGGACTGTCGTTTTCCCACAGAGGTACAAGTCGTATATGTCTTTCTTCTTTGTGATTTCTTCCTGTTTTCGTCTTCGTGACTTTCGTGTTTCTTCTTCGTGATTTCGGATGAAACATAGTAGACCTTTGTGGTAGACTTTTTTGGTAGACATTTGTTGTAGACCTTTGCGGTAGACCTTTGTGATAGCCCACTTAGATTTTCCTTTTTGTCTATGCAGAATGGAGAAGCCTACCTTTCCAACAAGGTTATACACAAGAGGAGCTGAACCGGAAGCCCAAAAGAGCATTTCCTACAACATCAACGACAAAAAGCTGTTTCCTGCCGTAAAACAACTCTTAAGTGATGCCGAGTGGAAAACACTATGCGACTCGCGAGTTGGTGTCTTCTGCAAGTTTTACGACCTCAAATTCGAGTGGTCTTCGAAGTTGGTTCACACGATGCTCTCATTTCAGTTATTAACTTTGCCTTATATTTGTAGCTGAACTTCGATCATTACATAATGATAGAGAGAGATTTTGCTTACCCAAAGTGGGATGATGATAAAGATGACCCGCTCGCAGATAATCTCATCAAGGCGCTGAACGGAGAGGTCACTGGAAGTGGAAACTGGCGGACTGGAATCCTCAAGGTGTTATGGTGAAGAATCCTAAACCCGCGGAGTCTGCGAAGAGGAAAAGATCCTCAAACCATGGTGATGAAATGCAGAAGAGGCTGTGTCCTGAGAGTGTTTCCCTTGCTGAAGATGGCTTCAGTCGCTTTGAGGAGAAGCTGAAGTTGCTGTTTGAAGAGTGCACCAGTAAGTTGACTGCAGAGATGAAGTTGGGCTTTGAGCAGTCTGATTCAAAGTTCACTATCCTAACTAGGAAGGTGGTCCGCATAGAAAAAACCGTCCAGATTATGCAAGCAGCATCAAGGCGTTCGGACCTCGAACCTGAGGAACATGAGGCACCTAAATAGAAGAACGAGCCTGCTGGTGATGAGGGAGATGCTAAAGCCGAGGAGAAGGCTGCCACTCCTATGAAGGACAAGCCTAAGGAACCATTTGAGATGCCTCAACTGAAGGACGAGGTGTCCGGTGAAGAGGAGGAGGAGGCTGCATCCGAGGAGAAGGTTGTCGATAACACTGCCGAGATGGCTGCTCCTAAGAAGAACAAAGCTCGGGTTAGTAGTGAACCCTCTCCCACATCTTCGTCTAGGAAGAAAATCAGCCTTCTAAATCTACTAGGGTCCTTCGAGATAGGAAGCAAGATACGAAGCAGAACCCGAAATATCAGTAGTTTAGTCTATCGCTGCTGTTCTTAAATTATCATGTTTCTATATGTGTGAAGCTTTTTACTGTGTGTAAAACACTGAATATATATGTGTAGTTTATACAATTTATACATCTGTTTACCAGAATTACGAAATATTGATGCAAGCGTCATTCATTCACATTTGCAGGAAAAACAAGTTTTATCTCCATGTGGTAGTGACAATGGCGTTGATCCGGACCTCGTTTTTGTTAAGCAGTATACACCAACAAAAGAACAAGAAGCAGCGGACACAAAGAGGATGCAATTAAAACAACAAGCAGCAATAAATATTGCACGTGGAAATGTAGAGAAACAGCGACAGCTAGCTGCTACACAATGATCTCCGTTTGTAGGAGATAGCACAGTCAAGGGAATCACTCCTAACAAGCCACGACTTGGATTTGGGTACGATCCCAATGAGCCAGTCGATAAGGAGAGACTCGCACGACTGAAGAAAGAGTTTAAAGGCATTATGTAAGTAGTTTCTTAAACTCCTTCTTAGTTATATGAGCTATCCTGACTTGTTTGATTACCAACTGAGCTTTTTATGTATTTTATCCAGTGGCCCTAAGAAATTTGACATCTTCAAAGAACCTCAACTACACTGGTGGTCGGAATTGGTCGTGCAGACGCAATGGCTTGCTGATACGGTAAGTAGACCAATATGGTAGACCCATATGATAGACCTATATGGTAGACTTATATACTATTTCAGCTTTTGCATCATTTTGACTCAGTATTTCGCATCTATTTTCAGAACATGAACGCAATATTAGACCTGTTTTGTCAGCGCATGAAATTGCACCCAGAGTGGTTTAGGAGTGATCGAATTTTCTTTGTTGATAGTGGTCTTTGTCTGATGTGGACGAAAGACAAGTATGACAGGTTTAAGAATACTGAGCTGGATATACATGGACTATGAAGGTGGCTCCCGGGAGGTTCGACTGATTACTTTGAAGGGAAAAAACCACTATTCTGCCAAACCCTGGAGAAATGGGAAGTAGATATTGATGAGATCTACATGCCATGGAATGTCAAAGACAATCATTGGATGGTGTTGATGATTTTGTTACCTAAAAGGCATATTACTGTGTGGGACAGCATTCTAAATTATCTCCAGGAGAATGTGTTATCCGCATCTCTCAAGCCTGTTGCTGTGAATGTGCCTTATCTACAACGGCTCATGGCTGACACAAATGAAAGGCATAGGTACTCGTTCGCCCATTTCACCCACGAGTATGTTTCCGGAGGAGATGTGCATGCATAAGACAATGCAACTGACTGTGGAGTGTACTGTCTAAAGTTCATCGAGTATCATAGTCTTGGGAGGCTTTTTCCGAAGACGCTACGTGGTAAGAACATGAGAGCTATCAGTGCAAAGCTTGGAGCGGACATACATCATGAGATCAACTGCCGTGGATCTCCAAAGCATAATTGGGATGACCTGGACATATAGCTAGCTAGCTAGATCGGTATATATTAGTTAGTCTGGGTTTTTTTGGGAAAGCGGATATGGTACCATATTTTACTATGTACCTAAAACTCACCCTCTAATTATTTTTTGATGTATCACATAACAAGATAACTTCGATGTAACCCAGCTAATTCTATGATATAATATAACGGTTTTTGAGAATACCTTTATCGTTGTCATCGAATGAATGCATGTTTTCCGAACATAGACATTTATATCAGATAAAATGAAGAACATAAAACATAAAGTGGTCGACCTTAGTCGTAGACCTCATGTGTAGACCTCTAATGTAGATCTCGGTATCATACAATTCAAGACAAAATTACATAAAAAACTTGAAAACAGCACAAAGTAGACCTCTATGGTAGATCAAAAAGGGTAGAGATAAAGCGTTGACCAAAACTCAGGTCTACCAAGCTAAAGTAGACGGAATCTTCGGTCTACCGATGAGAAGTAGACCGATTAATCAGTCTACTTGTTCAGTCTTCCGCTGCGGTGCTCACCTGGTGCTCACCTACAACAGTTGAAAATTAGATGAATCTCAAGTAAGGATAAATATTAAACAGAGCGAGTTTTCAATGGCCTACACAATGAGGGTGGGTATGTCTTGGAAGCCTGCACAGCCAACAACTATAAACTTTGTGGATCTTCCTTGGTTTGGTGTGTTTCTTCCTTGACAATTCTAGCCATGCTAGAAATGTTGATTTCTTTTTCCGGCCACGAGCTGGCTTCACTTCTGGAAGGAGGAAAATGTCTTCTTCTTTCTCTGCATCTTGTGTAGGCTTTGGGTATGTGAGATGTGCATATGTTGAGTACAAAGACTCTTTGGTGTATGTCATTGACACGTTTTGCGACATGTGAACAAGGTATTTTCTCAACCTGGAATACACCACATTCTCATGAACCGTTTTCCAAATTGACAGTAGAAGGCCCTTCTCCGCCTATAACATTGAAATTCCAAACATCTATGTGTTCCACAGTGAATGATTCTGCGTAGTGTGAACAAACATCCAGCAGATATTCAACTCCCTTGCTGTATGGGGTCTGAAGACTCAAGGTGTCCTCTCGCCTTTTAGTAAACCAAATCCCTAACTTCTCCCGGATGAACTGCAGCAGATAAGGTATTGGAAAGCCTTTAGCTCTCTTCAATGCGGAATTGATAGATTCAGTAATGTTACTTGTCTTAATATTGTATCGATCCCCTGAAAAATGTATTCTGAACCATAGCTTAGGATCTGTTTCCTCTAAGTAATTCGCAAGTTCTTGTTTAGCAGCTCGGAGTGCGGCCATGCAACGGTTATACTCTATCAGTGTATGGGCGTAGGCAGCTCCTTTCACCAAATACATCAAGTCTTTTGCACCAAACTTTGAGACAATGTTATGCTGAAGATGGTAATAACAAATACCTCTGGTTACCCAAGATAGAACTGGTTACCCAAGATAGAACATTGAGACATCCATTAGGTATGGAGGGGTGCCTGTCCGAAACTATTACCATGGGATGAGGTGAAAAGCATTGCTGCAACTTGGTCATAAACCAACCCCAAGATTCGTTATTCTCGGCATCTACAATCCCAAAAGCCAACAGGAAAACCTGAAAATTAGCGTCTTGACCGGCTGCAACAAGCAAAACTCCTCCATACTTTCCAGTTAGATGAGTCCCATCTACCACAATAACATGTCTCAAGTACTGAAATCCCAACATTGAAGCATATAAGGATAAGAAGCAGTATTTGAATTGATCCATATCATCACAAACAAGGTCAATCACGGAGCCAGGGTTTGACTGCTTCACTCTCCGCAAGTACGAGGGCAAGGCCACATATCCAGCTTCTGGTGTTCCCCTAACAAAAAGTTGTGCAGCTTTTAAAGCTCTGTAAGAAATGGTGTAATGAAGCTTAAGTCCAAGCATCACCCTTATAGCGTTTGCAATATGCCTTGGGACAATTTCATCAATGATTTCAAACTGCTCTACAAATATCTGCCCAAGATACCTTGGAATACATCCCTTTCGGAATCGAGCACGGTCAACGACAGAGCATGTATGAACCTTGACATACTTTGTGACGAAGAACCTCTTTTCTTCATTCTTTATAGCAGCTCTGCACATCCATTTGCATCCATCTACAAAACATTTTGCCTCATAGAGCTTGGTAGTGGACTTAGAAACCTTGAAGGCGAATCTAGACATCACTTCCTTCACTCGCAAGGCATATATGAGATCATCCTTGCTTACATAGCTTTGGCCAGTTGATATATCGCCTGACCCATTTACATTGAATCCTCTTGAATGACCATTCACATCACCTCTGCGAAGCCTTTATTCAAAGCATTGTTTCTCCCAATCATCTTCATCTTGAACTTTCCCATACTCAGTATAGTCTGCATCTGTGTCTTCAGCTTTCTTTCCTGCAAAAACTTCATCCACATAGTTTGGTCTACCAGAAAATTAAGCTAGTTACCTAATTCAAAAGAAAACCGAATGAAAGAACATTTCAAACACACACAGAAGCAAGTAAACAAATAAAAACAACTAACTATTCGAGAAAATTTTCAAAATATTTGATATATTGAAAGGAAAACGACATTTAAAAAAACCCATAATAATAGACCTAAAACTAGACGTACTCGGTAGACCTCCAGTTAGGTCTACTCCACGTGGAGGGTTAGTTTTGCAATTGATCGAGAATTTTTTTCGTTTTTTGAGGTCCACCTTGTCGGTCTACTACATGTGGAGGGTTAGTTTTGCAATTCACCAAACACTGACTTTTTCACGGTAGACCTCGTTTTGATTGGTAGACCGCTCAATCGGTCTACGGAACATAATGAGGTCTACCGTGTACGTCTACCAGAAAACATAGACCTCTCAATCAGTCTACCAAAAAAAGTAGACCTCTGAATTAGTCTACGCCTTAGGTTTACCTACCAAAAAAGTTTGTTTTATTGTTGACTCAAGTTTGACTTTCCTCGGGTTAATTTCCATGCTAGACCTCGGTGTTTTGCGTTGACCAGTAGACTCAGGGCCGGCCCTGACCTAAAGCAGGTAAAGCTTGGTGCTTTAGGCGCCAAACATTTATATATAATTTGGGGTGCCAAATTTCTTAAAGTTACTATAGCTCAGTGGTTATCCGCTTCCGAAACTACTCCACTGTCATGGGTTCGACTCTTCACAAGCGGTATCTGTCATTATTTTATAAAAATATATTTTTTAAATGGGCGCCAGATTTATTTTTGCTTTAGGCAGAATTTGTTATTGGGCCGGCACTGAGTAGACTTCACCTGCGGTTTACCTGATGGTAGACATACATGGTAGACTTCAATGACGCAAACTCTCTCATTTTTTAGGAAAGTCAAACTTTTGTCAATTGCCAAACCAACTTTTTTTTTAGGTAGACCAACAAGGTAGACCTCCAAAAACCATTTCCCCCGATCAATTGCAAAACTAACCCTCCACGTGTAGTAGACCGACAAGGTAGACCTAAAAAAAACGTTTTTCTCGACCAATTGCAAAACTAGCTCTCCACGTGGAGTAGACCGAAGTGGAGGTCTACCACTTGTTTTTTGTTTTCAAAGGAGTTGACGAGGTCTACTTTGCGTTGACCAGTAGACCTCAACTGAGGTCTACAATATAAAAGTAGACCTCCACTTCAGTCTACCTTCGCGGACCAAAACTGAAAGTCGTTGAATTTTGAAAGAAATGTTACCTGGCCGTCGGAGAAAGGCTTTTCCAAGCCTAAAAACAAGCTCCAGTCATCAATGTAAGCTAAACAATCGGAAATACCAAGATCCAAGATTTGAGATTTCTTATAGAGATTTTGGGATGAAAATGGAGAGAAGATGGAAGAATAAGAGTTTGTGAGATGAAAGAAGGAGAAATGCTAGCTCACGAATGAGTTTTTGGAGCATTGAAAGCTCCATTTTGGGTGAAAATTGTGGTTGGCAACATTGATGATATGACATTTTCGAAATTATGTGTAGGAGATGAGGGGTCTTTGGTCTTTCAGCAGATCTGGTAGACCTAAATATCGGTCTACCAATCGAAAAATTAATGGCATTCCGGTAATTAACTAGAAAAACCTGGACAAACTTAAAACGAAAAAAGCAGGAGGTTAGTTTTGCATTTGACCACAATTTTTTGTCTAACAGTAAAAATACCCCAGAATTGTTTAAGATTTATTTAATTATAAAAATAAAAGTGTTGGTTTTTTCAATGGGAGAGTGGTGCTGAGACGTTTGATGTTTCCTCTCAATATAATTTTATGATGCGCGCGGTACTTATGTGCACCATAAGTGATTTCCCAGCGTATGAGATGTTATTAGGATTGACCATGGAAGATTATCATGTCTTTATTGTCAAGATAAAGACAAGTGCGTCCCAGTTGAAGTATGGACGGAAGACATGTTGGTTTGATTGTCATAGACGTTTTTTGTCGAGAGACCATCAATATCGTGAAAGCACCACACTGTTTAGGAAAAAAACAGAAAAGTATTTGATAATCCACTTCCTGTTTTCGAAGGTCAATATTTATTGGATCAACTTAGAGAATATGGGGCTGGAAAGACAGTGGAATGTGATGGTAAGGGCATGTTCAGGTCAACGATTATGGCTCCCTACACAACTGGCACAAGAAAAGTATTTTTTTGGGATTTGCCTTATTGGAAAGATCATCTATTAAGGCATAATATAGATATTTTTTCAGAAAATATTATTTTGCTGTTTTTGTAGAAACTTTTTTGTAAGATTTTGAGCGAAAAATATGATTTTGTGGATAATTTTAATTTTTTTATTTATGTTTAAACCTTATTAGAAGTATATTTGTCATTTTCACATTTTGAATGAGGATGATTTATTTAGATTATCCAAATCGTATCAACCTAGATTATCCAACTCGTATCAACGAGATGGTCCATCCGGATGTCGAAAGTTTTTCCTGAAATTCTTAAACTCATTCAGATTGTCCATCCGAATGTTGTTCATTTTTGCTATTAAATGAACATCAGTTATCAGCTTTTTCCAGATTAATCATCTAGATAAGTAAACGAACATGAACCTATTATATTTCTGGGTCATTACTAATCAATTGCAATTTTACTAAATCTATACTTACTTGCTTTAACACAATTTTACCAATCCCTTTACTTAGTCAAAACAATCTACATATTCATTGCAAAACCAATGGACAAAAAACATTTGAGAGAACAAATCAAACAATGGTATAAGAAAAGAAAAATCAGAAAAAATCACACTTAGTTGTTGGAGAAACGAAGAGGACCAAGTATGACGAGGGCCACATACCACGAATTAGGACGAGATTTACGACCAGGATGAAGGATGAGGAGGACGAACGAGTGGTTGTTCAAATTTGGATAACTGATGACGGAGGAGAAGAACGTAGGACCACGAAGGAGAAGGAAGGAGGACGACAGAAAAGGAGGATGATGTTAAAGACAATGGTGAGGAGATAATAAGAACAAAAAAAACAAAGGAGAAAGAGTATTTCGAAATTTGGGTAGAAAAGAGTTACATAAATAATTTTTAGAAAACCAAAAATATAATTAAAATCGTTTATAACTATTTCTAATTATATTTGAGTGTTAAAATTGGATTAACATTATTATAAAGATTAAGTGGACAATAAGAAATTCAGAAATATTAAGAAGACATAAGCTTCATTTTTTCATCTCTCTTTGCTATATTTCAATTCCCAATAACCCTCTATTCACTAAAATGAATTTCCAATAATCCTCTCTAAATGAACTCATTATCACCATCTTAAAATAATATTTGGCTGTGTCCCTTTATAACTTCACCGCAATTTTAACTCTAAGTACCATGAGTGTGAGTATTGTTTGTTAATATTTCTTTTTTCAGTTGAAACAGATCGCAAAGTGTTGGAAATAGATGATAATGTGTTTCAGATAGAAATGTGTGATATGTGTGGGTTCTTGGATAATGATTGAATCTCGTACGAATCATTTTCCTTAAAAAGCATTTTGAACCTTATACATTTTTTGGTTACAGGAAATATCTCACACGATAAAATAATCACGTGTCTAGGCTTTAGATCAAAGAGTAATAAATAGAGATTTTGTGTTTGTTTATCTTTGTTGTTTTATGAATAAGATCCATCTCTCTAGATCTGGTGTTTCTTGTATTTCCTTGTATTAGAGATAAAACAGAACTTATATACTTCTCATAAAGAGTCAACGGACTTTTACAACCGTTTGTTTAATGATTAAATCAAATGCACATTTTCAAACATGTTGGAGCACTTTGGTTTTGGTTTATGTTGTATCCTTATATACTTAAATATCCAACAAGTAGTATGCAACCGACAAAGAATACGAAAGTATGTAAAAGGTATAAAACCCTTATTGCAGCTCAAAATCTTAAGCTAACCGTACCATTTGATAAAGTAACATTATGGGCATGTTCGGCAACATGACTATAACGCCCCGACCGCCTCTTCCGGTGAGTCATCCACGTCCTCTCTATGGGCCCGCAGGCTCCTTACGGCCCGTAGGCTTCACTCCTGTCCGACGGCCGATCCATTATTTTTTAGAGGCTCTAATGACTTGTTTACTATCCCTGCAATCAACACCCGACCTTTCCCCGTGTTTTGGCCTCACTCACACGGTTTCGGAAACCACTTCCCGAAAGGTCACCCATCCTTCAACTACTCCAGCCCAAGCACGCTTAACTTTGGAGTTACTTATAGACCTTTGACCGAAAAGGTAAGTGCACTTTGTTGACATAGGTAGCCAAATCAATTCTCTTAAGCCTCTCCTCATTTATCACAAACCGGGATGTTACAACTCACCCCCACTCACTACGCGCAACGTCCTCGTTGCGCACTGGATCTGGATCGTCACCCCCTGACGGTGTGAGTCAAGGCCACTTCAACTTGACTCCACACTCTCGTCTGGGTTTAGCTCTGATACCAAATTATAACTCCCAGACCGCCCCTCCCGGTGAGTCACCCACACCCTCTCTCTGGGTCCGCATGCCCATCTCGGCCCGTGGGCCTCACCCTGTCCGACGGCCGGTCCGTTATTTTTAGAGGCTCTAATGACTTGTTTACTATCCCTGCAATCAACACCCACCTTTCCCCGTGTTTTGGCCTCACTCACACGGTTTCGGAAACCACTTCCCGGAAGGTCACCCATCCTTCAACTACTCCAGCCCAAGCACGCTTAACTCTGGAGTTACTTATAGACCTTTGACCGAAAAGGTAAGTACATTTTGTTGACATAGATAGCCAAATCAATTCTCTTAAGCTCTCCACATTTATCACAAACCAACGTCAGACGACATAAAAAAAGCTTAAAATCTCATTCGTATTCTTTAATTATCTATCGCACGACTTCGTAAGTGATGGTTTTAAGGATGCTAGAAAATTTAGTGGCTCCGTAAGTCTACCTGCGACTTTTAAATACTGTCGCTGCAACTCCTATGGCCACTTTTCAGGAGATAATTGTGTTCGTAATAGTGTCTTTTTTTCAGTCACACCTGCGAACGAATAATCATTGAATCTTCCTCTTTCTGAACAACACACATACAAAGAAACCTGCCAACAGTAACTCAAGTAATTAGCACTGCGTCATGTTTTCGAACAGGCCCTATGTTTCTTCATAATAGAAGCGTTTGCTTAAATTGTGTGTTTGCTTAAATTGTCCTTATATAATGGTACGTTCAAACTTCTATGTTTCATTTTCTTATATTCAATTCGAAGACGAGTTTAATGTATTAACGGATGTAGGATGTAGCTGACCTTATATCAAAGGAAGTAACTTATACATATTTTTTATTATTTCATATAGTTTTATTAATAACTAGATTAAGGCCCGCGTATACGCGGGTATATTTTAAGATTTTATAATAAAAGCATGGAAAATATTAAACAAAATTTGAACATTTTTAAACGTAAACAAAATAATATTGAAAACCCGATAAAAAATATTTATCTGATTTGTTTTAGAGAAAGAAGAGATGATGAGAATGATGGAGGCGAGTGGCTGCTCTCCATGTCGTTGTGAGTTCTGTTCCTTCCATAAGATGTGTGTAGTGGCTTGGAACACATATCTAGCAAGGAAGAGAAGGAGCCGTGGCTGATTCTTGTAGGGGATAAAAGATATGCCTTCCATTCTTGACCTCCACTCTATAGAACGGTGTTGCTTTATCTCTATATTTCAGGAGCTTACGCCAAACCCATGAACCTCCTTAGTATATCCTGTTATTGACCAGAACGAGTTATTGCCAATGAGAAATGTCTTGAGCCAGCGAACTCAAAGTGATGGATTGGAAGACGCAATTCTCCAAACCATTTAAGGCAGCTGGCCGTATACGCTTCTTTGAGTGGTCGTAAGCTTAAACCTCCTCCTTTTTTTAGGCATACAAACTTCAGACGTAATTATCATATGTTTGTTTTTTTCACCCCATTGATTTTCTTTTCTTTATTTTTTCTACCAACTTCATTTTTTTGTCAAACGCTTGCTTAAAAACACTAGATTAAATTTTATTTTGGCTACGGGCCAAATAATCCTTGGCAACTCTGGCCTCGCTCACTCTTGAACAACTGCCAATTCTCCATTAACTTGGATAGAGAAAGAGGCGGTGGTCACACAAAGACGGATTCAGTGAACAAGCTTTGCTGGAAAGTTTATTGCCGGTAGAGTGTTGAGTCGAAACTCCCACTTAACTGAGTCAAAAGCTTTTGAGATATCAATCTTTTTTTTTGTCAACAGCATATATTCCTAAAACGGTTCGGAATCCCAAATTGATGGAAAAACGAGAAAGATCAAGATTTGAGAGTTTGAATAAACTTGCATGGAACACTTTGTAATCCGCACTTTGTATTTAATAATTTCAACACTTGCATCCAAAATTATCTCAGTGAGGAAGGGACAGTGATTCTACATCTCCTCCAACTCTGTGCTCTTCGTTTACCCTCTTTTCCCATACTTTAGTCACGGTCTATTCGTCTAATAAAAACAACTCTATCATCTACTAGAAGAGCTTTTTAGTGAACATAAAATTTATAAACAAAGAAGAGATTATACCCTAATAACGGAAGAATTATTTAGAGCAAACAAAGCAACTTTGCAACAGAGTTGGTCTCTATCATCTTTGATATCCTGAGCAAAACAATCATTTTTCTTTAGTATAAAACAAAACAATCATGTACATATCTTGAGAAAAAATATGTAGTTTCTTTGTGATGGATACTTGTTGGTTTTGTATGTCTTGTGATTTGATCATGAGGACTAAACACAAGACGTTGGACTTTATCTTTACCAAGTTGTATAAAAAGCAAAGGAGTGCTCTTTCATTATATCACGGGTGTGGGGGAAAACGGCCAACTCTTGGCAAATATGATATATGCTAAGTGTGTTCATCCGGACTCAAACCCTTGAAATTTTGAATATTTGTATTCAGATCAGATTGGCCGAAACCGACTTTAAAACAAAGCTTGTCAGTCAATCCCATTAAACCGTTAACGGCGGTGAGTTGGCTGCCAAGTGTGAATCTCTATTGGCTCGAAATAGTAAAACGGCATCGTATTAGTAAATTCGAAAACAAAATCTGAAATTTAGGTGTTGGTTTCATTTTGGTTTAATATAGTTAAAATGTCGTATTAGTTTTGGTTTTAGAAAAATAAAAACAAAAAACGAGGTTGTTTTGATTGAAATGTTAAATTACAGAAAATACAACAACCACGTCATATGAAGAACATAAACCTAAACCTATCACGACACACACAAAAAAAACAAAAAAAAAAAAATCCCCTTTGCCTTTGTTGTCGAGTGTGAAAGAAATAGAGAATTAGGGCTTGGTGTTCTTTGGAGGAAATCATTTGTTTAAGTCATAAATCGAAAGCATTTTTCTTTGGGAAAATTAGGTAAAAGGATCATATTTTTTTGTGGTGTTGTGGAACTAACCTTTTTTTTATTTAACTTGGGTATTTAGGTTTTATTTTAATATATAAATATATACAAAAATGATAAAATTAATAATCAATTTAAGTTTATTATTGGCTAATTTTTCCATTTTCTTTCCTAAGAAAGACATTTGCTCCATTCCTTGATCTTATTCTTCCTTTAGCTGTGAATCCGAAAAACAGAGAATATGGGAGAACTGAGGGTTTTTTGTTTGTGAGAATTGAGAAGAGAAACACCGAAGAGCTTTAGTTTTCTCTTCACCTTTCTTGCTTACTCCGCCTTCAACTTCTTACTCCGCCGGTGAATTCTCCACCACGAGAATTCGGTAAACTAATTGGAGAATTTCCTCAATCAATTGGATCTTCTGGTTTCTCATTCAAATCAATGGTCACTCCACTCTTTCCGATGTCACCAGAACTAGTCTTCAATGTCACACACAACCAAATTTCTTTCTCTTTACTTAAATAACCAATCAAACTATTCAATTGTTGATTGTTTGATACAATTACTGGGGGAGATTTGAACTGTCCAAACCAAATCATGAGCCAAATAGCTGATTCCCATATCAATAATACTCTGTTCCAAGCCATAGTCTTTTGAAACCATAACTTTTAGCTCTTCAAGAGTAGTATGAGATTCAAACGAAATTATCCTACCACATGTCTCTTTATCAACAACAAATCCCAACTATTGAGAATTGGTTTCCATATACCAAAAATCGTGTAGATCTGCAGCATATCCATTTTTCTTTTTCTTTTTTTTTTGAATTACCAGGAGGTTCTGGGCCAAAGCCCGTACATCCCCCTAGGCCCGAAACCATAGCATGTAATATTGGTTTCGTACCAAGCGGCACTCGATCCTGTGATCCAGTCGAGCTATAGCCAGTTGGTAACAGTATATCCATCTCTCATTGTCAAGATTAAGAGTTCAAAAGTTAGAACATGAAATAAAGATGTGTAGATCTAGGGTATTTAATTTGGAAATAAAGCAGAATACAAATTCTAGGTTAAGTGACCCAAAATATGATGTATATTAGCCTATTAGGTAAGCTAAACTGGTTGTCTAGACTCTAGAGTTATTAGAATTGTTTCCTAAATTATGTAATTCAGAATACATATATTAGATCAGGCAAATTGGAAATCTAGATTAGGTAAAGGGACTTTCTACGTAGGGGTAAGCCATATTACTTCTTCTTCAATAGCTAATCTTGATTAGGCAAGCCAGAATATGAATATTGAAACAGGTAAATCATACAATAATGTTAACAGAAAACAAATGTTTATTATTTTTAAAAATAGTTTAACATAAAATAACCATGATTCTTTACTTTCTTAGTGTTAGTTTGATTTTTTCTAATTTGTTTGAATGGTTTTTAGTCATTAAAATGTCAAAGTTAAAAAAAGTGTAGTTCCACAAAACCACAAAAAATGACCCTTTTAGCTAATTTTCCCTTTTTCTTTTGGATATATGGTTCGACTTTAGGGAACTAAAATTTCATCAATTCATTTTGAAGTAATTCACGCTTACAAGACTAAAACGATAACTAATAAACCCTCCAATCTACGCTTACAAGACTAAAACGCTTGAGAAGAGAATCCTATCAACTATATATATATATATATAGACTAAAACAATATGAAAAGTCATTTAAAAAAATGTTATATATAGATCTACAAAAAATATTATTTAGTAATAATAATAATAGAAAGAACATTTTGTTAGAACATTATAATAAAAAAAAGAACTAGAGAATAGGGGAATTTTGTTTACTTCTTATTATATTAAGTGACGAGACGAGAGCTAAAGGAATAGAAAAGAACGGGATAGGACAAGACATAAATTCCGCCTACCTCTAATTATATTTAGGGGCGGAACGGAAAAAACGGAAAAAAAAATATGAGAGAGGACTAGACAGAAAGGTTGAACGGCACATAATGAAGAGAAATATAATGTGACAAGATTGGACGGAATGAGATCAAAAGAGGCATAATGGGATGGAAAGGTACGGGATTTTGCCTAACCATAATTATATTTAGAGACGAGACAGAGACAAGATAAAATGGAAAACAACATAATAGGATAGGATAGGACTGGATGGGGCAGATAGAACGAATGGAACGGGAAAGAACGGGACAAGATGAAAAGGAACATAATTGAACAGAATTATGCATAACCCTAATTATATTTAGGGAACAAGACCAGAAGAAACGAAATGGGACATAACAAAATGGGATAGGATGAGATTGGACAGGACGGGATGGAAAAAAAACGCACATGATGAAAATGAACGAAATAGGACGAGGTGGAACAAGATGGTACAAAAGTTTTGCCTAACTTTAATTATATTTAAATAATATGTGTATCATATCTTTTAAAAAAATATTAAATTTGCAGAAATACAATAAAACTAACACAACCTGTGCAAAGGTGGATCACCCCCTAATATATATATTAAAAAAAAGTATTTTAAAGCCATTAATCAAATTTATAATTGACCAATTTTGGGAAATTTCTCAGAATAAATTTAAAAGTTGAAAACATGCCAAAAATATACATTTTTTTATTAAGATCACGAAACTGTATGGGAAGTTTCTTTCTCGACGAGGAGAAGAAAAGTCTTCATGAGTTCTGAGAAGACGACGAGATCGAGGTACTCACCGAGGCGCGTCTATTGCTGGTTGAAAACTATTTCCAAACCCCCTCCTGGGCCCGAGCTTGTCTTGGGCCTTCGAGAATTTCTGGCCTTCAGTTAACATCAGTGAACTATAAATCCTCGCTTCCTAAAGAAAGGCCTTCGTAAATCCATTGGAACAGGAGCTAATACGGCTGTGTGGAGTGATGCATGGCTTCCCGTCACCCCACCAACACAATTGGTGGGCAACAACGTCTACAAAGACCCCTACCTACTGGTTTACCACTTGATAGACCACAACACCATGGTATGGAAAGAAGACATCCTCCATCAGCTTTTCACGGAAGATTAGATAAAGGGATACGAGGCATTAAACCCAGTAGAGCCTAGCAAATGGACAAACTCATCTGGGCATATACGAAATCTGGGATTTACTCTGTTAAGACTGGCTACTTCTTAGCCTCACGTCTCAAAGAGGATCAGATTCCACAACAGGTTCTAGAACCAAGCACTACGGCGCTCAAAAGCAGAGTTTGGACGACAAAGACCACAAGAAAGATTAAACACTTCATGTGGCAGTCTATTGCTGGCTGCTTACCAGTCAAAAACAGCCTAGTCAACCGCCATTGCGGGACGGATCGGCTCTGCCCTCGGTGTGACGCTGCACCGGAAACAACTAACCATTTGTTGTTTGAATGTCCTGCAGCTCTACAAGTATGGAGCATCTCCGAGTTTCCGTCTTCTCTGGGTGTATTCCCGTGCGATACTCTTTACCGAAACGTTGACCATCTGTTCTGGCGTGCAAAAGAAGCCAAAGTACCAGAAAGCACGATAGCGAGATTTCCATAGATCCTATGGTACCTGTGGAAAGCGAGAAACGAAAAAGTTTTCAACAACAAAGACATAACACCTTCCAACTGGCCTGCGCTGAATCGGAAACATGGATAGTTGCACAACTGATTGACAACTCTGTCGACGAAAGCATTACCCCAAGCTCTGTTACCCACACAGATCAAATAGTAACGCTACCTCGATGTCAATCAGATGCGTCCTGGAGTACCGAAAGCAAATTTTTGGAAGCGGCTTCGTTATAGAAAAGGAAAACGGCGATCGTATCTTAGGAGCCTCAGCAGCTTATCAGGTGGCTTCACCTCTGCATGCCGAACTCGCTGCTCTGACATGGGCCATGAAGAAGGCTCTGCAAATAGGCATAACATCTCTCTCCTTTGAGTCAGATTGCCTGCAGCTAGTGAAACTTATTGACGATGAAGAGGATTGGCCCTCATTGGCCTCTGAGCTTGAAGAATTCTATTTCATACGCTCTTCTTTTATTTCCTTCTCACTTTGTTTTATCCCACGTCTTTTAAATCTCCGTGCCAATTGTCTTGCTAAAGAAGCACGGGCACGTGATATTTGTTTCTCTTATGTAGATCCCTCAATCCCAAGCTGGTTAGTTCATAGAACTAACTTGCTTAGTTAAATTTAATAAAACATAAGTGAGGTCAAATGTTCTTTCCCAATCTGAGCTCAACAAAGAAAATGTATTAAAAAAGTTTAATATGGTTCTTCCCATTTTAATTTTATCTAAATCAAAACAACGTCATTTTGATTCAGTCACTACAAGAAACGCGGGATTTAACGTCGGTTATTATGTGGATTACCGTCAGTTTTGAACTGACTCTAATAACTTGGAGTCAGTTTAGTAAATGACGTAACAATCGCCGACGTTAACTTTTTTTGCATCACTTTGAAAACTGACGTTTAGTTTGCGTCACTTCTATTTGCATCACTTTAAAACCGACGTGTAGTTTGCATTGCTTCAAAAGCGACGTGGAAAATTTGCGTCACTTATGTATGCGTCACTTTAAAACCGACCTATAACCATTTTATATTTAAAAAAAAAAAAAATTGAAACTCACAATATACTGAACAAAAACCAATAATCAATCAAATTTTATAGAGAGATCAAGTTTGTTCAACCATACACAAATACAATGTGTATACAAATTTTGTTCAACCATACATAAATACAATATCTATACCAAGTTTGATCACTGGTTTTCTTAGCTAATAGGTAAACCTCGAGAGATCACCAGAACACCATCTTCTCGATAAGATATATGAGATTTGACCTGAAAGCAATCACAACCAGCAAACCAGAAATTAAAAACACAGCAAGATCAAGGAACATACCATATAAGTTAAGAACATATGAAGAGAACATGTAAACACTTAAGTACAACTCTCTAAAGAAGCTTCTCAAACACATAAATAGCAAAAGATACGTTTGAGTCAAGAAGGAATCATAATTTCATTTCCTCTTAGAGATTAATCACAAACCTGTGTGAGTCTGTGACATGAACTCTTCATTTTCCACTTCCTAATTCTGGTTCAAGAGGAGGTGCAGCTATGGAGTCTTCACCTCCAGACATATTTATACCTGCAAAAAGATTGTTAATATAAGTAAATTTCAGAGTCCAAATCATCAGGAAATATAAATTTCAAAGTCATAACCTTCATATGAACCAAATGGAACCAAATGCTATAAACCGGAGGAATAATTGTATAACCTGAAAGTCCAACTGCCAAAGTTTGGATCTTTGTTAGTCCCTTGACCAAAGCAAGAACTGAGTAATCAAAAAGTGAGACAAGAACTTACCTAATGTAGAGAAAAATGCAAAACTGAGCCCATTCTCGAATCAGGGGCCGGATCCAATAGTTATGTGAGGAATTGTCCATGTTCATATAGATCTGCCAAAGTCAAAGTGACTATGAGTAAGCAGCAAATCAAAATGATGTGTAATGAAACTGAAATACATATAAAACATGCTCATTACCACACTTTCTGCCATGGCTACAATCTGCATAGCTCCTTGGAATTTTCTGAAACACAGAAAAAAAAAAATCAAACTCTTAATTAGCAGTTTCATCTACTTCCATCTACCATGAAATGATACTAAAGCAACAGAAGAACATACATGAACAGATTTGATAACAATGGAGTAGTGATTACTCTATGAAGAAAACATGTAATTCTAAGTTCATCAATTCAAAATTCAGAAGCCCTGCAGATTTACAAATTTCATAACTACAGAAAGAGCAAATGAGAACATAATACCAATCAAACCGAATTACGAAGGTTGAAAACTTACAGTGTTCTGAAATCTGAATTGCAGAAATCAAGTCACGTCACCTCCGAAATTGAGAATTTTCGCCGAAACCCCTTAACAAAAGATTATTCACAAATCACAAATTGAAATTCTCAAAAAGCTATAATTAGGCGGATCAATCGGAAACAAAACTAAACCCAACGAAATATCTACCTTATTAAGAGCACTTTGAGAAGAGAACGACGAATTTGATCGGAGAATGACGAATTGACGAATGGTGCCTCATGATCCAAATTTCACTCCAATCTGGAGATTTCGGAGTAGACAAAGAAGATCAGACGAATTCGCATATGAAGATTCAGATGCAAAGGATCGAGAACGATTGAAACTAAAGGATCGAGAATGACTGAAATTTATGGGGAAATCGAATTCGCAGATGCAAAGCGAGAAAAATGATTATTTCTGAAATGTTAATTTTTTTCTATTAATTTAAATGATAACAGTAAAATGAATGGATTTTACGTCACTTAACATTTTAACGTTAAGTTACATCACTTTATCTTATTTGCTGTCGGTTCTTAAACTGACTTTATTTAACTGACGTTAAATCCCGTATTTTTTGTAGTGAGTTATTCGTTTATTTTTTTATTTTTTTTGTTTCAAAACATTATAAATGACATTGTCTACCATCTTGTGGAATGAGAAAATTAGAGAGCACCTACACCTAAATTATCGTCAACAAGTGAAAACAGGGGCGGAGCCAGTGAATGAGCTAGGGTGTCAAATGACCCCCACTAATTCATAACTTTTTGATTTAATATAGACATATAACTGAAATATAACTGAAACATTGATGAGTTTTTATTAGTTTGACCCTGTTAATTATAGATCTTCCAAATTTTGACCCCCATGAATAATATTTCTACCTCCGCCACTGAGTGAAAAGAATACAATGTATCGACTCTCCCTCCAAACCACAAACTTGACACAGTGGATAATGAACACAATAAATTTAAACACTAATTCAATATTCCTTATGTCCTAATATACTGTATAAGCACAAAAATAAAATAAAAACTACTTTAAGAAAATAAAATATAATTTAACCAGTCATGGAAAAAAAAAGCTATAGAATAGAATTAATCACACAATATCTAATAAAGTAAAAGTTGCATTAAAATGTGAAAACTGCATATATTTTGAAACAAAAAGTATTTTTAAAATTGCTTATATATTAGGACAGAGGGAGAATTATCCAACTAGGAAAATATATTGATATGGGATAAGATCATCGATCATATTCATATATAGTAAAAAAAATATCATTTCTAATGTTCCAAATGTGAAAGAAAATACTTTGTGTTGAGTACAATGAATGAAGAGGTGTGGCAAATTCTCATTGATCACTATATGGGAAAATTTATTTGAGATAGCTTGGAAATTGGAATGGTGACAAAGAAAAGATGGGTTTTATCTCTTTCACTGCAAGATATATGAAAAGGTACACCATTTGTGAGTAAAAATTACGGATAATAATTATAATCGTAATATTTACTCTCACATATCTTATAATGTGAAAAACAAAAATCCTTCATCAGTATGGGATAGAATTAAAATTCCCATTTTTTCTCTTTTATTCATTTTTTTTCATCATTCATGTTGATCGTGTAATGGCTGCCATTTACAGCCATATATATATGTATATAAAACACAAACCGATTCGATATTGATAACAACATATTCTAACAAAATCTATCGCTCGTTTTCTCATTCTCCCTGCAATTTTTTTTTTCTCTCTCTCTTTAATAGTCTCTCCAGATCTCAATCCAACTATGTGGCCCTCCAAGATAGAACAACTACAAACTTTTTATGTCCAAGACAGAGCTTTATTCGCTAAGTTGGTTCTACAATTCTCAAGATCCCCATTTGAGTCACTTCTTGTCATGACCACGTGACTTTGGCTTGAAGATTTTGGCTTTGAAAACATCTTCTCCATCATCCTGGCTCTCCGATATCTATTGATTGTGGATTTTCGCTAATGAGGCTGTCTCGTGCTTGTGCTTCCGGTGCCTTAAGTCTTCCGAACCTCCAATGGATCTCTCAATCAACGAGTGGCGGACTCAAGACAGGACTCAAGACACTGGAAGCAGGAGACAGCCTCATTAGCAAAATCCACAATAGATGGATCTCCGAAAGCCAGGATGACGGAGAAGATGTTTTCAAAGCCAAAATCTTCACGAAACAATATGGATAAAACTGCAATGAAGGTGTTCACATTTCAGTGGACAATGGTGACTTTCCAACAGTGGTCAGCAACAAACACAATGGAGATTTTTGCTGACCGTTGCTATTCATGTTTTTGTTGGTGGAGCTTCCATTGTCTTTTGACATGAAACACCTTTAACACAGCTTTCTCCAATTCTTCCATGAAAAGACTCTTCAGCTTCCGACACTAGAAACCTGTAAGAAAACATTAGCAATGTGGTTTAGTTATTATTCGTCGCGATGCAATTAACATTCAAGTCCCATAGACCATTAGGGTAGGGATGAGGATAAATTGTTGTTATTCTCAGAAACGATATGAGGCATCACGTTGATGCTCTTGGAAGTGGAATGTGAGAAACCGGGAATGTTGAAACGACGAAGGTGTTTGGTGATGTAGAAGGGTGATGAAGAAGATTGATAAACTTGTTGAAAAATACTTAAGCAAAACAAACTTAATTTATAGGTGAAATTGTTTTCAAAGTTATACACAAATATACCAAAATATGTTCATTTTATATTAAGAATTATATACATGTATATTAAAAAATGTAGAATATAGATAAACATCTTAAAGATTATCCAATAAAAATGAAAGAAAATATATAATGAAATAGGATATACAGAAAGGACATCATATATATATATAGTAAAAAATATGTATGTTGTAATTATAATTTTTGATATGTTCAAATCTAAAAACATTATGATTTGTATTGCATACAATACAATGAATAAAGAGATGTGGCAAATTTTCATTTGACCACCTTCATTAAAGAAAACTTTTTGTTGTCTGATTATAGTTAGAAATATAAAGCAAAAATAATTGGATTAAGTATTATAATTCACTTGTCATATACTCCATCCGCTTCTTATTAGTTGTCGTTTTTAAACATGTATATGGATTGTATCTCCATGTATTTAATTCAAAAACAGGTCCAGCTACATTGTAAATACATTTTCTGAAAATGATAACTAATCTAAAACGAAGGGAGTATCATTTTATATCCATTTACAACAAAGCATGTTTATCTATAACTAATACTAATTTCTTTTTTCTGTAACTAGGTTTTTAACCCACGCTATGTGCGGGTCTGTTTTAATAATTTTATTTAATACACTGATAAGGATAATAGATATACAAAAACAAATATTTTGTAAAAATGTATTTCAAATGTAATTAACTATTTTCTGTTATTTGTATTTTTTATAAAATTATTTATTTTATTAGGTAAAATGATAACAAACCAACTGAAATGGAGAAAATGTAGGTTACATTTTGATTTTACCTCAATTCACATATTATTTTTTTTGGTAATGCAACAGGAGACAAATGTCCCCCGCGGCCCCTCTCTTTACTCTAGGGTTTACTACTTTCAAGGACATGTCGAACATGCGCTTCATCGCCTCTCATCTCTTCTTTCTCTACCTCTCTGTTCCATGTCTCGTCTCTTCCATTTACTCGCCGAGGGCCTGCACAAACGGTAGAGCATGTGGTTTAATTAGATACAAAGAGCAGAACCTTACCAGCCCTTGACATATGAACGAGAAAACCTATCCTTAACAGGATGGGACTGACTTTCATACCTTCTATAGAGAAAAGAACCTTGCTCGCTTGGCCAAGCTCGATTCTATGCTCGGCCTAATCTTGTAGTTTGTGAGTGAACATGTGTGATTTTACTGGTTTCTTCTAAGAAAAGGTACGCTTTGAGCTGGTTCCTGACTAAGGATAGCTGTTACCGAGTAGGAGTACATTAGATGTTGATCCTCCGGATTTATTAGACTAATATGAAAAAAATTACACAAGAACTTGTCTAGGACGCATAGTCCCAATTTCGTCCTCCCACAAGATCAACTCTAAAGAAGAGGGAACAACATCAAATAAATGGAAACCTAAAGGCAAAGTAAAATCCAAGTTCGCCAGACCATCGGCGAGACGGTTCGCTTCGCGGAACATATGAGAAACACGGACTATTCAGTCTTTTGATAGAAAGCCTTGGCACAACCGTACCAGGAAACATAAGGGGTGCAAGTCATTCACCCCTTGCCTCAAGAAACCCGCCACCAACTCCGAACCGACCTCCAGCGTCAGCCTTGGAACCCGCTTCTCCCAAGCGATCACCAACCCGTAGTAAACACCCTAAAGTTCAGCCAGTGGCGCGGTGCAGTGACCAATGTTCAGTGAGAAGCCTCCGCACCAGTGTTCTCAATTCAATACAACTATCATTTTATTTTACCTAATTAAAATATTAATTTATTTAATTTGGATAAATAATGTTTGTCTATACCAACTTGTAGAAACCTCGGAAACTTGTTAGAAATTTTGATAGTTACTTCCATAGTTGTTAACAACGTGCAAAAAAAAAAAAAAATAGTTACCTCCTTCATAGCATGCTGATTTAAAATTTGGATCTATTGTTATACTGTGTTACAATTTCGTTAAAATTTCCTTGTCGTATTAGTTTGATGATTAGCATCCTTAGTTATCTTTGTTTGACAAGATTCAAAAAAATGTATGCTAAAAGGGCCAAAAAAGTTTTTTTTTTTTTGCCTTAGGCTCTATGGAGAATTGAGCGGGGACTATTTACTTATATTGTGTTTAACCAAAATAATAAGTACTTACCTTACTAGTAAAAGCTTTTAGATACACTCGGAAGATTTTGGGTTAGCATCGCCAAAATATTTAAAATGAGCATAAATTATACTGTAGATTTTTGGGGAGTACAATTGCATAAGAAAAAAAATCAATGCTGTCAATAGAAACAAACTAAAGGTAACACACAAGCCATGAATGAAATAATTCAATTACAAAATAGAAACAAAACCGACACATAATATCCTATGGACATTTCGGTTTTCAAGATTTACTTTGAAAAAAAAACCAAAAATTAAAAAATTCCATAAGTTAATAATCTTCATAAACTAAAAATTACAAGAATTTATACTGAAGCAAGAAGTAAATACAAAAGCAAGAGAGAATTTATACTGAAGCAACCTAAATGAGAATCAAACATAAATATTGAAGCAAGAGTTTGAAACAAGAAGCCAAACTCAAGAGATAAATACAAAAACGAAAATTAAAGAAGTAAAACAAGCAAAGCAAATGGGTCTTGGGATGGGGTCATTGAACTAGAGAGACTCTATGACTAATCTATGATGCTCAAACAATCAAGTGAATGATAATCCTTAGGCAAGAACACATTAAACAAGACTAATCCACTTCATGGAACTAATCACTTTGCTAATTACAAATCTCAAACTAATCATCATTAGTGAAATTCGAAATTAGCAAGCATTATAAACAAGTTCTATCAAGCCAATAAACACCTTAAACAATCATTATCATGAGCTAAGAATGTAAATCTCTTGATTTAGTTGGTTGGGACATTTCATCAAACACCTTGTGGGTGTGAAATGTCCTTTGATCTAAATCACTTTTCTCAAAGTTAATCTAGCATTAAGATCACTAAACAAGAAAGGATATAAGCAATCTAAGCCTAAGCATCATCAATCAATCATTAAATCTCTCTAAATCTAACCCATCCCTAAACCCTAAAACAACTACTCCCTAATCATGATTAAATCAACTAGCCCAAAGAAAAGGGAGTTGATAATCATGATTAGGAAGATGAAGGGAGAAACAATGATCAAGTAAACACTCTCAAATAGATTAAACTCATAAAAGATCCAAATTTTGATTAAGAACAAAGGGGAAAGAGTTTTTAGTCTAAGAGAAAGAGATTACAAGATGCCTAAAATAATAGGACTTTAATCTATTTATACTTGGAGACTCCAAAACCCTTGGTCAACTCATTTATCTTGACTTTTCTTGCTTCCCAATTGGTTTAGACTCCAAAGATTGTGATTTAATCCCGGTTTGGTACAGATGGATAGTGGTCAAAGCTCAGTCAACGCGGGTCAACTCGTCCTCTTGGTCAACACTCAGCTGAAAGGCGAGAAACAGGTTTCTGAACCTGTTTGACATCCTGGTTGCGATCCTGATTCTTTTAGATCTTCTTCAACTCTGATCTCCATACTAGCTCCAAACTCCTCAAAAACACCTAAATACAACTCCAAATGCATAATGTATGCAATGTATGCTCTAAATGGTATGAATGCATACAATGGAAGGTAATTGACCTAAAATGAGTGAAATGAGTGATGCAAGTATGCAAATATGTATGAAATTATGTCTAAATGATGTAAATATTGAGTACATCAGTAAGCTGTTTGAAACCGATATGGAGAATTGTCTCATCCACAACGTCACTCTGGGTTAAGTGGATTCACCGGTCGCTCATCCATAAGGGGTCGTTCTGGTCAGTAAAGGAGACGCAGTCAGGAGGGTCTTGGATGTGGAGAAAAATCTTGAAATACAGAGACTTAGCAAAACCTTTTCATCGAGTTGAGGTTTTTGATGGGGAAACAATATCTTTTTGGTTTGACTACTGGAGTCCGCTTGGACGACTATACGAGATTACAGGCCCTCGTGGCTACATCGACTTGGAACTACAATCTGATGCAACTGTCGCTTCAGCTCTTACGCGAAATCGCAGAAGACACTGGATCGAAAATCTAAACAAAATAGAGGAAGAGGTTCAAAAGATAGTGAGAGTAGGGAGGTCTGGAGCTGACGTTCCTTTATGGAGAGTCTCTGCACAAAAATTCAAGTGTCAATTCAGTTCTGCAGGGACATGGAATCAGATAAGAGAAACTTAGCCTGCAACTGACTGGTATAAGTTCGTTTGGTTCAAACACTCAATGCCTAAATATTCATTCTTAACTTGGCTAAGTGTTCGAAACCGTCTTGCCACTGGAGATCGAATACGGAGTTGGGGTCAGGACAGAAAATAGATTGTGTCTTCTGTGGAGATCAAGAAGAAACACGAGACCATCTATTCTTCTCTTGCTGTTATTCAGAGAAAATTTGGAGAGACCTTATGCGAAATCTGCTCGCCAATGATTACTCAGCGGACTGGGACCAGCTTGTTCAACTCCTCCATCAGCATTCAACAGACAGGATCAAAGTGTTCTTATTGCGATATTCTTTGTAGGCCGCTTTGTACCACATTTGGCGCGAGCTTAACTGTCGTCGGCATGAAGAGGCCGCTTCTCCAACTACACGGCTACTCAAGCTCATCGACAAAAATGTAGGCAATCGCTTGAGCTCAATTCGATCCTTGGGAGACTGTGAGTATGAACAGGGGATGCAAATGTGGTTTGCTACAAGACCTCCGTGAAGGCCAAGGGTACTTCAAACTTTTATCATGTTTGCTTAAACTCTCTCTCGATTTAATGTTGAATAAATTTAACATTCATTTAAAAAAAAATAAATAAAATAAATAAAAAGATGTTATTCGTTTGATTATTTTTAATTAACAACAATCTTGTTTGAATTTTTATTAATATTTGTTTCTCGTGTTTTAGGTATTGGATACTGTTTGGTTGTAAGATGGCCGTGTTGTCTTTGAAACAGAGATGGAATTTACTATGAAAATAAATTTTGAGCTTACGGAGCAGCTGCAAATAATGGAAAAAAAAATCATGGTATCTAACTATCTATGGGGGCATGAAGTTGACAATCTACGAACATAACTTGCTCCTGTTATAGTAGGCCGCCAGTTTTTTTATATACGTGTCTAGGTGGATAATATGGGATGAATTATAACAATATGAATGACAACAAAAAAATTTGGGTACTCATAATACAAGTTACATCCTTATGTACTTTGACACGCATGTAATAGTTTTGTAATGATTAAGGTCTTTGGAAAGGATATATGGGGTTCGAATCAGAGAAGAAACGTGGCTTGGATCTTCAATGAAATCTGCGAATTCGGTAAAAGAATGAGATGACGTTAAAATAGCCCACTTTGCAAAACTCGTCTGGTTTGTGGGTATGTATCAGCTCTAAATTGAAGTAGTTCCCCTGCTATCAATAATGCATTTTAATGATATCACTTAATTTACTAAATTATGTCATATGTTTATCCACAAAGTCCAAATGTCAGTAGATTTCTTTCTTAATTACTTCAGCATGAATATTTTTGTTCCGACAACTTTTGAAGCTAAAAGCAAAGGCTTATTCGTTTCTTCAGATCTTGATTGGTAATGGTGAAGACACCTTCTTTTGGTGGGATCCGTGGACTCCTTTTGGACCATTGATTCACTACATTGGCTGTGATGGACCTACTTCAATGGGCATTCCTTTATTCTCAACAGTGAGTGACCTTATTATATCTCAGGGGTGGAGATTACCTCCGGCCAGGTCAGAGAAGCAACTAAACTTTCATGCGTTGTTACTATTCTGCAGGTGTCGGATTTATGTGATCAAACGGTATGGATCATTGACGGTGTTACTCAGGACTCTTTCTCCTCTCGTCAAGTTTGGAACTGCATAAGGGAAACCAAAGCAGAGGTTTCTTGGGCGCAGCTCCTCTGGCACAAAGCGAGGACCCCAAAGCATGCCTTCTCGGCGTGGCTCTTTGTTCTAAACCGCAACCCAACTCTTGATCGGGTTACAAGTTGGGGTTGTGATGTAGAACAAACCTGTCTTCTTTGTGGGACATCGGATGAATCTAGGGACCACTTGTTCTTCGCTTGCCCCTTCTCTCTTCAAGTGTGGCAGGAAGTACTCCTTAAGCTGAGTATTTCTTCTCCTCCTTCCCAATGGGACGCTGTGCTTCAATGGCTTCCAGTGGCTTCTCTCAATAGGGATCGATCTTTAGCGGTACTGCAAGCCTGGCAAACTTGTCTTTATGAAATTTGGGCTGAAAGAAATCGCAGATATCATTTGGGCGTCACGTTTCCAGCGAGGAAAATCATTTGTTTGGTCTTCTCTGTGGTTCACGATCGGGCTCTTAGTCTCGCCCTTCAAAATCCATCAAGACAAAACCTTTTATCTTGTTGGTCCTAACTTCTTTTTGGGCTCCACCCATTTTCTCTTTTGGGCCTCGGCCTTCTTCTAACTTATGTATCCCTTAATTCAAGATAAGTAACAGTATTATTATTATGAATTCAAGCAAGTCTTTTATCAAAAAAAAATATTTTTCCTTTCCACTTTAGCCTTCTTCGGACACTATTTTGACCGTATAGGTGAAACTAAATACTTGATATTTTAGAAAAATTTGCGTGATTCCGGCAGTATTGAGATTAACGTCTACATAACCATTTGATTCAGTATATTAATTAATCTCATGATGGAAAGTTTGTTTATTTGGTTTATTTGTACACGTAGTCATATTCACTATTGTATGATCGTTTAAAGAAGAAAAAAATAGTCGTTGTTGTCAATAGAAAATAATAGTCATATTCACTATTTGGTATACTAAACCAAATATCAAATCATTCATAAGCATAAGCATGTAGTAAACAATAACAGTAACTCTGGAAAAAAAGACAAAGATGCCAGAAATTATACAAGGCATATATCAAAATGAATTAAACTGTTTAGTTTTATAAATATAGTATTAAAAATCAAAAGATAAACAAATGAATTGACAAAAAAATACAAAAACAAAATGAGTTGAATAATATTTTGAATTATGTTTGAAGAATAAACTCAAATTTTAGTTTTAAAAGATTATTTATACCCGCGCAAGACGTGGATAACCATCTAGTTAATTTTTTTTTTAACATTAGTAATCTAATCTTTACTAATTTAAAACACCTATTTGGGGCCTCTCAAGGCATCCACTTCGGATTTCCCAAAGCAGCTCTCCCGTCCTGCCACGTCACCGCCTTGCCACGTCACCACAGTAAAATGTTAAAACGGATCGGGCCGCCGTTCGATTTAAGCCCACACAAACGCTGTAAGCCCATAGAGCTAATTCTTAACCCCAGAATCTCAATCGATTCATATTCTTCGTTGCAATCTTCGTCTTCGAATTCTTCTTCTTCCTCCTTCAATCGATACATCGCTTATCGTTACTCCTCTTCAATTTCCACTCCCCTCTTCAATTTATGGTACCTGTAACCGCAATCCTCGCTCCCCGATCCTATAATACCCAAGAACTTTCCAGACAAAAGATGCATCTTACTTTTCAAGCTCATCTTCCCCGTAAAGCAGAACCAAAAAATTTCTGATGGCCTCTACAGCTCCATCGTCCTCTGTCAAACTGATGACTTTCCAGATTCTCGAAAAAGTCGACGGCCAATTCTGCAACGACGAGATATTGGTATGGCTTCTTTTGAAATCCTAGATTTCATTCTCCATTTCTTCTCTTCTCTTACTCAGTATTGTTTTGTTTTCTTCCTTGGTTACTTCTTACCCTTCGCTTCTGATCGACTCATCTTCTTCTTTCGTCTCTCTTTTTTTTTTTTTTCAGAAATCCAGGTCTTGGTCCGATCGGTTTCCGGAACAAAGCTCGAGAGCCTTCCTTCCACTGCCAAACCGCTCATTTTCCAGGTCCTCGACCAAATCAAAGGTCAGTTATGCAACGAGGAGGTGATGGTTCGGCTTCTGCACTTCTCTCTACACCTCTGCGATCTCTTTCTCGATTATGGTCTCCATGTCTCTTCATCAGAATGATTCATCGTCATTCAGTTAAGTGTGTGTCGATCCCCTTTAAAATATATAGATTTGAGTTTTATGTTTGATGTTTAAGAATGGCGTATTATTGAATTTATATTTGGGTAATCTCGAGTCATTGTTCGGTTTACAGAGTTGCTTAAATCAGTCACAGATCTCAGTTGTTAGATTAACCTCTGATTAAATTGATATTGAGATTTCGGATAATTTCTTCTTCTTTGAGTTTATGACTATGAAAACTTACTAGGATTTTGAATTCGTGTTTGTTTCCTTGGTGGTTTTGTTGCCGATTATGAAGATTCAAAGAGGCTGTGAAACAATAGAGGCTCAGGTATTCTCTCAAAGGTAACAAATTCACATGTTTCCTGTTCAGTTCCTTTGTTTTTGTGTATAGGTCGTTTTTATTACAGATTTTTAGTAATGCAAACTTCTCTAATTTGATGACTTTGCTAATTAGGATTAATTTGATGAGGCTGCAGTACAAGCAATTCAAAGAGGAACATCGGAACATCTGATGAACTCTGTAAGTCTATTTCTGGTTATTTTGTTATTGAATGAACATTCATTGGGTTGTCAAGAGAAATAGTGTGGACTTAATGTGTGGATCATGTATTATATGCTAATGATTAACTTAATGTTCGCTTGAATGCTTGATAGATATCGATAACGCCATGCTGCCACCGTGGATCCCTTCTTATAGCTGTTATGAAGTCTCTTAAATGGTTTTCTATTATTGATGTTAGAATTTCATATCAAACGAGCTACTTTGAAGTGGGGAAGGAGAGGAGACGATCTCGGACCGTGCGGTCAACCACAGCCTTCAGAGCGAGCAGCGGAGTGGCGTGGTTGTGAAGATCCTTGCGTTACGCTCTCTCCATAGAGCATAAACGATGACTTGCAGCAGAAGCTTCATCAGAGTAGTCGTGTGGACTGACGAAGAGATCGTGGGGAGGTCCAGGGCATCTAAGACTGACGTCATGAGGGAAGGCATATTCCGTCTGCTCACCTGAGAAGCAAAATAATGCCACAGCGAGCTTGAGAAAGGACATTGGAAGAATAAGTGGCCATGCGACTCTTGGGCCGAGAGACAAAGAGGGCAATTATCAGAAACGTTCGTTCCCCAGCTTAGAAGGCGATCCCGAATACTTAAAAGTTAAAACAAAGAGTGTATGTCAAATGTATTCCGAATAAAATTAACGTCATGTCAACTTCTTACCACCGAACTCTGTCACATTGTTTATCACACCTGATTGTTAAGGATTAAGAAAACACAATTACAACAATAAGAAACAATATAAAAAGAAAACAAAAAATACCAAATAAATGAAAAAAAGATAAGATTAGTTCCAGAAAAGTTTTAAAGTCACGTTCAAACCGAGAACTGAATTAAAAGTTATAGGGTTTACATTACGTATCGTCATCGAAGGCAAACCTAATGTCACTGAAATTAATTTAATGTTTCATCTAACGACTTGTGATCAAGATATTTAAAAATTTATGATCGCAATTTTAAATCCAAAAGGAAAAAGGCTTCGCTGTTCAATGCTGTTTTCTTAAAATATGCCAATCACAAGTTTAAATCATGTAAGTTACTTGAATATAAAATTTGCAAGTTTACCCATATACATTACACATGCTATATATAAATGTCGCAAAGTACCCACCTTTTTGTCTTTAAGATTATCAGGCCAATGATGGTGGGTGAAGCTAATGACAATAAAATGTTGATGGTAACTAACTATAAATGTTCAGATTTCTCTTGGCACACCATGGAGATAACATCATACCCATTATTATTTATTTTTTATGATTTGATACTAAGAATGCAACAACTCTCACCTATATATATGACCTATATTTATATGTTACCGAAGCTTCTAGAACATTAATACATTTGACTTTTTAACAGTTTTTTTTTTTGGTAATGTACTTTTTAACAGTTTAGAGGTTGTCTTATGAGCATTTTAAAATATGTAAATAATTTATATACTTAAATACAAAATTTTGTAATTACTGTAAGCAAATAATTTTTTTATAACAAAATCCCCGGGCGTAGCCCGGGATATCCTCTAGTATACAAATATGAGAATTGTTAAAAGACAATTCTACCACTTATTTAATTACACTCTCTCTCTATTTTTTTAGGATAATTTTTTAGAATTTTTTAGACATTATTTATTGTTCCACACAGATAAATTTTATACATTTTTGATGCATTTTTTCAGTTTTATATATAAACAAAAGTTTGATCCAAAGTTTTTTTAACCAATGATGCAAGCGACGTCGTATAATTGTCATAAATGTTCTTGCCGACGCGAGTCCACGTCGGCCCAAATCAACAAACACGGGCCCATTTGGTGCTATGCCAATTACTTACACTACTCCACTAGGACAGTACACGTGACGGGACAGCCCCTCGTTGACTCTTTAACGTATTCGTATCTGACGCCACGTGGATATATCTAGTTGTCAAATCTGACGGTGCAAAAAAGACGATAGACTCCACACCGCGTAAGATGATGATTGGCATCTCCGTAAATTTCTGCACTAATCTGCCCACTTTCCAAAGCAAAAACCAAATCTGTAAATCTTCCTCTATAAAATCCCGATAACCGACGATTTCGATAAGACTCAAAAGAAAGAAGAAGAAAATGATGATGAAGTCGTTGATTTGTCTCTCTCTCGTCCTCCTCCCTCTCATCTCCGTCGTGGAAGGCGGTCTTCTCGGTGGATGGAAGCCGATCAAGGACGTATCGGATACGAACGTCGTTGATCTCGCCAAGTATGCGATTGAAGAGCATAACAGGCAATCGAAGGCGAATCTGGTGTTCGAGAAGGTTGTTCAGGGGAAGGAGCAAGTGGTCTCCGGTAAAAAGTACGATCTGACCATCGCGGCGAAGAGTTACGGCGGTGCGTCGAAGAACTACCAGGCCATCGTGCTTGAAAGGGCGTGGGAACATTTCAGGAACCTTGAATCGTTCAAGGCATTATAGATCACTTTGGTATGTTTTTCTTTTTTTGTACTATTATCGATCTCGATCGGGATATTAGGTTTGGATGGTTTGAGATTTTGACATAATTGTGTTTGTGTTTTGTTGTTGTTTTTGGAATAAGAAATAAATCAGAGATGTGTGTTTGAGATTCATTATGAGATATGTTCCTGGTTGGAGCTATAATTTGAATTAGACTAGCAGCAAATTGTATTTTTCTATCAATTTTCATAAGCGGCTTATAGTTCTTGATTTTGTTATTCGGATTTGTAGTTATCGGTGGATAAATGCGACGTTATGTTCATTGGAAAATTTTGTTTGACATGGGTTTTTCTACATATTTTTCATATGTTCTCTGCTTTTTCATTGTTGGATGGGAAGAACTAGTGTCATATCTTTGAAGAACTAACTGATGTAAATCGAGAAGATTAATGATTTGTGGTTGGTCAATGATACTCTTAAGTTTTCAATAAAACATGGTCATACAATGACACACACACTCTGGACCTATTAATTATTGGTACTAGATACACATGCTATTTTGTGTATTGAGTCTGTATGAGGCCTCAAGATGCAGCCGGATTCTCCAGAGTTGTTTTTCAATGTCACCATCCAAAGTGACTAAGTTACATGATCCGGTTCTGCCATAACTTTTCTTATGACGCATATGAGCCTTGCTTCTGTCGCACTAAGACTTATCTATCTTAGTTTCTCCCTTTTTTTATGTGTTATTGTTGTGATCAAAGTGGATGCTTAATTCCCTTTCCATGTGTATCTTCCATGTTTAATTTAATGAAATTAATAGTTTGACCCCAAAAAAAAAAAAAAATCACGTTCCAAGATGCGTGATTTATGCTACTAGATTAGAAACAAATAGGTGTGATGATCATAGATGTAAGAGCAATCTCAAAAATTTCTTCTTAGGCCCAGTTCGTTTGCTCATCCAGCTGATCCATCTGGATGAGGCAGTTGGATGATGTTCGTTTTTTACAAAAAATGAGCATCATTCAAATGATCCATCCAGATGGATCAGATCAGCTGAGATTTAAAAAATTTAGGCTAAATTGTTAATAACCAGCTGATTCATCTAGCTGCTTCGAAATGAAGCATCTGGCTGAACCATCTTCATTCTAGAAAATCAAATGACAAACATATCCTTAAAAATATATTTACAAAAGAATAAAATTATAAAAAAAAATTTCTTAAACGAAAAAAAAAAAAATTATCAAAACACCAAATTCACTATTGGAAGCCCATTGGACCAATATAGCCCATTGGACCAACTTCTAAAGATGTTAAGTTTTGTACTACTACAACTCATGAAATATAATACGAAGGAAACTTTTCGACCAAGAAAAAATCAACCAAGAAACTACATCCTGCCGTCCATCTTTGTTGGTTGAAAAAGCGTGAAATTTTTAGTTTATTGATAAACAACATCTAAAGTTTACTTTGTCCTATTTAAAAAGAAAAAGGCTTTAAGCCTTGAATGGTGAACGGACCAACGACGGTCCATATATCTAAGTGATTCCCTCACAATACAATTTGTCATTCAACATTAGTATTAATGTCTTGTATTTTATAACTTAAAATTATAAAAAGTGTAATGAACCACAAGCGGTTCATTTTTGTGAAGAGAAGTGATGGACCACTAGCAGACCATGACACACTCCAAATTAGATGTATTTCTTCGACTATACATGTATTTCTTCTTCTTTTTGTCTATACTATTAAACAATTATTTACTTTTGATCTATAAAAAATAGATAAGTCACATATTATAATAATATATATATATGAAATTAAATATATTAAAACAAAACACATAAAACACTAAATAATGTTTCTATGATAATAACTATTTTAAAGTAATAACTTTAGACTAACTAAAATTTACATAGAAATAAATAAAACCTAGTATTTTGGATTGTCTAAAGATATTATTGAGAAATTTTAATTTTTAAACAATTTTCTTAATTTAAAATTTATAAAGAGCCTAGTTTTATTATTTTAGTTATACAAAATAAAATAATAATTTTTTATTTTATATAATTATTACAATTATATACAGTGTTTTGAACCGCTTTATATCCGGTTTTTCCATTCAAACATAATTTTGAACTGCTGGAATTACTAGATCCGCTCGATCCGCACTTGATCCGCTCAATTCACTCGATCCGCTGGTTCCACTTTTGTCACACTCAATCCGCTTGATCCGCAACGCTCGATCCGCTTTCTCCATTCGAAGCCTTATTTGGAACAAAATCGACCAAGTTTATTTGAAGTGAAAGGGTGATTATATGGGAAAAGAATAGTGCATGGACCCCTTCATTATTGCAATATGCCAATATTTAATTTGCATACACTTTATTTGGTCAATCTTTCATTGCTCCCATCTCCACTTCCTTTCTCTTTCTCTAACATACTTTTAATGTTTTCTTTTATGCTTTTCTAAATCCACTTACGTATTTTATTTCATTATAGCCATTAGCCAGCATATGTTTTGTGAAGGACACACGTGCGGGTTTCAACTTCAGACGTAGATAGGGAAAAAAAAAAGTAAAAAGGATAACGTTTTGACATGTAAAAACTAAAAACACTTGTCTACATTCTTTGACATAAAAATTAATCATTAGTGTTCCTTAATCCCACACCCGCACATTCTTTTTAGAGCTGTCTGAATGAAGACACGCATGTAGTTTTAATCAACCTTTGCAATTATTACTCTTATGCATTCAAAATGAGATTGGATCCACCTTTTCTTGTTTCTTTGGCGGCATGGTTACTCTTTCTCGGGTGTAGTGATTAAGTGATGTGTGTGATGGTGACTTTTGTATGGCTAGACGAGTGTTGAATTTTGGATTTCCGTTATTGGGATTGATAATTTGCATAATTAGCGAAATGACTAATTGTCAAAAGACATTATTTACACGTGTAGGTAACTAGGAGATGACCACAACTGAGTTGACAAATTAATAATTAAAAAATTCGCTTAACCAAAAAACTTTGATGTATAGCCTGACATCATATGAATGTACTCCCATTCCTTTTTTTTTTTTGGTTTTATGTATTCCCATTCTTTTTTTCTTTTTCTTTTTTTTTTTTGTAAAAGGATATGTGTACTCCCATTCTTCTTAAGTTGAGATGTCGTTTTATATCTTCTTCGCCACCATTACGTGCAAACCTAAACATTTATCCAAAACAATTTTTCTTCTTATTATATAAAGATGAATGCGTGCGACGTGGTTGCGACACATAAGATTTTTATAATTTATAGGATCGCGACATGTGTCACTTTTAATATTACATCCGTTAAGATCGTGACATGTGTCTTGGAAAAAAGTAATAATCAACAAAACAAAAATTACATAAAGGAAAATTAAAAAAAAATAATAATAAGAAAAGAAAAAAATAATTTGTCATATCCTAATAGAAAAAGACTTCCCATTCAACAAATTTATATTTTCTAAACACATATTAAATTCAAACTAATGAAATAAATAAAATCATATTAGTATATGAAATAAGTTAAGTAAACTAAATTTCCTATAACTGCATGAAATATATTGCTTGAACCCCCTATAAAAAGAGAGTTAAAATAGTCTATTTTTTCATTCACAAACTCATCAAAGCAAATTCATCAAATCTCTTTCATTCTCTTTCTTTAATTTAAAAATCATGTCATTAAAAGTTTACGACATGGTCGCAATACGTAGGATTTTTGTAACTCACAAAATTGCGATATATGTTTATATTCTCATTACGAAAAGGAAAAAACCAAAACATAAAAAGATTTTCCGATTCAATTGTGTGCTTCTATCTTTTGTATAATTTTCTCTCCCATTAAAAAAAAATCATTTCTTTATAATTCATGATAGCAATGAATAATATTTAACTCTATATCAGTTGAATAGAAATCAAAATTATTGTGGTTACATGTATTTAATATTTGATCCAGTGCAGACACATATTAATACAAGTAAATTGGAAAATGTTAAACAGAAATAAAAACTAGCAAAATATTTATAAAAAAACAAACTAACTAATAATGAAAATGAAAATGAGAATATATAATGGTCTGAGGCAAAAAGAAAATTGAGGAAGAAACAATATAAATATAAAACTAACAAAATAATTATCAAGCAACTAACTAATATTCAAAAAAAATATAATGAACCGATATTCTGATTTTAACCAGTTTAATTTTCAATATTGTTAGGTAAAAATATATTAAATAAAGATTTTATCTAATGAAATCTCTTGAATGCAATAATAATAATTTTAAATTTTGTTGAATTAATCAGTTGATCAGATTTAAACATATATAAGTCTTTCTATATTGGATAAAAAAAAACAAATTTATTCATTTTTCATATCGTAAATTGAAAAAAAAAAATCAAATACAATAGAAATGTAAAAAGATTATCAATCTTATTTTATTTGAATATTTATTATTGGGATTTTAGTATTATGTTGCTTACTTTTAAAAGTGATCAAATTTTCTTTAATACTTTTTGGTGATTTTATTACAAAATCTAAAATCAAGCCGCGCGTATACGCAGGGTTTAATCTAATATATAAAAAAACATACTTTTTCTATATAATTGAATTGTATGACATTTTGTTGGCTTTTTTTATATATAAAATTTCAACACTATGACATTTTAGGATATCTACTTGTCGTAACCAATATTTGGGATGGTGATGGCCCGCTGAATTTTCTTCGCGTTAACCACCTCAATTCCATTCTGTTTTGTTTTATCATCCATAATGGCTGATACGTAAATATACCATACAGTTTTTTTACCCTATTTTTTACTGATTAAAATAAACCCTATTTCTCTTGTCAAGTAAAATAAAATGAAGTTGAGTCGTGGATACAATGACCACGCAGTTTGAAATGAATCCTCTTAATTAGAATTAGAAAAAGCATGAACATAAGCTTCAAAGGCATTAGGCATGGCAAAGACTCTCGAAAATAAACAAAACAAAAAGAAAAAGGAAAAGCGCAATTAAAACTATTGATACTTATTCTTCAAACATTAAATATTTAGGACTTGCTTTTGTGAAATCCAAGCTTTGTTTGGTCCGGAGAAAGTGAGCAACACGGTGCGAACAAATATTTAGGTTCTTGTTTCAAGACCGTTTAACTTTATGATTGAATTGCTATATAATGATTCATTCATGTGGTTAGTATAATTCACCCTACCGGTAGATGTTGCTTAACAAATTCTATCGATTCTAGTTTTATTTAGGTCACTATAGACGTTATAATTCGATAAACAAGAATAGCTGATTATGTATTAGTCTTCTATGCTTCGACTTAGAAATGATCAACTAGTAGAATACAATTTTTGTATAGCAAGATTTGTTTTCTTTATAAAGTATCATACTTATTGTTTATTACGAGTCTATTGCGCCTCAGTAATAATAAATTACCAAACTCTAGGTCAACAAATTAGTTTGTTGTTTGTCAACTTCAACATTTTGCTTATATAGAAATTAGAAAGTAATATAACATGTAATATGGATTTTTCATATAATATTAATGAACATTACATATACGCGTAGACATACAATTATGTGCAGATTGATGCACATACATACACCCAACTTTGCAGAAAATGACATTCAGTGATGGAACCATTCATTAACTAAAAAATTTAAATTGCAAAAAACGACAAAAATGGTCTACTTATAGTTTAAACAACTGGGAATATAGATTATCTAAGGATTACGTAGTCTATTATACAATACTAGTATTTGTCTATTTTGGTCGCCGTAATAAGGTTATACCTACTCTCCCTCCTCGGCTGTCTAAACGATTGTTATAGTGGGGACAAACACAATCTTTACAATCGCATTTATTTAATTGCATTATTAATCATTTTAGATTATAGTTGGGGTGTTGAGCAACTCACCAATCACCATGCTGTATAATTATACAGCACGTTACTTTTAAAATGATCACCCTGAGATACTTTGCCTCCGAAGCAATTCAGAGTAATTTGCTAAAACAAATTAAATATATAGGGATTAGAAAACCTTTGAGAGACAAAACTAAGGGATTAGAAAACCTTTGGGAGACAAAACTAACATGTTTTTATTTGTTAACATGTCGCTTTGGCGACTGATTATTCATATTTAATTAATCGTACGTGCACTTGCTTACTATTGACTATAAAAACAATTATTACATATATTACTCATTGCTTTAATTTGATGTCTTGCTCAGTTTATCCATGGATATATGGGTAAGTTACGAAATGCATTTTTAGCAAAGTAACACTTTTTTGGAACTTACACACATAAGTAGAAGATGTTCTTTTAGAGAGAAAGTTGGCTATCCAAATCTTACATCTTGGCATTCTTGGTTCTTTTGTGTCGCAACGAATTTATATTAAGAATGATTCTATATAGTATATATATGAAACAACCAAGCTTTGATATCAAGGTGTGAAACAAGGTGTATGTGAGTTGACAAGTGGTTGTGTGTCGATTAACATAAGGGGTTTGTGTTTACCGATCGCTCGAAATTATTTTTATTTGTTGTTTATTGCTATTTATGTGTCTTGTATTTCACGTAATTGGTTTGTAAGTGGGATGATCCACTCACTAAGTAATTATGATAATACTTATGCAACTCATTTGTAATGTGTTGCAGGTAAAAGGTTTACATGATCGCGGAATCAAGGCTGAAGAAGAGGATGATATGATTTATTGCTTTGCATTGTTTAAGCTGAACTTGGTGTTTAGGTTGCTAGAACTATCAGTTGTTTTTATTTGCTTCTGTTGATTATTGTTAAATTGATTTAATTATTTATTTATTGGTTTTAAGACTTCCGCTAGGATTAATTTAAAAAAAAAGAAAAAAACTTTGTTGTTTCATTTTGGTACGTATCAGAGCCTATACGGTTTTAGAATTGTTATAAATTGATAGTTTTAGTATCATTGTTTTCGGGCTTCAGGAGATTTCGCGGTGAGTTATATGTTTGTTCTTGGTGTTGTTTTTGTATGTTCTAGCTTGCTCATCTACTGTTCCTTAGAGTGAGATGACGGAGTTAGAGGTCGTGGCGTGAGATGTCGCGGTAGAGATGATGCCCGTAGGGGCAGAGCAGTTGTTTGTGGTGGCAGAGCTGGTGGCCGTGGAGGCCGAGGTCGGGGTTATGGACTACTGGTGGATTCGGGAGAGAGTGCAGCACCGAGTGTGGCAACTACATTAGTGACTCAGTATTTTTTGATGGTGAGTGCAGCCAGTTTTGGTGCCGGTGATGGCGCGGGAGTTGGGGCGGCCCCAAGTGCGGGTGTTGTTCCCGCTCAGGGTCGTGATGACCTAGTTGTTGGGTTACTGACGCAGTTGTTGGCACGTTTTTCCGCAAGCGGTTCCACAACAGGCTACAGGCGTATCTCCAGTGGCTGGGGTGCAACAAGGAGCTGCAGTAGCTGAGCAGCCGAGGGCTGCAGTTGTTGGTGTTCCGCCTTATTTAGAGATGATGGTGCAGATGCAGAGGATAGTGACACCGTTCTTTGAGGGTGGAGTTGGTCCAGAGGAGGCCGACGAGTGGCGTCTGAGACTGGAGCGCAACTTCCGGTCTATCAGGTGTCCGGTTGAGTATCAGGTGGAATTGGATGTTCACTATCTTAGTGGAGACGCACATTTGAGGAGTATTGTGATATTTGCTATTCAAGCTGAGCAGATGATAAAGCGGGGTTGTGACATCAAAATCGTCGCTAGATACACACCACAAATGTGCACATTTGTGGAGACGCATATTTGTGCATTTGTGTTGTGGACATTTGTAGTGGAGACACACATTTGTAGTGTGTATCTGGCGACAATTTCGATGTCACAATCCCGTTTTATCATTTGTTCAGCTTGAATAGCAGATATCATAATAATCCCCAAATGTGTGTTTCCATTAAGATAGTGGACAGCCAACTCCACCTGATACTCAACCGGACAACTGATAGACCGGAAGTTGCAGTCTCACACGCCACTCGTCGGCCTCCTCTGGACCAACTCCGCCTTCAAAGAACGGTGTCACTATCCTCTGCATCTGCCCCATCATCTCTAGATAAGGCGGAACACGAACAACTACAGCCCTTGGATGCTCAGCTACTGCAGCTCCCTGCTGCACCCCAGCCATTGGAGGTACACCTATAGCCTGCTGTGGAACCGCTGGCAGGAAAACATGCCAACAACTGCGTCAGTAATCCAATAACTAGGTCATCACGACCCTGAGCGGGAACAACACCCGCACCTAGGGCCACCCCAAATCCCGCGCCATCACCGGCACCAAAACTGGTCGCACTCGCCATCGAAACAGACTGAGTCACTGACGCAGTCGCCACACTCGGCGCTGCACTCTCTCCCGAATCCACCGGTAGTCCATGACCCCGACCTCAGCCTCCACGGCCACCAGCTCTTCCACCACGGGTAATTTCTCTGCCCCCACGGGCATCATCGCTACTGCGACTTCTCGCGCCATGACCTCTCGCGCCACGACCTCTAACAGCTTCGTCTATCTCACTCAAAGGAACAGTAGATGAGAAAGCTAGAACAAACAAAACAATACTAACAAACAAACATACAACTCACCGTGGAATTTCCTGAAGTTGGAAGAGGATGATAAAAAAACTATCAATTTCTAACAGTCCTAAAATCGTATAGGCTCTGATACCAAAATGAAACAACCAAACTTTAAAAAAAAAAAATCAATACTAGCGGAAGTCTTTAAACCAATAAATAAATAATTAAATCAATTTAACAATAATCAGCGGAATCAAATAAAAACAACTGATAGTTCTAGCAACCTCAACACCAGGTTCAACTTAAAAAATGCAAAGCAATAAATCCCATCATCCTCTTCTTTGGTCTTGATCCGGGATCACGTAAACCTTTTACCTGCAACACATTAAGAGAGAGTTGTGTAAGTATTATCATCCCACCTACAAGCCAATTACGTGGGACACAAGACAAATAAACAACAAATAGGCGAACAACAACAACAATAATCCTTTGTGTTGAGCGACACACACCTTGTGTCGCTCGACATCGACTCAAAACCCAGAATCCCCAAATCACGAAAACAGCTCAAGAACATGAAATCACACGGAATCCAACACCCAAATCGATCAAACAAGCAATTAACTCAAGAACACACATGAACTCAACATAAAACTTCACAAACAATCTAAATCTAGTGAATCACAAGCCTATGGTCACGTATTCACCTTGAAAACGAAATTGAAAGAGGAAAGAGAAATGAAGTAACGAAGAACAACAACAATTTTACCCAGAAACACCAAAATCTTTCCAAAAATTGCCTCTCCTCTTCTCTGCCAAAGTTCACCTCGAAAACCGAGCTCAAAATGCGGTTGCAGCTCTTTTAAATCGAGTCTAAGGTTTTTCTGCCCAGAACCAGCTAAACCGGACCACTTAGAACAAACCGAGTCGATTTTGCAATTATTGCATCGACCGACATACATCCTTGCGTCGCTCTACGCAACTTCCAAAATTCCATAAAATTAGCTACGAATGTTACAATATATAAAATGTAATATTTCTTTCAGAGGAAAAAAAATGTAATCTTTGTGATATATTTTGTTGATATCACAAGCACTTCGATACCATTTCTCTAAATAAATGGAAATCCTATATTGCATTAGACAATTTAAACATTTTTGAAGGCAGAAAAACAATTTCGATTGTACTAACACCATAGTTACTCACATAACCGATATTGTTTTTTCGTAAAAAAAAATAATATCAATAGAGACTATATATTTCAATGACACAGTCTTAAAACAACAACGCGTTAAATACAACAAAACAAAAATACTAAATATTCAACATTTCAACATAAAAAGAGACATACACAAACATGTAAAAACAAAGCAAAAACAATTTCAAGGATACTTAAAATTGATTGTATATATATCTTTTCTTTTTCTTTCTACGAACTATCGATTGCTACTACACATACAATTGTGAGCATATAACTTATAAATTTTTTTTTTTTGATAAAGAGCATATAACTTATACGTTTGAGTAAGTTTGGATCATTTAGCAAATAAAATATGACTTTGATAATAATATAGTGTTACATGTAAATGTTGTTGTAGTGTATTCAAACTTAAGACGGTAATATGTATAGAAAAAAAAAGCATTTATAATCTTTTAGGAAAATATTAAACCATAACTTCATAACTACGAATTCAAATCCGTAATGTTGCATGTCTATTTCTTGGATTTTTTTTTTTTTTTTTTTTTTTTGTGCAACGTCTATTTCTTGTTTTAACCAAGATTTTGATTTAATTTTTAATAAAATATATGAAAGAAAAAAAAGAAAAAAAAAATATCATCTTGATATTCTGTTTTCATCTGAAAATAAAAGCCTCCAAAATAAATCATCAATGTCATTTAAGTTTAAACATATAATTTTATTTCTTTTTAAATATATGTATAGTTTTCTCACTAATCATAGTAGCTCTGTTTGCAAGTAAACTTTTGACTCGATCATATAAAGTACTACTTTCTCGGTTTCATATTATAAGCAATTTGGCAAAATGTATCTACAAAAAAAATGGATGTATCAGAACGCAATAATGTCCAGATACATCCACATTTTTACATATACATTTTGCTAAACTGGACAAAGTGAAATATTATTTTTAGTTATTTTAGGTATGATTTCTTTTAATTTGAACTATTTTGTTTCATAAAAAAATAATTCAATTTGAATATATATATACATATATATATATATATAAACTTGTTTAAATATATCTTATTACTGGTAACTTTTTGAGATATATGGATTAATTTTTATTTATTTAATGTGAGAGTTTTTTTTACAAAACAATTTAATTTGAGTTTTTTTTCACAATTTTTTTTGTTTAAAACATTTAATTAATGTCACATTATTGATATAGATATGAGTTATATTATGATTTAAGATGAATGATCTGATTTGTATTTGTTTAAGTGATAATTTTTTTTGCAAAAATAATATTTCTTATGTTTAATAATAAGTGTCATTTGGAAAAAATGTATCTGAATAATAATAAGTATTATTTTGTCCAAATACATTAAATTCTTATTTTGTTTAAATGACATTTATTATGAAATAGAATGAGTACTATAGTTTGAGTTTATTTTTTTACAACACCCAAATTTAAAACCAGGCATTGGTTTGGGCGTATCTATGTCGACGACGGTTTCACAGTACTCGACGGACACGTGTGGACAATCCCTGCACGTGCCACCAGGTGTTCACTAAAAGCTCTACAAACCGTTGGATATCTGATCCGACGGTCTTAAACATCTCTTCCTCAGCCGTTCATAACTCTAACCCAATCGGCAAATGTATCGGAATTACCAAAAAAGCCAACTGGTCCCACGTGTCTTCTGGAGTTTCCTCCTCTGTTTGCCGGGGGCTTTTTAGTACTTTAACCTGAAGCCTTTCGTTCACCTAAAAAGTCACGGCCACATGGCTGGTGAGACAGACATGCAACCAATCTTCTGCTCCTTCTGAATCGTCGATTTAATTTGATGCAGCTATGGATCTCTCCACGTGTCACTTTGATTGAGGAAACTCGTCACAGTCGCGTGAGTGCAGAGTCACCCAGATACTAAACAGCTGCAAGCTTTTAAAACCATCTCATCGTCTTCCTCAAGCCTCCTTCTCTTAATACTACTACTCACTATGAGAGTTTTGAGGAATTGAGAACAAAACAGAGGTCAAATTTGGTCAGCACAGATCTTTACGAATATGGTTTCGGTGGAGGATCCGATATCTCATTCGAATTCCACCCGGTTTCCGTTAACGACGGACTTCTACGGTTCATCGTCGCCGTCGGCGGCGAGGATACATCGTCAAACTGGCCGGTCGATGAGGACGGTGAGATCTAATTTCTACCAAAGCGGAGATCAATCTTGCTCATTCGCCGGCTCTGTCGGCGATAAATCGGAGTATGCGTCGGAGTATTTGTCAGATTCCGTCATCGACATGAGGCTCGGCGAGCTTGCTTTGAAGAACAGCAATTCACTCAATTCAAGCGCTTCCTCAGTGAAAGAGGAAATGTTTCTCGACATTTCTCAGGCGTTTAGTGATTTCTCCGCGTGTAGTAGTGATATCTCCGGCGAGCTGCATCGTCTCGCTTGCTTGTCGTCGCCGGAGACAGAGGGAAAGGAGAACGTCGGAGAAAACCAAGCGCAGGATCCAGAGCTAGAGATGGAACCATGTCTAGGGTTTCTGCAGAGGGAAAACTTCTCTACGGAGATAATCGAGTGTATTTCTCCGGAAGATCTCCAGCCGACGGTGAAACTCTGCATCGACGGACTTCGCTCCTCTTCGGTGGCGATAAAGCGATCTGCTGCGGCGAAGCTGCGGCTCCTTGCGAAGAATCGAGCGGATAACCGTGTGCTGATTGGGGAATCTGGAGCCATCCAAGCTCTCATCCCACTTCTCCGTTGCAACGATCCATGGACACAGGAGCACGCAGTCACAGCTCTCTTGAATCTCTCGCTCCACGACCAGAACAAAACCGTAATCGCCGCCGGAGGAGCAATCAAATCTCTAGTGTGGGTACTCAAAACCGGGACGGAGACCTCAAAGCAAAACGCCGCGTGTGCGTTGCTCAGCCTAGCGCTCCTGGAAGAGAACAAAGGCTCAATCGGAGCCTGCGGCGCGATTCCGCCGCTGGTTTCTCTTCTGCTGAACGGATCTTGCAGGGGCAAGAAGGACGCTCTGACGACGCTTTACAAGCTGTGTACTATTCAGCAAAACAAAGAGAGAGCCGTCACCGCCGGAGCAGTGAAGCCTCTGGTGGACCTTGTTGCGGAGGAAGGGACTGGAATGGCGGAGAAGGCTATGGTGGTTTTGAGCAGCTTGGCAGCAATCAAAGAAGGCAGAGAGGCTATCGTCGAGGAAGGAGGGATCGCAGCACTAGTGGAGGCCATCGAGGATGGATCAGTAAAAGGGAAAGAATTCGCAATCTTGACGCTGTTGCAGCTTTGTGCTGATAGCGTCAGAAACCGTGGGTTGCTTGTGAGGGAAGGCGCGATTCCTCCGCTTGTGGGTCTCTCTCAGAGCGGATCCGTCAGCGTTAGAGCTAAGCGCAAGGTAACAAAGTTCTCTAGTTTGCTGATTACTCGTCAAATATTTTTTCTTTTGGCTATAGTAGTCTTCTGTTACGGATCATAGTGTCTGTGTTTTCGGTTGTACTTGGTGTATTGGGAACTATCAGATCTAGTTTTGGTGTTCCTAGTAGATCCATTTGATGATGTGCTGTGAATTTGATCAATTGTGATCGTTTTGTGTCCTGCAGGCAGAAAAACTTCTGGAGTATCTTAGGGAGCCAAGGAATGAGGGATGTTCATCAAGCCCATGAAATGAATTTGAATGGAACTTTGTGGACTTTTCATCAGTCTTAGTATGTATATACCGAGTGTATGTTTGGTTGGTTTTGTATAGCAGTGTCGTTGTGTAGACTGTAAAAGAGAGATCAAAATGAGTCTTGGAAACTTGACTTTGATCTTTCATATATTCATGTCTAAGCTTAGTTTTTGGGGGGTTTCAAGGGGAGTGCTATTTGATTTACAAGTCTAGCATTCAGGTTTTTGGGTGGAATATGCTGATTTTTAAGGCAAAAAGCTTTGTAGTGTCGGCAAATGCTTGTTCAAGAACAATGCAAATCTTAATCTAAATTTTTTCTTGATCAATTGTTTCAAGTTTTAACTCTTATCTGGCTCAATTATTGGTTTGGATCTTTCGAGTGTTTGTATGTGGATCTGTGTCTGTGTATCTGGAGGGACGGTGGATCTGGAGATGATTTTGTGTGCAGCAAATCTGGCACCGCTCATAATGTCTTGTCCTACAATAGTAAATGGTTATCGTTGAAAGTAGTTTAGTTTGTCCCACCACATAGAAAATGATAAATACTTTTTTCATTTAATTGAGTTTTGATGCTTTTGCTACATGAACTTGTCTGCCTTATTTGTAGACCTATGCTTTTGCAATTGTTAATTCACTCTAGTAAACAAGTTTGGTTTTCAATAATCTTATTACTCTGAGGTTTCAACAGGTCTTGATATTATACGTGCATCCCATTTTCATACAGTATATGGTTGCAACAAAAGAGAGAGAGAGAGAAGAAACTGATGAAGAGCATCATCTTAAGCCGCCGTATCAACATCTTTACCCTTCTTCTTCCTCTGCCGCAAGAGACTGGGCTTGTACCCAGCCTCAAGCAACTTCTCAACCTCCTCAAACTGAAGTCCTTTAGTCTCAGGCACCAGCAGCCAAATGAAGAAGAGCCCAACCGTGGAGAAGCCAGCGAAGAGTAGAAACGTCCCAGAGGAGCCGAGAGCATGAGTGAGCGAGAGGAAACTCTCACTCACAATAAGATTCGATACCCAATTCGAAACCGCAGCGATTCCTCCACCAACACCTCTATACCTAAGCGGATAGATCTCAGAGTTCACAATCCACGGAACAGTGCCCATACCTGGCGCGTACACTATGATGTAAAGCCCCAAGAACACTATCGCCAAGAACCCAAACTTGCTTGGACATCCATCTTTGAAGTACGTTCTTCCCCTCGAATGACACGTCGCCTTCATCTCGTCCGACAACACCACGCAAGCTCCCGGCGCGTACGGCTTCACTCCGCTGGCGCAAAAGCCGCATTCCGACTTCAGACACTTCATGCAGTTCCACCTCGAAGGAGGATTTGCGGTTGTGTGTGGTACAAACGCAGGACAAGTAGCGTTTGGAGCAAACGTGGATGACTCCACGGGATCAATCTTGGGTGCGTGAATCGCCGCTTGTGAGAACACAGTCGCTAAGATGATGAGACACGTTATGATCCCAAACATGGAGATGATCATCAGCTTCCTTCTACCGTACCGGTCCACAAACATCATGCTCACGATCGAACCGATCGCGTTTAAACCGGAAGTGATCAGAGACAACGCCATTGCGGTGCTGTTGGAGGCGTAACCGGCGAATTGCACGATCGACGGACTGTAGTACATGACGGTGTTGATCCCAACGAACTGCTGCGCCACCTGGACTGTGATACCGGCGGCGAGTCCACGTCGGACGATTGGGTTCGCGAAGGCTCCTTTGATTTTGGCGACGAAGCTGTCTCCGATGATTGCTTCGTCTGCTTTCTCCACCTCCACTGACTCCTTAAGCGCTTCCATCTCCGCCTCCACTTCGTCCTCCGGGTAAATCCTCTCCAGAATCGCTCTCGATTCCGCGATCCGATCGTTTCTGTATAGCCACCGTGGAGACTCCGGCAGCGACAGCATCAGCACAAACTGAACAATCGCCGGAACTCCAGCGATTCCCAACATCCACCTCCACGTTCCCGGCGTCTGCAAATTTTTCAATTTCAAATCAAAATTAGGGTTTTACAAAATAGAAGAGGAAAGAGATGGATTCGAATTCACTACTTACATTTACGAAGGCGAGATTGACGAGGTAAGAGATGAATTGTCCTCCGGTGATGAGAAGACCGTTGGTGCTAACAAGCGCGCCTCTGATTCTCGCCGGAGAAGCCTCGGAGATGTAAAGCGGCGAGGTCATCGAGGCCATACCAACGCCGAACCCGACGAAGATTCTCCCGACGATGATAACCCAAGGAGCAGGAGCAGCAGCCATCACGACTGCACCGATCAGGAAAAGAACATCGGCGATCAGAATCGACATCCTCCTGCCGAACCTATCGTTGATCCAACCTCCGACGGCTGCTCCGACGATGGCTCCGGCCACTGCCATGCTGACAATAGTCGACTGGAGCCATGTCTTCCTGTCGACTTCCTCGAAATCCTCTTTGATGAAGAGAAGAGCACCGGAGATGACTCCGGTGTCGTATCCGAAGAGAAGACCTCCGATTCCGGCGGAGAGAGCGAGCCGCATGATGTACGGTGTCTTCCATGTCGTCCTCCAACACTCTGTAAACTCTGTTTTGTCCGCCTTGGCTATTCCTCCTTCCACCATTTTTGTTTCCGAATGAGATTTCTTTCTTCTCTCTCAGTGATCAAAGAGAAAGAGAGAAATGAGAGAGATTCTTTAGTCTTTACACTTGGTTGTGCCTGCGATGCGATGAACAACTTGTTAATTTATCGAATCTAGAATCATCCAGCATTAAAGCATTTAAGATTTTCTTTCCATTTGAAACACACCTTACAGTCGTGACTAAGGGAAATGAAACGCATCAGACAGTCAACAACAGATGGATGGATAAAGACAAAATGATTACATTGGGAAGCGTAAAAAAACAGAAAGAGTTGAAAACAAAAGTCGTCGTTTGAAAACAAGTAAAAATTCGAAGTGTCACCAGAGGAGAGAGGCAGAGACTGAGTTAAAATTATTCACAAAAATTGCCACGGTGTTGATGGAATCTTATAGAAGATGATGATTGATGAGTAGTATGAGATTAAAATGGATAAGATTCTCCTAACTAGTGGGACCCGCATAGCCTAATCTCTTTGACGTATCTTCAAATCCTATCCTACGACTGTTAGATTCGATTTTCACGAGATTATATGGATAAAACCAAATATGTTTCTTTTTTCAGAAATTGACTAATATAACCATACAAAAAAAAAAAAAAAAAAAAAAAAAATCAATAGTTTAGTAAGTAGAATAAAATGAGTCAATGATCCTACATATTTTTGTCCATTTTTCCCCAAAAACTCTTCACTCTTTTATCCTTCTTCCCTATTGTTTCCCTTACATGATCTTCATTTTGGTCCACCTTTTTCACTTTGTTACTTGCAATATTGATGGCTAGAAGTTTAATTGGGAACTCCAATATGGCTACTAGCCGAATTGATCCTTTTTTCCTCCCTTAAAAACAAGGATTATCTTTTTTGATAGAGCTTACTAATTATCTCTGTGATCTATTACCCTAATCTCCTACAGTCCTACTACATGATTCGAGACTCTCTTCAAGAGATTTCCAGAAGAGAATAACATTCTGATATAATTACTTCCTTAATTATCATTTACTATGATGCAATTCCAAAACATAAAAGTATTAAAATATAAGCCTATGCATGTAAGTCCTAATACATAGGAGGACATGTCATGCTGAAACTACTAGAACTGAATCCAGAAATATACTTTTGCAAGAGGTTAGGTTAATCTTTTTTACATCTGGCAGATTTACAAAGCAGGGGAAAGTTTTACCTCAGCAACATGTGATGATTCTCCAAATCTCTACCGATTTAAGAAAATAAGACAATTCTCCGGAAAGATGTTTAGTGTTGTTTCAGTTAACACTTTCAAACAAAACAACAATGTTCTCGAGTCGTGCGGATGCAACTTGGTGGTAATTACAAGTGGTGTAATTGTCTTTAATCATAAACAATTATTCTTTCATTCAATTCTAAAGAACAACAATGTTCTCGAGTCGTGCGGAATTGTCTTTATAAAGAATAAACTCAGACTGAAATACTAAATTTAGTAAAATGAAAAAGAAGGTAAAAGTGACAACCTGGTGGTAATTACAAGTGGTGTAACATCCAGTAGTTAAGGATTAACTTTAGGTAAATGTTTGGGATAAGATTGATTTACTGGAAAATGGTAATGTTTTTAGTGGTTGTGTTTCCTCCTCACTCCCATAGTTAAAATAACTGTATCTCCTAATGTCGTGTTTAGTTTTAAAAACTGTAATACTTGGACCTGTCTATTATTGATATGAACAAGGTAAGTTAGCTGGAAGAAAAGTCTTTGTACGAGGAACTTCATCAACATTTATCTAAACATAGATGTATTAATATTTTAAAAGACAGCCAAACACGAAAAGTCTATATAATTGATAAATCGAATTATCTGTCTAACAAACAAAACTAGTCTCTCTCTTTTGTTCTTTTCTGATCATATTCTCTCTTTTACTCGTCTTCTACTGCTGGAAAAGAAAATAGATTTGTCTCACAAACGTGTATTAGTTCCTGATTATGAATTTCTGCAGTTTAGTTTTTGGGTTTTTACCAAATTATGTGCATTTGCTCTTCGTTCCATATATATAAATTAACAAGGTGGTTGTCCCGTACCTTGTGCGGGTACAATATTTTTTTAATAAATTAATTAAATAAAGATTTTAATAATATAAGTAGTATAATTTTTGATTATACTATTTTTTTGTTTTCGCTAACTTCTTATTTCTATAATTTTGATGTCTTATTTTTATTTTCTCTTTCTCATTCTTCTATATAATATTCGTTTTCATTCGTTTAGGGAGATACAAAAGATTTCATACTTCTAATTTTGTTCTCTTTTATTCTTCTCCAATCCCTAATATATTAAAAGAGAAAACAATATAAAATAAACTTTTGTGTCATGTGGTATTAACAAAAATGCCATGCTGATGTGTCATCACAAGGTTCATTCTAAAGGTCAATTTTAATTAAGACATCATTTACTAGAATAATTACAAGTAATGCCACTCATATTATTTGGTTAGAGAAATCACATACATCTTATTTAACTAACCATTTTATTAATATTAATTTAATCAAATATTTTTTCTTTCCTTAATTGTCTCATACGAAAAATTAATTAAAAAAGCAAAATAAGGTATCCAATTACATCACATTTATTAGTTTTAAAAATCATTATATTTTTCCCATTATCTTTGTTTAGTTTTATTTCTTTTAAAAATAAAATGAATTGACATATGAAAAACATGATAAAAATAAAATCTAACTTTTCTGTATATACTGTAATTTGAATTTTTAAAAACTATATAAAAACTAAAACTGTTAAAAATTCCACATCAGAAATATTCTTAAATGATAGTTCAGAAATCTCTATAAAAAGATCCAAATCATGTGCAACCATATGAGTAGGAAAGCTCATTAGTAGGTATCCAAATATATAAGTTTTTCTTTATTCTATTTAATATGGTTTTTAAGTGAACTGTATAATTAGATTGAATAAAAGTAAAAAATATAATATTTTAATTTGACCAGAATTTTAAATTGTTATATAAGTAAAATTATTTTAATTGATCAATATTTATTAATCAATCAATCAGTAAAGCTTAAATATTTATTAGTCCATCAGTAAAATTTTATTTCAATTGTATTATACTAAAATCAATTTATTCTCCTATCATTTTTTGTGTAACTTTACTTTTCAAAAATAAACTATATCATCACATCAAAATACCTAATAAAACAAAATTAGTTTTTTTGGTGCAAGTGTTAAAAGTCCAACATAGAGTATGTTTTGGATAATAGTTCAAAAACCTATTATAAATAAATATCCAAATAATGATTGACCATGAGTAGAAAAACCAATTTAATAGGTTTCCAAACTTTAAAATTTTTATATTTAATTTAATTTGGTTTTTAATTGAGCTGAATAATTAAATTATATATCTAAAAAATTGTAGTTTGAAATTTTTTAAATATAATAAATTATCATAACTTAAATTATTTTCATTATTTAAAATTGATCAAAACATAAAATATCTATACCAATTAATATTTATCAAAATATATAATTATTTTATAACTTATTAAAAAATTGATATATATGTGTGCTCAGAAATTCACACTCAAAATTTGTGAGTATTATTTTGTAACAGAGAAATTGCGGTGGAATCAAATGTTATGTTCTCATAATGTAAAAATCAGAAAATATCACCCCGTGCAAGGCGCGGGTCAAACCCTAGTTCTTTATATAGTCGAGATCTTTTAAAAATCTATCATGGTTTTGTTATCTTTCCACTATGGATTTGCTTTAATTTGTTAATTTTTCTATTTGTGAATGTAATTTAGAAAGGTGGATATAACTTTATAATCAATGATTTTTATTTACGATATTCTTCCATTCAAATGTTTAAAAATGCACCAAAAACTAAACCCTACACCCATCAATATAAACCCTACATCCTAAACCCAAGCCCCATAGTGTAACACCACCCCACCCTAAACCCAAACCCTATAGTGTAACAACCCCCCCCCTCAAAGCAACCCTACACCCTAAATTTAAACCCCACATTATAACGGTACATCATAAACTCCAACCGCATATTATCTTCTTCTTTTACTTCTTTCATAAATTTTTTCCTTCATTTTCTACCATTTTTTCTTATTCTTACCAAACTTTCTATTCTCTTTTTATTTTCCTCTCTCTTCATTATCATCTTTTTATTTCCTGGTTTTTATTCGTTTTCTTCATTTTATTTACAATTTGTTTTTCATTTGGCTTTGTGTTCTTAAACTTCGTTTTTTTTATCTTTTGATTTTTCCAACTTCTTTGTTGTTCACATATTCTTCAGTTCTTTTCTTCTTCTGTTTTGTTTTTTTTTGTTTTTTCGTCTTTGTCTTCCAACTTTCATCTTTCCCTTACTATTATTCAGGTTTTTCTTCTTATTTCATATTATATTCATTGTCATTTTTTATTATCAATCTTTTTTTTTAGTATCTTATTTATCAATTTCGGCTTCCTTTTCATTTTTCTTTATTTATGTTTTTTCATCTTGAAATATGAAACTGATAAAATAATCACTTACGATTTACTATGAAATATGAAACTAATATGATGGATCTTAAACGAATATTGAAAATCCTTTTAGATAAGCTTAGTCGAATTAGGGTTTTATGAGATTTAAGTTGTTTAAAAAAGGAAAGATGTACATACCACATATTTCGTGGGAAGAACTGTTTTGAGTTGGTACCATATTTGATCTTCTTGATTTCATTAGTTAACAAAGCATGAATTTACTGTTACGAAGGTAAAAGAATTAGAAGTTAGATCCGAATCTTTGCATAAAATTTAAAGAAAAATAATGAATAATCAGTTAATCATTAGAGCTAATAACACTAAGATCCAACAAAAACAATAAACCTACATGACAAAAATGATGATATATGGACTCCGAAATATTATCATACGTCTAGAAAAAAGAATCGTAAACTGTGTTGATTTTGCAAGTTGCTATCTATTTATATAACAAAGTCGGTTGAGAAACCTAGGTTTTCCTTTTTTATCTTTCCAATTTTTAAATTTCTTCCAAAATTGTGGTGCCTAATATGGTAATTAGAATTATTATCATAAAATATTTTTATTTACTAATATAATTCGTGAAATTAAAAAAAAAAGAAATTATGAAGATTTTAAAAATAGAATTTTCATTAAGGTAACTGGGTAATCAACCAGCTGAGAATCAATATGTGGCTCTAAACAAAATTTTTACTTTGCAAATAATATATTAGATTGTAACAGACGTAAAAACAAGAAAAAAATATATTTGTCAAGAGTGGGATTTGAACCCACGCCCTTTCGGACCAGCACCTGAAGCTGGCGCCTTAGACCAACTCGGCCATCTTGACTTTGATTGCTTCATTTCACACATACTTTTAATTATACCCAAGCATAATTAAAAAGCAAAAATAGTTGATCCCTTTCTCCTCCTAACCTTAAAATCGAGAAAAAAATGAAAAATTTAAACTTTTTCCGGCTGACGACGGCTGGTTTCATCTCCTCTAGTGATCGGAGGGAATGTTGGTATTCGGGATCGGGATGAAAACGTTAATCCCGTCTTCTCTTTCTCTCAAATCTCAGTCTTTCTGCTTCTCTTCCAACTTAAACTATCTTCTCTCTAAACTCCGACTATCCACCAATTTCTCCTTCACGCTCAACAGGCTCGCTATAGTTTTCACTCGCGAATTACAAACGGAGGCGTCTCCGTCGTCTTCCGGTGAGAAACACGGTTTATCTAGTCCTATGTTCTCCGGCAAAGCGACCACGATCCTTCGCCGGATGCTGGCTGAGAGAAGAATTGGCAGGTTTCTTCACCTCAAATCCTCTCCTAATTTTTCGTTGGTGCTTATGGTCTCGCAGTGAAAGTTTCTTAATTTTAATCTATAAACTGATTTTGAAATGCGTAACCATATTATAATTGACTGGACCAATACACTCAATGGGTGTGATCTTAACTATGTTGAGGTCGCAAAGTTTGAAGCTTTCCATTGAGAAATCAAAATTGGGTGTGATCTTACTATGCTCATCTCTTATGAGGTCGCAAAGTCTGAACCTTTCCATTGAGAAATCGAAATTTGGTGTGATCTTACTAAGTTCATCTCTTATGAGGTCGCAAATTCTGAAGCTTTCCATTGAGATTTCACCTGTAAGATGTTTTTAGCTTTCAGGTGGAGGAGGAGCAACAGAGAAAGAAAGAGAAGCTGGACAAGACACTAAAGGGTCTTTGCATCACAGGGAGATTGAAAGAAGCTGTTGGTCTACTATGGCGTTGCGGGCTACAAGTCGATGCCAAGACTTACGCTGTGCTCTTGCAAGAATGCAAACAGAGGAAAGAATACGGGAAAGGGAAACGGATACACGCTCAGATGATTGTTGCAGGATTTGCTCTGAATGAGTATCTCAAAGTCAAGCTGCTAATACTCTACGCACTCTCAGGAGATCTTGAAACAGCTGGAGTTCTCTTTCGCTGCTTGGATTCGAGTGATGTGATCCCTTGGAACGCGATGATATCAGGGTATGTGCAAAAGGGTCTTGAGCAAGAAGGGCTTGAAATGTATTATGAGTTGAGACAACGTGGATTAGTTCCTGATCAGTATACTTTTGCTTCAGTGTTTAGAGCTTGCTCTGCTTTAGCATCGTTGGAACATGGAATGAGAGCTCACGCTGTTATGATCAAGAGCCGTGTTGGATCGAATGTTATAGTCAATAGTGCTCTTGTTGATATGTACTTCAAATGCAGCAGTGTCTCTGATGGACGCAGAGTGTTTGATGAGTTCTCAGTCAGAAACGTGGTTACATGGACGGCGTTGATGTCTGGTTATGGTTATCATGGACAGGTTTCAGAGGTGTTGAAGTGCTTTGACAAGATGAAAGAAGATGGTTGCAGACCAAACTCTGTTACTTTCTTAGTGGTGCTAACTTCTTGTAGTCATGGAGGTTTAGTTGATGAAGGCAAGAGGCATTTTGATTCGATGAAGAGAGAGTACGGAATTGAGCCTGAGGGACAACACTACGCAGCTATGGTTGATATCTTGGGGCGTGCTGGAATGTTACAAGAAGCGTACGAGTTTGTGATGAAGTCACATTGCAAGAAGCATGCTCCTGTATGGGGCTCTTTGCTTGGATCTTGCAGGAACCATGGCAACGTGAAGCTGCTGGAGCTCGCAGCGACTAAGTACTTCGAGCTGGATGCGACGAACGGAGGGAATTATGTGGTGTTGGCTAATGGATACGCGAGTTGTGGGTTCTTGGAGGATGCTTCAAAGGTTAGGAGGAGAATGGAGAGTGCAGGGGTTAAGAAAGATCCAGGGTTTAGCCAGATTGAGTTACAAGGGGAGGTTCATAGATTCATGAAGGATGATAAGTCTCACAGAGACTCTGAGAAGATATTCAACAAGGTCCAAGAGTTGGCTTCATTGTTTATGGATGTTGATTGCTGTTTAGATGACTTGTTCGCTAGCTGTCCTGTTTAAAGATTTAAATTATTTGTACTGCTAATCTTGTTTATTCCCCCAGCAAATTGTAGCTTTTATCTAGTACATTTGTGATACTTGTGAGTTGATATTTAACATCATCAGTTTTACTGAAAAATTAAACATTGATATGAGTTCGAAATTACCACCTTTACAACTCTAAATTGTAGGCAGTAACATATTTTGTTTCCTAGTAAAAACTACTGAGAAATAAAAACTTTAAATTTATACACATGTTTTTAAAAAATATACATGTTTTTTTCCTTTCTCTTTATAATTATGTGAAAAAGTATACAGTTTGATGTCAAAATTTATGATATTTAATGTAATAATGTGTATGCATTTTATTGTGGTGATAGTAGTTGTTTTTGTTATTGTTAAAAGTGTTATTGCTTACGAATTTATGGTAGAAGAATTTTCAAACATAGAAAAACAAATAGTTTCAGAAAATACATGTTTTCTCTCTACTCTCATTTTTGTCCTGATACACATAATAATTGTCAGATAGAAAACGACTGCAGAAACAAAAATGAAGAATGCCATGTGTAATTCCCACTTGTATTTGAAAACAAAACAAACAAAATTGGTGAGTTTTCAAGATTTGTCTCTTACAAAAAAAGGTAATGGGTTCGCTTTTACAAACATTAATTGATTAGACTCTCACTCAAGTTGTCATCTCTAATAATGCTGGTCTCCTGTTGACACTAGAAGAATAAAAAAATGGTTAGTAAAGATTAATCTGTAATCAAATCTAATTCATCAAACTCTTCCAAATACGTTGCAAGTCCATATAATTAACAAACCTCTTGCTGGCCCTTTGATCTCGCCAGTCGTTTCACTTGACTCAGACGTAGCCCACTTGTCATTGCACCTGTTCCATTTCCACACTCAACATATTAGCCATAGCCTTAACCATAATATGAGCTAAGTTTAAGCTTAATTACATCTTGTCTTTGTTTCTGTGTCTCCATTAATGTTGCTTGCCACTGCACTAGTTGCACTAGACTTCCTCAGTGTTCTCGCCAGATGTTTCACACGGCTCAGCCGTATTGGCCCTATCAGTTTAGACATCTCCTCCACTGGTATCTCCACACCTGCATGCATGTCCCCATACACACATAAATATGATAAAACACTTCCACATTTTTAAAGTTTTGTGTTTTCTTACTCTGATCAGACTCAAGCAATGGGACACTACTGCTGGCTCCGGAATCTTGATGTGATGAGGTCAGTGCTGCTCCTCCGGTGATTGCTTGGATCTGAGTGTCGATGCGGTTTGTCTCAGCTCTCTGCCGACGTAGCTGGTAGTTCTTGCGGCGGCGAGCCAAATGTCTTTCTCTCTCGTCTTGGCTCATAAACTGTCTTCTTTCTCTGTCTCTTAGACGTCTTCTTTCTCTCTCAAGCTCCTTCCTGCTCTTTCTTGATTCCACTCCTTCTCCTTCTATTGTGTCACTCATTGTATCTATTCAAAAGTCAGTGCTTTTATATATAAAAAGTTTCATCTTTTTACACCCAAAAACAAAACAAAAAAAGAACACTTTTTTGTTGTTGAGCATGATTTTATATATGAAAACGTGAAGCTGCATCAGTGGAGAGAAGTCAGAGAACTAGTGACAATTTCTAGATTATAAACTAATTAGAGGATCTTCTACATAACTGAGTATTGCACAAAACGTTGATTCTATATTATCTCTCCAGATATCTATGATTCTATCTACATTGATCGAGAGAACGCTGATCTTAGACTCGTAGCGATACAACAGCGATTTTCGTGGAAACATTGTCACCGAACAACGATCGTCGTCGCCGAACAAAACCCATATGCCTATTACTGTGTTTAATTCAGTGCTAGCATAAAAGTTGAAACTTTGATGTAAGGAGTCGAAAAGTTTAGAAGCTGATTATGATGGAAGAGAAACTCACCGGATTTAACATAGAGAGAGACGATGATTTCGAACGGAAACCTGCGACAAATCGAGCAGTGGTGGGCACTGATTTTAGGCCCACGCGATGCGATACGAGGAAGAAGATGACGAGAGAAGAATAACGATCTAGGTTTCGTTTTTCTTTTTTTTTTTTAATTTATTTTTACGTTTTTTCGTAATTGGTTTGTTCAATATGATAATTTGTTTGATTTAATTCCTTTAACGGAAGAAGGAAAAAATCGAATTTGGTTTTTTTTGCTTCTATAAAAGAAACGTTTGATTATCTTATTTATTTTAGAAAGTTTATAACTTTTTGACCAGACAAATACTCGAAATTAACAATTTGATATTTCTATGTGGTCTCCTACCCTATACTCGGACTACATGATTCAGTATCTCTCCAAAGAGAACTGATTATAAACTAAGTCTTTTACCCGCGCGTACGCACACGTCTGTATTATTAGTTTGATTAAATACTTTTAATTCATAAATTTTTATTGCCAGTAGCATGTTCATGGTATTATTCTTTCTCCTTTGTTAATTTTTCTTCGGCCTATTCTCCTTTATTTAGTTTCTTTTTCTTCTTTCATTTCTTCTTCATCTTTACTCTTCCTCATTTTCCTCTTATGTTTTTTGTCCTTGCGGTTTCGTATTCCGTTATTTGGTCTGCTTCTTCTTTTATGTTCATATTTTGTTTATTTTTTGTCTTTGTTGTCTTCACTTTTTTTGTATGTTCCTTCTTATTCTTTGAGTTAGTTTTGCTTATTGTTTTTTTTGTTTCTTCTTTGATTTTAGTTTAGACGGTCAAAGTTGCTAGAGTTTTGCGATTTTTTTGTTAGATATTTTTCACTAGATTATTTTCTACTGGAATTTTTTTCAGGATTTTATCCCTATTAGAAATAATTTTACTGTAATCCTCTTTAATTTAATCTGATGTAGACTAGTTTTTTTTTACTATATGATACACTTAACCAAACTTAAAAATATAAACTATTCACTTAGAAATGAACAACTACATATTCACACATATAATAACCAATGTCTAACAATAATAATAATATGCATCATAAAAATATAGTTAAGCATAACTGGTTTGAGCAATATAGTTAAAAATATACTGGTTTGAGAAATTCTTCAGTAATTAAGGTGTAACTTTCTTTTTGTTTTTTAAGTTTGCTAAAAAAAAACTCACCTCATGGTTTATATATTTTTTCATAATAAATTTTCCAGTTTTTCAAATGTTTTTGTATAAATCTTTCAAATATGGTTACTAAATCGACCTTAAATTTTAACAAAAATCGAAGAAATTTGTTTAATTACTTTGGACTTGTGAAGTTTCAAATTTAAGAGCGATTATACTTTCTATTTTTATCATATACTCCCTCCCGTTTCATAATAAGTGTCGTTTTGACTCTTGAGTTACCCAATGTATCTAGATGTATATGAATGTATTAAGACTCAAAACACATGCATATACATTAATAAATAGTCTAGATTCATTTTGTCAAAGCGACACTTATTATTAAACGGAGGGAGTATATTAGAGTTATTAAAACATTTAATATTAAATTTGTTTCTTTTTTGTTGGCATTAGAAAATATAATTTCCTTATTTATAAAAAAAAAGTATGAAAAATAGATAATACCTTTGAGTTAGGAAAGTTTCTTGAAATATGAAAAAGGAAAATGTTTAATGAAATAAATATAATTAAATTTAGATGATGATGTGGAATGATACTATTAGTTATTTAAAATTTGGAAACTTTCTTAATTCTCGAGATGCTTATGTGGATGATTGGTTAAGTTTTATCCTATACTAGGTCTTTTACCCGCGCGTACGCGCGGGTCTGTATTATTAGTTTGATTGTTGAACCGATGTTAACTATTCTTTCTCATTTGTTTATCTTTCTTTAGGCTATTCTCCTTTATTTAGTTTATTTTCTTCTTTCATTCGATCTTCATCTTTACTCTTCCTCATTTTCCTCTTATGTTTCTTTGTCTTTGCGGTTTTTTATTCCTTTATTTGGTGTGCTTCTTCTTTTATGTTCATCTTTTGTTTGTTTTTTGTCTTCGTTGTCTTCATTTTTTTTGTATGTTCCTTCTTATTCTTTGTGTTAGTTTTGCTTATTGTTCTTTTGTTTTTTCTATGATTAATTTAAAAGGTCAAAATTGCTAGAGTTTTGCTATTTTTTTGTTAGATATTTTTTCCTAGATTATTTTCTACTCGAATTTTTTCAGGATTTTATCCTTTTTAGAAATAATTTTACTGTAATCCTCTTTAATTTAATCTGATGTATTTTTTTACTATATGATACACTTAACCAAACTTAAAAATATAAACTACTCGTAGAAATAAAATTGACTTAAAAATGTACAACTACTTATTCACACATATAATAATAAATGTCTAATAATAATAATAAAAATAATAATTCAGTTTAGGCTTCATAAAAATATAGTTAAGCATAATTTTCAATTTCATATTATTAGGTTTCATATTTTTTATTTGGTTTCCTGGTTTAGTCTTACATTATGTGTTTTTTTTTTTTCGTTTTTTGCTATCTTCGTCTTCGCTTTTCTTCATTTACTTTTTTTGTTGTTTTTTTTTGTTTATATTCTTCTATTTTTTTCAATGATTAATTCTTTCCATCGAAAATGCTATGTTTCGCTAGATTTTGTTCATTTACTCTTAATCTTAGGTAGAATAAATCTTTTTAATCTTAGGTAGAATAGCTAAACCTAAAAAAATAAAATGTACATCTGAACAAATTAAGCTAAAAAGCTAATATTATAATATTACAGTTAAACAAATACTAATATATATATATGTTGTATTTCTAGGGGTATAAAATTTGTTTGAAAAGAAGCTAATCGATGCACATTGTTGTTCTTTATTTCCTTATTCACTCTTGCGTTTATATTTTTTAATTTTCTTTTCTTTATTCTTTTTCAAATTTTTCTACTTTGGTTTCTTCTTAGTTCTTATCTGGTTTCTTATTTATCTTCACTCATCTTCGGTTATGCTCTTCTTTGTTTCTCTTTTGTGTTCTTGTTTGGCTTTTGCTTTTCTTCGTCTTCGCTCTTCTTTATTCATTCTTTGTGTTCTTATTTGGTTTCATTTCTTTCTTCACTCTTGTTTCCATATTTTCACTTTTTTTTTATTTATTCCTCTTCAATTTCTCCTACTTTGATTTCTTATTTAGTTCTTATTTAGTTATTTAGTTGTCTTCACTGATATGTCCATCTGCTTTTCTTTATTACTCCTTTGTATTCTTTTTTTTCTTTTATGTCGTTCGTTCTTGTCTTTGAATTTTTTTAAATTTTAGAAAAAATTCTCTTGGTATTAAATAAGTTTATGTGTACTAATAATATTAGTTGTTTAAAATTTAATATAACTAATTTACATGACAAAGTTTATTTTTGTTGTAATTAGAAAATGTAATATCTTTATTTTCTAAATATTTAATTAATAAAATTTTCTTAAATATGATAAGGAAAATAATTAATTGATTTTGGTGATGATGTGGAATGATACTATTGGTTGTTTAAAACCATATATACTTAATTTCCTTATCTCTTACATGTTTAAAATTTGTAAATTTCCTTAGTCATTTAAATGTTTAATTAATTAGTTTTGGTGATGATGTGAAATAGTACATTTTATATGATGATGTGGAATGATATTATTGATTATTTAAAATATGGAAAATTACTTAATCTTGGAGATGATTATTTGGACCAATAAAATCATATGATGATGTGGACTGATACTATTGATCGGGACCAGCCATGACTATTCAGTGGAATGGGGAGAAAACTGAAGCATTTACACCCAAGAAGGGACTACGACAAGGCGATCCGTTGTCGCCATACTTGTTTGTGATGTGCCTAGAACGCCTATGCCATCTGATAGATGAAGCTGTTATCCGTAAGAAGTGGAAACCTATCTGACTGTCTAGAGGCGGACCGGAGCTCTCGCATGTCTGCTTTGCAGACAACCTCATCCTTTTTGCAGAGGCTTCTGTAGCCCAAGTGAGAGTTATTAGAGGGATCCTAGAGCGTTTCTGTATAGCTTCCGGACAGAAGGTAAGCCTAGAGAAATCCAAAACTTTCATCTCACAGAATGTCAGTAGAGAGCTCGGGAAGTTAATAAGTGATGAAAGTGGTATTAGCTCTACACGTGAACTTGGTAAGTACCTGGGGATGCCAGTGCTTCAGAAGCGCATCAACAAAGATACGTTTGGAGAGGTATTGGAGAAAGTATCGTCCTGGCTTGCAGGATGGAAAGGGCAGTTATTGAGCTTGGCGGGACGAATTACACTCACCAAGGCAGTGCTCTCGTCTGTACCGGTGCACACCATGAGCACAGCTATGCTTCCGCAGTCAACGTTAAATAGACTGGACAAGGTTTCAAGATCGTTCTTATGGAGTGACTCCGCCGATCAGAGGAAACAACACCTCATATCTTTTGGGAGAAAGTTTGTACTCTGAAGAAGGAAGGAGCATTGGGGATTCGTAAAGCTAAGGAGATGAACACTGCTCTCCTTGCAAAGTTAGGCTGGAGATTGTTACACAATGAGATTTCTTTGTGGGCAAAGGTTTTGAGGAGCAAGTATAAAGTGAAGGAAGTGAAAGATGCGGCTTGGTTCAGTACGAAAGGCAATTGGTCTTCTACATGGCGGAGCGTTTTACGTGGAATGAGAGATGTAGTGATTCCGGGGATGAATTGGATGATTGGCAACGGGCGCACGACACGCTTTTGGAAAGATAAGTGGCTCTCAGGACAATCGTCAGTGGAGCTGGCAACAACAGAGATCCTGGAGGCTCTTACTGAGTCACGGGTGTCTGATCTATGGCAGAGCGGGTCTGGTTGGTTGCTTACCCAGATTGAGCCATATGTTTCGGTGGACACAAGACTAAGATTGGCAGCAGTGGTGGTGGATGAAGTCACGGGAGGTAGGGACAGAATGTCTTGGGGATTGACACAAGATGGCGAATTCTCAGTCACCTCTGCGTATTCCTTTCTCACTCAGGATACCAGACCGCGGCAATGTATGGCTGGACTATTCACACGGGCTTGGCATGTGGTAGTCCCGGAGAGAGTCAGAGTCTTCCTATGGCTGGTGATTAACCAAGCTCTTATGACAAATGCAGAAAGATACATACACCACCTTAGAGATACTAATATGTGTCAAGTCTGCAGGAGTGGAAAGGAAACTATCATACATATCTTAAGAGATTGCCTTGCAATGGAAGGTATATGGAGCGCATAGTTCCTTTGGGGAAGAGGCGCGAGTTTTTTGAGTCTCCGTTACTGAGTTGGATTTACAACAATCTGGTTTCCGAGCTTGATCTAGGAGATTATAAATGGTCAACATGCTTTGCGATGGCAGCTTGGTGGGGCTGGAAATGGAGATGTTGCAATGTATATATTTGAATCAAATGGGAAGTGTCGTGACCGTGTGAAGTTCATAAAGGACATTGCCAAAGAAGTTGCATCAGCTTATTCCTTCGAACCCGATAGCGGAGGTATGAGTAACAGAGTGGAACGGCATATAGCATGGAAGCCACCAATGCAAGGCTGGTGGAAGATCAATACTGACGGAGCGTCGCGAGGAAACCCGGGATTGGCTACAGCTGGGGGAGTCTTGCGTGATGAGAATGGCAGTTGGGTATGTGGTGTAACACCCCCGGTTCGGTCTATGAATAGACTAAACCGCAGATGCCACAAGTGTCGAGGTTCATAAGATAGGCCGTCTTGGGTCTAAGAACAAATCAGAGCCCAAGTCAGCTAATCCGATGAATACGACCCTCTCGACCATCGGTTAAGGCTTTGCAACCTGCTCCTCCGGTCTTGAGTTGTGTTAGCTCCGGACAAGAGCTAATATCATTGAGAGGCCAGATTTGTAAAAAGATAACTTTATATAATAACCTTGTCAAAACAAGTTCTTACAAAACTTTATACTATTTTGCCGGCAAGGCCTAGTGCCCAAAGCATAGCTATTGCATATAATAACCTGAAATCGAGTTTTACAAAAGCCAAGCCAATCTACTCCGGTCTTCAGCTGTTCTGCCTCCCGTCCACGGGCTTCAACTAAGGGTTACCTGTAAGACAAATAATCATCATGAGTAACCTAATGTTACTCAGTGAGTTCAGGACCCTCTATACAAAGGTTATTCCCCAAACCCAAACCCCAAAAGAAAAAGGCGGGATCTCATCCGCCACCTGCAACACAAAGCAATTATGCAATATTGCTGCTATAGCCTTAAGACTAACCGTACCCCAATCAAACAAGAACAGGTACGATCAATCCAAGACTATAACAACACTCAAACAAGCAATCAATCAATCAAGCAATGCACACAATCAATCTATATGCAAAGCAACCCTAATCAAGTAGCGGAATACTTGACTTCTACATGCAGTGAGGCCTCTAGGTGCATAAGCCACATTCTCAGCCCACGCCTGTGAAGGTTCACGCTCATCCGGAATCACACAGAAACTAGATGAACGCCTTCACCCGGGCACTACAGTCCATCGCGGTACCCGGTTCATCCTCCCATCTATTGGCCTTACTGGCGCACCATGCCAATGTCTGGTTGGATCCCATATCGTCATATGGTACCATACTCGGCCAAGGCAGCTGACCAGGTTATCCTCCGAGTCTTCCTCCCTTCATGCACAGCCTCCACGCTGCCAATCCGGTTGGGCTCTGACGTGCGAGAATGCGCTTGACTACACCTTCCTAAACAACATGTGGTTAGACACGCCACATGTTCTCAGTACTTAGCATATGGGCCTTTACGCACCACTATGCCTCATACCCTCGGTTCTGCGGCAGAGCTTCCCTTGCCTCGGAAGAGTACCCACACGAACCTCGAAAGATCTGGCGGCTCAGCCGTCCGTGATCTTTCCACATCGGAGTCATACTCAACATATGGGCCTTACGCACCACCATGTTAGCATGCACTCGAGGTTTAGCGGCATAGCCATGCTATAACCCCACAACCGATGCATTGATACGCATCTACACAAACACGATCTGGCGGCTCAGCCGTCCGTGATCTTACCACACCGGAGCCATACTCAACACATGGGCCTCACGCACCACCATGTTAGTATGGACTCGAGGTTTAGCGGCATAGCCATGCTATAACCCCACAACCGATGCATCTATATGCACCTGCACAAACAAGATCTGACGGCATAACCTTCCCCGAAGGTTACCCATCACAATCTTACACACAAAAGAGATCTGCCAGCATAACCTTCCCCGAAGGTTACCTGACACAACCTCACAACACAAGAGATCTGACGGCATAACTTCTCTCTCTAGAAGATTACCCGTCACAACCTCACAGAGATTTCTGCAGCATAACTCTCCACAATTTTTACTAAACATTATTGTTTAGAGAGTTATACCACATACTTATAAACGATAGAAGGAAATAAACTATAACCTAGCTACCGGAACTCACAGATTTTAGACGACCCGGCTGACCCCGTTCCTAGCCTACCCCGCTCTAGCCCGAACCCGATCCGCCTCTGGATCTTCTCTTCTTCTTCTCCACCTTGTTCTTCTTCTTCTTCTTCCTCTTCTTCTTCTTCTTCTTCTTCTCCTCCTTTATCTCTTGGGCGTTCTCCCCTTTCTCTCTCTACTTTATCTCTCTAGATTTTCAGGTTTTGGTGTGAGTTGAAATGAAGGCTGAAGGGGCCTTTATATAGGTTTTTGGGAAGCTCGAGGTGGCGTCTGAGGACTTCAGAACGTGACACCTATCCTCTGCATGCAACCAATGGCGTTGAGGCACGCCTGCAGCTGCTTCTCCCATCCCCATCCACTTGGAACGAATGGCACCTTCCCATTGGTCCATTCTCCAAGCTGCTGGGTAGCTGAACGTGATTGGTCCATTGAAGATGAGCATCTCCTCCTTGATCCTATCTTCATGGAATGAGTGTCTCCTTCCTATTGGCTCCTTCCTCAAACTGGTGAGTGTGTAGACATGATTGGTCCAACACATTTCTGTTTTCTTACGAACAGCTGAGTGCTCACACCTGATTGGTCCGTTGTGAAAGCTGCTGGGTATCTCCATTTGATTGGTCCGTTGTGAAAGCTGCTGGGTATCTCCATTTGATTCGTCCATTTCTGGATAAGATAATCCAATCAAAATGCTTATCCACGGCCTCACTCTCTCCCATTAGGTGGTGTTGACACACGATTGGTCCAACACAATTTCGTCCATTCCAATAGCTCAATGTCTCTGCCTGATTGGCTGAACGGTTTTGGCTCCATCTGAGTAGCTTGGTGTCTCCTCCTTACTGGTTTAGACCATCTTTATCCTCTCAAGTAGCTGGTGTCACCACTTGATTGGCTTAGAACAAGATTGCTCCAAAAGTACGTTTCCTCGTCCAGAGGGTTTCGTACGTTTCCCTGTCCGGAGGGTTTCGTCCCCGTCATGTTTGAGAATTAAAATCTCCTATTTTAATCCTTCTCTCATTTCCATGTTTCTGAGCTTCCACATAGTTGCTTGGAAATGTGCGGAATACCTCCATCCCGAACATTTACGCTTCTTGCAGTCGTTGCGGGATAGATCTTGGGCGTTCGTCCCATCTCCCAATCTGCTCGTCGTCCGATTCTGCTTCGATTCAAACTTCTTAGAATGGTTTCTTATGTCGTCCAAACTCTTCTCTTCTTGATTTGGAGAACTTTGATATTTCGTCGTCCTGTCGACTCTTCCCATGTTCGTACAATGATCGTCCCACCTGGACAATCTTGTTGTATCTTCACTTCTGCTCGTTAGTTCTTGATTATGTCTTGATCCAAGTCTTCGTTGTGATCTCTGTATTAGATCCCACGTCTTTGTCTTCCAATCCCAGAGTGTTGATCTTCCCATCCCGGCCTTTGGGATGTTTTAGGTCTTGATACGGGGTATCACATGTAGCTTCGCACTTAACATTGGCATTTGCTTGGCGCCATTAGCAGAAATTTGGGGAGTCTACTACGGTTTGCTTATGGCTTGGGAGCAGCGTGTCCCATGACTGATAATAGAGGTGGACTCAAAGATTGTGATGAAGATCCTCCACTCAGGGATCAAAGATTCCCACCCTCTATCTTTCCTAGCACGTCTGTGCTATGGCTTTTTCTCTAGGGACTGGATAGTCCGGATCATGCATACATACAGAGAGGTGAATCGGGTCGCCGACGGGCTTGCGGATTATGCTTTCACGCTATCTCTTGGTTTTCATTTATTTACCTCGTCACCCATTGTAATTTCGGTGTTGTTGATGGAGGACGCTAATGGCTCTTCACGAGCTCGGTTTGTAAACTTTTAAATTGGTTTTGAATAATATAAAGGAGACATTTTTCCCCTCTCACGTACCAAAATAAAAAAATAAAAAATAACGTTAGCGAGTAAGTCTTTACTTGAGAAAAAGCATCGTTAAATTTACTTCTTATGTAATGATTTGTTTTCCAGATATTTTTGTCTATTAACTTTGTAATCATGGCTAACTCAAACACTGTATTCTGATTTTATAAATCCAGAAGTTAAATAAAAATTATAATTTAAAATGACCAAGTTGCATTTTCTGATAATATACCATAATTAAAGATGAATGATACATATTTTTTTTTTAACAAGGTGGTCATGGTCTGGTGGCAGTGGGTTCACAAGTGTGAGTACAGCCACCTGGGTTCGACTCCTGGCACAACGAATTTAACATGATTTTCATGTGGCTTCGAGGACCACACCAGATCCAATTAGACGTGGTGCTAGTGGGATCCGTAAGGGCCCAAACACCTGAGTTATAAAAAAATATAAAAAAATGATACGGTTTTTTATTAGATGGTTGGTGGTTGTTGGTACGCTTAACATAGAGATAATAGATTTCACCCTAAACAACAACATTCCAGCGACGATTAGGAAAAAACATTTGGAAACAATCCTGATAATATCCAGACATAGTCGTGATACTACCATCGTCTAGCTTGAACACCTTAATCTCATAATCTTTAGCACGTTTGTGCTCGTCGGTGAAATAGATAGAGTTTTCAAGGCATCCGTAGTACTCACTAGCCACAACCGAGAAACGAGTATCTGTAGCCATCACAAACGCATTACCTCCAAGAGACTTGACTTCTTCCCATTGGCAAGAGTCATCATCGATCTTGTAAACCTTGAAACCTAAAGTTCTTGGATAAAAGCCTCCTTCTTCTCTTTCCAGTGGCGTGTTCCCAACATCATCGCGTATCACTTTGGAAAAAAAACTGAAGGTTGCAAAATTCATTTCCCTACGATTACCTTCAACGATACGATCAACAATGTATAAGTCTCCACAACTTCCTCCCACTAAGCTTCTGTCTCTCCAACTACAAGATTTCGCGATATCATCATTGAGCGCAGGTCCATACCTGAAGATACCACGAGCAGGACTGATCCACCAAATAATCCCTCTTGAATCCAACGCGTAAGTCATACCTTGATGAACTATAAGGTCGCATAGTTCACCTACTTGGTCTTCGAATCTTGTCCACATCTCTCCGTTCCAATACCTAACCTTCCTGTCACAACAGATCACAACAAGCCGATCGTTTCTTCCCTCAACAACCGCTCTTATGAATCTTTTATCTGCTTGCTTCTTGCGCTGCTTCTGAACAATATAGGTTGGGTGGATCTCGGTGACGTTGAATTTCAACAGATTGATTTTTCTGCACCGAAAAAGGCGGAAGGGGAAGCGGGAGAGAGGGCTGAGGAGACGGAAAGTCTTGTCGATGAGTTCGGCGTCGTGTTTGATCAGCCATCCTTTGCTTGAGGAGGAGGAGAGAGTGACACGAGAGAAAATGGCGCCTGACAGCACGCGAACGTCAGGGGGATTCGTATATTTTGGTCGGGGTAGTTATTGATGCGGATAACGAGGGGGTCAAGGAGGATGAGAGGGCGAGGATTGTTGCCGGGGAGGGAGGCGGAGGAGCGCCAAGATGTGCAGATGCTACGGAAACGGATGATGTCCAAGACGGACAACAAATGGAGGGCGATTAAGCCGAGGAGCTCTGTCGGTAAATTGGACCAGTCAGCCATTTTGCTCACTCTTGTCTTTGTTGTTGTGTATTGTCAGAGAATGACCACAAGGAAAGTCCTTAAATAGAAAAGAATGGAAGCGTTTGTAGGTTAATTACCCTTTCGGGAAATGTAATGATTGGCTGTCTGAATTGTGAAAATCAGTGAGTATTTTGTTTTATTGGACTGCCTGGCATTGTTATTCAGGAAACAAAATCTGAATATTACCATGTAATGAAGATATCACACCCAATTCCGTTACTATGACAGAAGAATTTCTAAACTATAACCTCTATAAGAAAATGAAATTTCTATATTTTTTTGGGTAATAAAAATACAGTCAGGTAATAGTCTGGCATGCATGCACTTTCATTTCTTATAAATAGAAAAATCTAGTTATTATATCAAAATGAAAATGCAAATTGTTAACAAAGGAAGAAACATATATACAAATTCGCTGTTTTTGAATATTCTTTTTGAGAAAAAAGAATATCCAAGTTTATTATTTATGAAATCAAATTTCTTAGATGAGGTTGTTGTGTTTTTATATATTGTATTTTTTTTTTAATAACCAACTATGAGTTGGCCTAGTTATTGAAAATTTAAGAACCTTGGAGGTCATGGATTTCGATATCAATGTACAAGAAAAGGGTTTGGTCTAAATCCTACCACATCTTAGCTTTCATCAAAATTTAGGATAAGTTTTTTGTTTGTTTCCGCTGAAGATAAAAGCCTTCGATTCATTTGTATGGAAATTTAAATCCTCGTACTCTGAATATTCATTATGGATCCGGCCCAGCATATATTTAGCTTTTTTTTTATCTCCAATGATTGAAGAGATTGATCGATCAACCTTTTGTTTGTTCAACATTTTCAATCTTAGAGATCTATAGGCTATAGCCGTAGTAGGAGAGTGATGGCTGGAGCAGACCAAAGCCAAAGATGGAGCCTACGAGCCAAGACCGCTCTTGTAACCGGTGGAACCAAAGGCATCTCGGGTTCGTAATATTGAATCAAAACTCCAATTCTTTCCATATTTCTTGGAATCACTAACTAGATTTTATTTCAATCTCTCTTACTCTATCATCAATATAGGCATGCAACAGTAGAGGAACTTGCTGAATTTGGAACAATAATACATACTTGTGCTAGAGACGAATCTCAACTTTACTCATCTTCGGTTCTGCTCTTCGTTGTTTCTCCTTTGTGTTTTTGTTTCTTCGTTTTCACTCTTCTTTATTCCTTATTTGTGTTCTTATTTGGTTTCATTTCCTTCGTTACCTGATATACCTCTATTTTACATGCTTTTTATACTGTTTTAGTATTGTTTTCTAATGGTTTTTGGCAGGTTTTCTATCTAAAAAGGTAGTTTTACTGTGTTTATAGTGTCTAGAGTCTAAACAGGTGAAATGATGCATTTTGGAGCAAAACCATAGGATTTGCACTTCAAGCCGCTCCATGCACAAGCATCAACTTTAAGAGGGCCCAGAAAAAGATCTACTCAATGGATTTCATCAAGACCAGTTCCCTGCGTGCTCTGATTGAGTTAACTTTCCAACGCAACTGGAATGGCCTCATTTGGATGAGTAGAAAAGGAGTTACAACCAAAAGAGTGAAGACTGTCCAGACGGCTCTATCGAGAACAGCGCCCAAACCGCGCAGTCCGGCTGGCCGAGAACGAATGTTTCACGCTCGGCCAAATCATCCGTCCGTCTGAAGTCTCGGCCAAAGTTCCAAAACCGTCGGCCGATCACGCATCACGACCCGGGAAACATGTCCCGCGGTCGGCCACGCCACAACGCTCACGCCACCCGCGCACGACCATGCCGCGCGAGCCGGGAAACAAAGCCTCGCGGCCGCGCAACCTGTCTCGCGTACCACGGCCGATGCGCCGTCCGAGCCGGGAAACTACGTCCCGCGTCCGGCCGAGAATTTCATCGGCCAATCTTCATCCGTCCGACCACAGCGGCCGACCACGAATCCGTCCGGCCACGACCGTTCCGATCGTACTAGACCCATGACCGATCGTCCCGACCGACCGTCCAACGCCGCGGTCGACCCGAAGCCCGTTTTGAAGCCCGTTTCACATATTTTCAAGCCCGGCTTAACCCTAAGCCGCCTCTAAAGACCTAGCACTATATATATAGCTTTTTAGCCTCTTGTGAAAAGAGAGCCGCCCTTGTATTTCGATTTCCTACTCTAAGTTTTATTGCAATCATGTTTTCTTCATCTCTATGTGTGTTTGCTTTGATCATGTCTGAGTAATCCACTAGTTAGGTTGCTAGGGTTACTATTCAATGAGTTGCTTGCATGATCTTTGATTTCAATGATTAGCTAGGGATTATATTAGAGTCTTTGTCTCGTCTTGTGCACTTAACTAATGCTGATTGCTTTACCGCGCATCTAGTAATCCGATCTTAGGTTGATTTGAGCCTCGACAGTGCTGTATCATTCGCCGGACATATTCTTTGACAAGCTAGGTTTCTTAGACTGCGAAAGTTGATCTACTATAATCTAGTGAACTGTATCAGAACCTATTCATTCTAAAGCTTGATTTAATCACCTAGGGACATACCAAAAGTTTAGCGACTAGGTAGATTAACAAAGGAGCCGGAGCCTCGAAAGTGGAATGGTTTTATATTCGTGATCTGTGTTCTAGACGGTTCTTAATATCCCAATATCCCTAATCAATTCATCTATCATTGTTTCATTGATCATTGCTTGCTTCTCTGCGATAGCCCCTATGACCTAGCGTTTCCTTTATTGTTTACAACCTCGTTATACTTGCTAGTTCGGTTCACCATTACAACCTCAATCATACTTTTGTTTTAGCTTGATCCAAAATCCATAGTTTCAAAGTGTACTCAATAGCCAGTCCTTGTGTTCGATACCCATACTTCCGCGATCTGTGCACTTGCAGAGGTCTAGGAGTTTGGTAAAACCTGACTCCACATCAAGTTTTTGGCGCCGTTGCCGGGGACTGCAGCAGTACCTTTGGAACTCGACTAGGATCTAGTCTAGAACCTTTTCCTGTTTTGCTTTTCTTTTGCTTTTGAATTTTTAGTTTTTGATTTCTTTTCTTTGATTTTTGCTTTTGTTTTTGTTTTTCCCTTTTGATTTAACTTGTTTCCAAGACTCTTTTCAGGTGCATGACTAGGAGGTCCAACAAGGACAACCTAGTTGAACATCCAGAGATAGACAAGCTTGAGAAGCAACTTAGGAAGCAAAAAGCCCAAGAGATGGCCGACGAAGCAGCTCGCGCTCACGCCGCTGAAGTGGCGCGCGCTCAAGAAGAAGGAAGAGATCCACCTCCTCCTCCTCCTAATCCACAAGACCCTGCTGGAGATGTGAATGTGCAACCTCAAGCTGGAGCACCTACAATCGGAGACTATGACTCTGCCGATGCTTTCTTCATGGATAGAAACCCTATCCATCCACCACTTCCTGCAAGGAATGACTATGAGATCAAGCCTCAGATCATAGCATTGGTTAGACAGAACCAATTCAATGGACTTCCAGCTGAGCATCCTCTTGATCACATAGAAAACTTTGATCAAGACTGTTGATGAAGCTAAGGTTCTTATTGGACACTGCAAGCAATGGAAACTTCATGACCAAGACTGTTGATGAAGCTAAGGTTCTTATTGAGAATCTTGCAGCTAGTGATTGTAACAACTGTCCTGATTATGACCGCTCAAGCCGCACCACTACTAGCTCCCCTGATTCTTTTCAAATGACTGAACTCAAGAACATGATGGCTCAAGTTCTTAAGGGACAGCTCAAGCATATCAATGCAATAGAAGGGATGAGTGATGCGAATGAAGACCCATCAAGAGAATGCATGGGAGATTTCTCTAATGAAGCCAATGAAGAAGATGTGAACTACATTGGAAACTATGGGAACAAGGGATACAATCCAAGCTATCGCCCAAACCCCAACATGTCTTATAGAAACCCCAATGTGGAGAATCCTCAAGACCAAGTGTATCCTCCAAGGTATCCACAACAACAAAGGCCTCCTTACCAATCTCAAGGAAGCCAATTCCAGCCAAGGCAAGGGTATGAGCAGAGATCATCATATCCACCCAAGGAGCCATATGCTTCTTCACCAAATCAAGCTCCTCCAAACCAACAAGGTGGGAGATTTGAAGGAATCCTCCAACAGATCATGGATGGCCAGAAGAAGAATAGCAAAGAGATGTATGAGAAGATGGACACTTTGTTCAGCAATCTCAATACTAAGTATGATGCTGTTGCCACTCATGTGAAGAAACTAGAGACTCAAGTCACCCAAACTATGGAAGCTGTTAAGAGACAGGAAGCTGAATCCAAGAAGTCCTTTTGCAACTCAGCTGCTATAGAAGAAAGATTTGAAGACCAAGTTCCAGAATGAATGCTTTCAAAACCTACTTTTGATTGCAAGATTTGGTCTGAAGAGATTTACCCAGAGAGAGAGTCCAATCGAGCTAGAAAGAGAAAACTTTTTCCAAAGATTATCCCCAAGACTGATAACTCAGGAAAGTTTGTTGTGCCTTGTATCATCAAAGGTAACATTCTTGAGCAATCTTTGTGTGACACAGGAGCCAATGTGAACATCATGTCTAAGAGGATAGCTGACAAGATAGGCCTCACCAAGATACAGCCATCATCCATCTCCATCAACTATGCTGATTCATTCTCACAAACCCCTATGGCTTTGTGCCTAATGTGATGGTGCAGATTGGAAATTGCTCTATCCCCACCGATTTCCAGATTGTGGAAATGAGAGAGAGTAGCCATAGACCTCTCATATTTGGAACCCCTTTCCTGTCTACTGTGGGTGCCATATTTGATTTCCCCAATCAAAGAATCTCTTTCAACAAGGTGAACAAGGGTATGTTTTTCCCTATGTGTTCAACAAAGAGCTCTTTTGTTGACATGGTCCAAGAGGAGAAAATTACTTTGAAGCCACCCCAAAAAAGGAGAAACTGAAGATACAGTCAAGGAAGATCCCATTCCTAAGCCCAAGCAGCTTGCCACACAAGCAAGGAGTAAGACTAAGGCCCCTACACCAAAACCGCCCAAGGGATCATCCAAGATTGAAGATGAGGCCAAGCCAAGAAGAAAGGTTAGAAAACCTAGGTCTGGCCGCAACATGAAGCTTCTATTCCCAAAGGAGCTTATTGATGAGAATCTAGAAGGATTCAAGGAGAAAGTTACAAGAACTCTACAACTTTTTCCTAAGGCATTTGTGCCAAGGGACATCCATGGAGAGATTGTCTATCCAGCTGTGAATCACCCACCAGATACTCATTGCAAGGAGAAAAGACTTGGAGGATCAAAGATGCCTCTAGTCTCCATCTTCTCCTGAGCACCAAGCCTTACAGTCAAGCTAAAGACTTAAAACAAGCGCTGCATGGGAGGCAACCCATGAGGTACTTTTACTTTTCTTTCTTTAAATTTCTTACTTTTTTTTTTCCTTTTGTGTTTTCTTTGTTTTAAGATGTGAAAACACAATCCGCGCCAAACAATTGGCCGCGGACGCGCATAAATTATTTTTGGCCGAGCAATTTCCAACCGGGCCGACCGTTGCGGTCGAGCCGGAAAGGAACAGGCCGCTATCGGCCGGATTTATGTATCGGAACAGACCGACCGTCGATCCGGGAAACAAACGATCGGCCTCGGCCAAATTCTCTCGTCCGTTCGCAGATTTGGCCGACCAAATCGCTCGGCCGCAACAACAATCCATCGGCCAAAATTTTCTCGGCCAAGGTAAGTCCCCTTTTCATTTAATTCAAACCGGTTTTAACCGATCGTAAACCAACTTAAACCGGTTTTCAACCAAAATTCGAATTTGAAAAGGAGAATTAATAGAACTTTGAGTTTATTTACCTTACCTTTCCCTTGAAAACAACAAGAACCTCTCTTTCTTCTCCAAAAACCTAAAAACCCCATTAGAGGAACTCTAAGAGCTTTGATTCCAAAACTCCTACTGTTCATAACTCTAAATTGGAAATTACTTGCTCTTGCAACCATTATTCACTTTTCAATACACAAGGTTGATATACCTCTAATTTACCCACTTTTTATACTGTTTTAGCATTGTTTTCTAATGGTTTTTGGCAGGTTTTCTATCTAAAAAGGTAGTTTTACTGTGTTTATAGTGTCTAGAGTCTAAACAGGTGAAATGATGCATTTTGGAGCAAAACCATAGGATTTGCACTTCAAGCAGCTCCATGCACAAGCACCAACTTTAAGAGGGCCCAGAAAAAGATCTACTCAATGGATTTCATCAAGACCAGTTCCCTGCGTGCTCTGATTGAGTTAACTTTCCAACGCAATTGGAATGGCCTAATTTGGATGAGTAGAAAAGGAGTTACAACCAAAAGAGTGAAGACTGTCCAGACGGCTCTATCGAGAATCAGCGCCCAACCGCGCAGTCCGGCTGGCCGAGGAACGAATGTTCCGCGCTCGGCCAAATCTCGTCCGTCCGTCTGAAGTCTCGGCCAAAGTCCAAAACCGTCGGCCGATCACGCAAGTCACGACCCGGGAAACATTGCCCGCGGTCGGCCACGCCACGCCACGACCGCGCACGACCAAACGCGCGAGCCGGGAAACGCCTCGCGGCCGCGCAACTCATCTCGCGTACCACGGCCGATGCATCCGTCCGACCGGGAAACTACGTCCCGCGTCCGGCCGAGATTTCATCGGCCAAGTTCACCCGTCCGACCACGCGGCCGACCACGCATCCGTCCGACCCCGACCGTTACCGATTGTCCGGCCGATCGTCCCGCACGACCGTCCCAACGCCGCGGTCGACCCGAAGCCCTTTTTGAAGCCCAAACTTATGTTTTCAAGCCCGGCTTAACCCTAGCCGCCTCTAGAAAGACCTAGCACTATATATATGGATTTTTAGCCTCTTGAGAAAGAGAGCCGCCCTGTATTTCGATTTCCTACTCTAAGTTTTATTGCAATCATGTTTTCTTCATCTCTATGTGTGTTTGCTTTGATCATGTCTGAGTAATCCACTAGTTAGGTTGCTAGGGTTACTATTCAATGAGTTGCTTGCATGATCTTTGATTTCAATGATTAGCTAGGGATTATATTAGAGTCTTTGTCTCGTCTTGTGCACTTAACTAATGCTGATTGCTTTACCGCGCATCTAGTAATCCGATCTTAGGTTGATTTGAGCCTCGACAGTGCTGTATCATTCGCCGGACATATTCTTTGACAAGCTAGGTTTCTTAGACTGCGAAAGTTGATCTATCTATATCTAGTGAACTGTATCAGAACCTATTCATTCTAATGCTTGATCTAATCACCTAGGGACATACCAAAAGTTTAGCGACTAGGTAGATTAGCAAAGGAGCCGGAGCCTCGAAAGTGGAATGGTTTTATATTCGTGATCTGTGTTCTAGATGGTTCTTAATATCCCAATATCCCTAATCAATTAATCTATCATTGTTTCATTGATCATTGCTTGCTTCTCTGCGATAGCCCCTATGACCTAGCGCTTTTCCTTTATTGCTTACAACCTCGTTATACTTGCTAGTTCGGTTCACCATTACAACCTCAATCATACTTTTGTTTTAGCTTGATCCAAAATCCATAGTTACAAAGTGTACTCAATAGCCAGTCCTTGTGTTCGATACCCATACTTCCGCGATCTGTGCACTTGCAGAGGTCTAGGAGTTTGGTAAAACCTGACTCCGCATCAAGTTTTTGGCGCCGTTGCCGGGGACTGCAGCAGTACCTTTGGAACTCGACTAGGATCTAGTCTAGAACCTTTTCCTGTTTTACTTTTCTTTTGCTTTTGAATTTTCAGTTTTTGATTTCCTTTTCTTTGATTTTTACTTTTGTTTTTGTTTTTCCCTTTTAGTTTAACTTGTTTCCAAGACTCTTTTCAGGTGCATGACTAGGAGGTCCAACAAGGACAACCTAGTTGAACATCCAGAGATAGACAAGCTTGAGAAGCAACTTAGGAAGCAGAAAGCCGACTCGACGCCGCTGAAGTGGCGCGCGCTCAAGAAGAAGGAAGAGATCCACCTCCTCCTCCTCCTAACCCTGCTGGAGATGTGAATGCACAACCCCAAGCTGGAGCACCTACAATCGGAGACTATGACTCTGCCGATGCTTTCTTCATGGATAGAAACCCTATCCATCCACCACCACCTGCAAGGAATGACTATGAGATCAAGCCTCAGATCATTGCATTGGTTAGACAGAACCAATTCAATGGACTTCCAGCTGAGCACCCTCTTGATCACATAGAAAACTTTGAAGAAATTTGCAGCACTACAAGATCCAATGGAGTCTCTGCTGACTACCTTAAGTGCAAGCTCTTTTCATTCTCTCTTGGCGACAAAGCTTCAAGATGGTTGAAGTCTCTGCCAGCTCACTCCATCACCACTTGGGATGAGTACAAGGCTGCATTCATCAACCACTTCTACACCAAACAGAGATCAATTTCTGTGAGAAACAAGATCTCCACTTTCGCCAAGGCAACAATGAGTCTTTCTATGAGGCGCTAGATCGATTCAAGGAGTACATTAGGGACTGCCCTAATCATGGTTTCAATGAGGGAAACCTATGGAACATCTTCTATCGTGGCATAGACCACAAGTACAAGCTTTCATTGGATACACAAGCAATGGAAACTTCATGACCAAGACTGTTGATGAAGCTAAGGTTCTTATTGAGAATCTTGCAGCTAGTGATTGTAACAACTGTCCTGATTATGACCGCTCAAGCCGCACCACTACTAGCTCCCCTGATTCTTTTCAAATGACTGAACTCAAGAACATGATGGCTCAAGTTCTTAAGGGACAGCTCAAGCATATCAATGCAATAGAAGGGATGAGTGATGCTAATGAAGATTCATCAAGAGAATGCATGGGAGATTTCTCTAATGAAGCCAATGAAGAAGATGTGAACTACATTGGAAACTATGGGAACAAGGGATACAATCCAAGCTATCGCCCAAACCCCAACATGTCTTATAGAAACCCCAATGTGGAGAATCCTCAAGACCAAGTGTATCCTCCAAGGTATCCACAACAACAAAGACCTCCTTACCAATCTCAAGGAAGTCAATTTCAGCCAAGGCAAGGATATGAGCAGAGATCATCATATCCGCCCAAGGAGCCATATGCTTCTTCACCAAATCAAGCTCCTCCAAACCAACAAGGTGGGAGATTTGAAGGAATCCTCCAACAGATCATGGATGGCCAGAAGAGAAACACTAAAGAGATGTATGAGAAGATGGACACTTTGTTCAGCAATCTCAACACCAAGTATGATGCTGTTGCCACTCATGTGAAGAAACTAGAGACTCAAGTCACTCAAACTATGGAAGCTGTTAAGAGACAGGAAGCTGAATCCAAGAAGTCCTTTTGCAACTCAGCCGCCATAGAAGAAAGATTTGAAGACCAAGTTCCAGAATGGATGCTTTCAAAACCTACTGTTGATTGCATGATTTGGCCTGAAGAGAATTACCCAGAGAGAGAGTCCAATCGAGCTAGAAAGAGAAGACTCTTCCCAAAGATTATCCCCAAGACAGATAACTCAGGAAAGTTTGTGTGCCTTGTATCATCAAAGGTAACATTCTTGAGCAATCTTTGTGTGACACAGGAGCCAATGTGAACATCATGTCTAAGAGGATAGCTGACAAGATAGGCCTCACCAAGATAGAGCCATCATCCATCTCCATCAACTATGCTGATTCATTCTCACAAACACCCTATGGCTTTGTGCCTAATGTGATGGTGCAGATTGGAAATTGCTCTATCCCTACTGATTTCCAGATTGTGGAAATGAGAGAGAGTAGCCATAGACCTCTCATATTTGGAACCCCTTTCCTGTCTACTGTGGGTGCCATATTTGATTTCCCCAATCAAAGAATCTCTTTCAACAAGGTGAACAAGGGTATGTTCTTCCCTATGTGTTCAACAAAGAACTCTTTTGTTGACATGGTCCAAGAGGAGAAAGCTACTTTGAAGCCACCCCAAGAAGGAGAAACTGAAGAAACAATCAAGGAAGATCCCATTCCTAAGCCCAAGCAGCTTGCCAAACAAGCAAGGAGTAAGACTAAGGCCCCTACACCAAAACCGCCCAAGGGATCAACCAAGATTGAAGATGAGGCCAAGCCAAGAAGGAAGGTTAGAAAACCTAGGTCTGGCCGCAACATGAAGCTTCTATTCCCAAAGGAGCTTATTGATGAGAATCTAGAAGGATTCAAGGAGAGAGTGACAAGAACTCTAAAGCTTTTTCCTAAGGCAGTAGTGCCAAGGGACATTCATGGAGAGATTGTCTATCCAGCTGTGAATCACCCACCAGATACTCATTGCAAGGAGAAAAGACTTGGAGGATCAAGATGCCTCTTGTCTCCATCTTCTCCTGAGCGCCAAGCCTTACAGTCAAGCTAAAGACTTAAAACAAGCGCTGCATGGGAGGCAACCCATGAGGTACTTTTACTTTTCTTTCTTTAATTTTCTTAGTTTTTGTTTTGCTTTTGTGTTTTCTTTGTTTTAAGATAGGATAGAAGGAGAAAAAGGTGTGAAAACACAATCCGCGCCAAAACATTGGCCGCGGACGCGCAAAAGAATTTTGGCCGAGCAATTCCATCTGGCCGACCGTTACGGTCGAGCCGGGAAGGAATAAGCCGTGCTCGGCCGGATTCTACTTGCGCGACAGAAACGTTCGCGCGCACGCGCGAACCGGGAAAGAAACGGCGCGATCGGCCGAAATTTTGTATCGGAACGGACCGACCGTGCCGGTCGATCCGGGAAACATTCGCCTCGACCGCGACAAAATCCATCGGCCATCGGCCCAAAACTTTTCTAGGCCAAGGTAAGTCCCCTTTTCATTAATTCAAACCGGTTTTAACCAATCTAAACCAACTTAAACCGGTTTTCAATCAAAATTCGAATTTGAAAAGGAAAATTGATAGGATTTAGATCTTATTTACTTCACCTTTCCCTTGAAAACACAAGAACCTCTCTTTCTTCTCCAAAACCCTAAACTCCATTAGAGGAACTCTAAGAGTTTTGATTTCAAAACTTTTACTGTTCATAACTCTAAATTGGAATTTACTTGCTCTTGCAACCTTATTCACTTTTCAACACACAAGGTATGTCTTCTAACTCTAATCCTATGTTTATGCAAGATCGAAAATCTTAATAAGTTTCATGTTTGGTCTAAACTCTTGTCTAGACTTGAAATTAGCATCCTTATAGTCTTGTAATGAACTTTGCTAGGTGGAACCTAGGTGGTTTAGAGTTAATTTGAAGTTTAATTTCACAATTGAATAGTTTTTCACAAAACTTATTGGGCATTCCAAACCCCTTATTCAAAGGTGAAATTGCTTAGGCATACTTCAATTCATTAGTTTATCTAGTGATTACTTGGATTAGAAACTCAATTTCTCTTGATTTGCTGAAAATTTTGATTTTAAGCACCATAATCTTGGGATGAACAGTAAAATCCGAAAATTAATTTTGAAAAAGTGAAATTTCTATTTTGTCTCTTTGATTCATGATTAAGCCTTGAGTTGTTCCTTTATTCCATATCATTATTGCAACTCAATTAGCTTATTCTTCTTTTGCATTAATCACAAACTCATATTTCTTCCCAAGAATTTGCTCTTGTAGGTACACCAATGGCAAAGACAAAAGGAAATGAGAGTATGAAGAAGAAGAAGAACCCATTCATGGAACCACCAAAGAAGCAAATCAAGCTAGGGAGTAGTAGCTCCAATGCAAGAGCAGCAATACCAACTTCACCACATTCCATTGATGCAATCAAGAACATGTGGAGAGTCCAAGAAGAGGAGAAGATGATTGGGCACTTGTAACCTTTGTTGGAGAACAAAATCAAGACCCAAGAAAGTGTAAGAAGGCAATGGAGAAGGTGAACATCGAGCCATGTGTGAAGATGGACACCCAAACCCTTGATCTTCTCAAGATAAGAGATGATGTCACATGGTACATAAGGAAGCTAGGCTTGAGCAAGCTCTTCAAGCTAGAATGTAGTGAGTACTCACAACTCACCAAGGAGTTCCTCTCTACAGTAGCTCTTGCCTTTCCCAACCACAATGGAGACCAACCAGCTGGTGAAGGACTCCTACTCTTCAAGATAGGCGATGCCAATGGGCGCATATCCATCTCAGCTCTATGCCAACTCTTTGGACTTCCCAATGAGACAGCACATGACTTCAAGGAGAACTCAAAGAGGAAACAAGCTGCCTTTGCTGATTGGACACACTTTGCCAATGAACCATTCTTGCCTTCAAGGTCAAAGGTGTCTAGAATCACCATCCAGCCATTCGCTATGTGCACCGCCTCATCTCCACCACTTTCCAATGCAAACAAGAAGCCAACAAGGTCACAACTGATGAGTTCTACATCCTCACCACACCATTCATCAAGCATGAGTACAAGGCCAACCTTGGACTTTTACTTGCCAAGACATTCATCAATGTGAGGAAGCTAGCTAAAGACTTGGAAGGCAACAAGAAGCTTTGTGTTCGTTTTGGGAGGCTTATCACGGCCATAGTACTGCATGTGGGGATTGACATTCCCAACTATGAGCCACTACCCAAGCCAACCCCTTTGGATCTCCATGCTCTTCAGCACATCCACTTCCTAAACCGTTGGACTAAAGACCCAACTCGGTTTTGCTATGAGTTTCCAATTGGTCCAGCCAACACTTCCCTTGTCTTGCTGCCACATGAGACATCCCAAGCCTACGCTCAGGAGTTGTCACTTTCCAGCCCAATGAGGAAGAGTTCTATGTTCCATCAAGTGAGAAACCATCATTCCCCATGCTCACCTATCGCACACTTCAGCATGCAGTCAAGACTCAACGCCGCTCCAAGAACGCCATGTTCTCACTACTGGCATGGCTGCGCACCAAGCTCTAGACCGTGTTAACAAGCTGGAGAAGATAGTGGAATGCCAATCTCGCTTCATCTCGCGCCTAGTCCGCGTAGTTCGCCACATTGCACCGGAGAGACTCTTTCGCCCTTCTTCCACCGCTAGAGAGCCATATGAGCCTGACCTTGGTGAGTTCTCACTAGACTCAGAGCTTGGTTCAGAAGGCGATGACCCCATAGATGAGGAAGAGAGTTCTTCTCACTGCCACACATAGTCATCTCAAGTGGTACTTAGTGCAATGGACACTTACAAATCTCCATTTTCTATCCCTATCTTATTTTAATGAATTTTTCTTTATTTTTCTTTTACTTTGAATATTACCTCTCACCTTAATGTGATTTGCTTTCACCGGGACGGTGCAAGTTAAGTCTGGGGGGAGTTTTATTGTGTTACTAATGCATTTTTCTTTCTTTTCTTATGTTTTATTCACTTTGTTTCATGTTTTTCAAAAAGTTTTATTGAGTCAAAAACCAGTCCGGAAGTTATGAACTTGCTTTGAGAATTGAGAGTGTTATGCTAACAATCCATGACCCTAGAGCAGAAACCAGCTAAAGGCACAAGCCTAACAGAAGCTCTTACAGTGGATCGACATGCTAGCTCAGCAAAATTTCTAAGGTAACCAAGCAATCTAGAGTTAACCTCACCTTAATCAATCTTAATTACTCTTGTCAAGGGGGTTGGCATACATGTCGACAGTTCCTTGCTTGATTTTCAATAAGATTTGTCTAATCTTTAAAGAGTTCTCCTCTCTCTCCCATCCCAAATGGTAAGTAATGTTATGAGAAAAAGCTCAAAGAGCACAAGGACAACAAGTAAGCATGAGGAATGCATATGTCTGTACCTTCATGTCTTATGGAATACCTTAGTCAAACAAGGAACAAGCTAAAGACTTATCCTGTGGTTGAAAGAAGGGTCAATAGAAAAAATAAAATGATACCCTAGAAAAGTAGGGATAAATTGACCTTTCAAAGTTCTGATGTGAGAAAGAGAGAGGAAAAGAACTCATTGCACTTAAAGAGGCAATCTTGGAGAGGATCAAGTGGGTAAGAACAAGTTCAATTGATCGATGTCCCCTTGATAAAGAATTCACGCTTTAAATTTATGCAAGAGGTTAGCAATAGAGAGTTTGGATTGCTGGATGAGACTAGTTGGGTTGGTATTGTTCGCTAAACTTGCAGGGTGTATGTGAAGCTAACCTTATGTTGTCTATGTTCATAGTGGAATACAGGAAAGGAACCTTTCACAGGATATTCAAAAGAGCAAGGGAGCTTCCACGTTTTCAAACCTCTTTCACGGATTTAGATTCTTTTTGCTTGAGGACAAGCAAAGATCTAAGTCTGGGGGAGTTGATATACCTCTAATTTACCCACTTTTTATACTGTTTTAGCATTGTTTTCTAATGGTTTTTGGCAGGTTTTCTATCTAAAAAGGTAGTTTTACTGTGTTTATAGTGTCTAGAGTCTAAACAGGTGAAATGATGCATTTTGGAGCAAAACCATAGGATTTGCACTTCAAGCAGCTCCATGCACAAGCACCAACTTTAAGAGGGCCCAGAAAAAGATCTACTCAATGGATTTCATCAAGACCAGTTCCCTGCGTGCTCTGATTGAGTTAACTTTCCAACGCAATGGAATGGCCTAATTTGGATGAGTAGAAAAGGAGTTACAACCAAAAGAGTGAAGACTGTCCAGACGGCTCTATCGAGAATCAGCGCCCAACCGCGCAGTCCGGCTGGCCGAGGAACGAATGTTCCGCGCTCGGCCAAATCTCGTCCGTCCGTCTGAAGTCTCGGCCAAAGTCCAAACCATCGGCCGATCACGCAAGTCACGACCCGGGAAACTATTGCCCGCGGTCGGCCACGCCACGCCACGACCGCGCACGACCAAAGCGCGCGAGCCGGGAGTAACGCCTCGCGGCCGCGCAACTCCTCGCGTACCACGGCCGATGCATCCGTCCGACCGGGAAACTACGTCCCGCGTCCGGCCGAGATTTCATCGGCCAAATTTCACCGTCCGACCACAGCCGGCCGACCACGCATCCGTCCGACCCCGACCGTTCCGACTCGGCCACACCCGATTGTCCGGCCGATCGTCCCGCACGACCGTCCCAACGCCGCGGTCGACCCGAAGCCCTTTTTGAAGCCCAAACTTATGTTTTCAAGCCCGGCTTAACCCTAGCCGCCTCTAGAAAGACCTAGCACTATATATATGGATTTTTAGCCTCTTGAGAAAGAGAGCCGCCCTGTATTTCGATTTCCTACTCTAAGTTTTATTGCAATCATGTTTTCTTCATCTCTATGTGTGTTTGCTTTGATCATGTCTGAGTAATCCACTAGTTAGGTTGCTAGGGTTACTATTCAATGAGTTGCTTGCATGATCTTTGATTTCAATGATTAGCTAGGGATTATATTAGAGTCTTTGTCTCGTCTTGTGCACTTAACTAATGCTGATTGCTTTACCGCGCATCTAGTAATCCGATCTTAGGTTGATTTGAGCCTCGACAGTGCTGTATCATTCGCCGGACATATTCTTTGACAAGCTAGGTTTCTTAGACTGCGAAAGTTGATCTATCTATATCTAGTGAACTGTATCAGAACCTATTCATTCTAATGCTTGATCTAATCACCTAGGGACATACCAAAAGTTTAGCGACTAGGTAGATTAGCAAAGGAGCCGGAGCCTCGAAAGTGGAATGGTTTTATATTCGTGATCTGTGTTCTAGATGGTTCTTAATATCCCAATATCCCTAATCAATTAATCTATCATTGTTTCATTGATCATTGCTTGCTTCTCTGCGATAGCCCCTATGACCTAGCGCTTTTCCTTTATTGCTTACAACCTCGTTATACTTGCTAGTTCGGTTCACCATTACAACCTCAAACCATACTTTTGTTTTAGCTTGATCCAAAATCCATAGTTACAAAGTGTACTCAATAGCCAGTCCTTGTGTTCGATACCCATACTTCCGCGATCTGTGCACTTGCAGAGGTCTAGGAGTTTGGTAAAACCTGACTCCGCATCAAAGGTATGTCTTCTAACTCTAATCCTATGTTTATACAAGATCGAAAATTTCAATAAGTTTCTTGTTTGGTCTAAACTCTTGACTAAACTTGAAATTGCACTCTTATTAGTCTTGTAATGAACTTTGCTAGGTGGAACCTAGGTGGTTTAGAGTTATTTAGAGTTTAATTTCACAATTGAATAGTTTTTCACAAAACTTATTGGGCATTCCAAACCCCTCATTCAAAGGTGAAATTGCTTAGTCATGCTTCAATTCATTAGTTTATCTAGTGATTACTTGGATTAGAAACTCAATTTCTCTTGATTTGCTAAAATTTCGATTTTAAGCACCATAATCTTGAGATGAACAGTAAAATCCGAAAATTAACTTTGAAAAAGTGAAATTTCCATTTTGTTTCTTTGACATTATTAAGCCTTGAGTTGTTCCATTATACCATATCATTATTACAACTCAATTAGCTTATCTTTCTTTTGCATTAATCACAAACTCATGTCTCTTCCCAAGAATTTGCTCTTGTAGGTACCCAATGGCAAAGACAAAAGGAGGTGAAGCCATGAAGAAGAAGAAAGATCCATTATGCAACCACCAAGGAAACAAATCAAGCTAGGGAGTAGTAGCTCCAATGCAAGAGCAGCAATACCAACATCACCACATTCCATTGATGCAAATCAAGAACATGTGGAGAGTCCAAGAAGAGAAGATGATTGGGCACTTGTAAGCTTTGTTGGAGAACAAATCCAAGACCCAAGAAAGTAAGAAGCAATGGAGAAGGTGAACATGAACCTTGTGTGAAGATGGACACCCCAACCCTTGACCTTCTCAAGATAAGAGATGATGTCACATGGTACATAAGGAAGCTTGGCTTGAGCAAGCTATTCAAGATAGAGTGCAGCGAGTACTCAATGCTAACAAGGAGTTCCTCTCCACAGTAGCTCTTGCCTTTCCCAACCACAATGGAGACCAACCAGCTGGTGATGGACTCCTACTCTTCAAGATAGGCGATGCCAATGGGCGCATCTCCATCTCAGCTCTATGCCAACTCTTTGGACTTCCCAATGAGACAGCACATGACTTCAAGGAGAACTCAAAGAGGAAACAAGCTGCCTTTGCTGATTGGACACACTTTGCCAATGAACCATTCTTGCCTTCAAGATCAAAGGTGTCTAGAATCACTCATCCAGCCATTCGCTATGTGCACCGCCTCATCTCCACCACTTTCCAATGCAAACAAGAAGCCAACAAGGTCACAACCGATGAGTTCTACATCCTCACCACACCATTCATCAAGCATGAGTACAAGGCCAACCTTGGCCTTTGCTTGCCAAGACACTCATCAATGTGAGGAATCTAGCTAAAGACTTGGAAGGCAACAAGAAGCTTTGTGTGCGCTTTGGGAGACTCATCACGGCCATAGTACAACATGTGGGGATTGACATTCCCAACTATGAGCCACTACCCAAGCCAACCCCTTTGGATCTCCATGCTCTTCAGCAATCCACTTCCTAAACCGTTGGACTAAAGACCCAACTAAGGTTTTGCTATGAGTTTCCAATTGGACCAACCAACACTTCGCTTGTCTTGCTGCCACATGAAGACATCCCAAGCCTACGCTCAGGTGTTGTCACTTTCCAGCCCAAGGAGGAAGACTTCTATGTTCCATCAAGTGAGAAACCATCATTCCCCATGCTCACCTATCGCACACTTCAGCATGCAGTCAAGACTCAACGCCGCCACCAAGAACGCCATGTTCTCACTACTGGCATGGCCGCGCATCCAAGCTCTAGACCGTGTGAGCAAGCTGGAGAAGATCGTGGAATGCCAATCTCGCTTCATCTCACGCCTAGTTCGTGTAGTTCGCCACATTGCACCGGAGAGACTCTTTCGCCCTTCTTCCACCGCTAGAGAGCCATATGAGCCTGACCTTGGTGAGTTCTCACTAGACTCAGAGCTTGGTTCAGAAGGCGATGACCCCATAGAAGAGGAAGAGAGTTCTTCTCACTGCCACACATAGTCATCTCAAGTGGTACTTAGTGCAATGGACACTTACAAATCTCCATTTTCTATCCCTATCTCATTTTAATGAATTTCTTTTTATTTTTCTTTTACTTTGAATATTACCTCTCACCTTAATGTGATTTGCTTTCACCGGGACGGTGCAAGTTAAGTCTGGGGGGAGTTTTATTGTGTTACTAATGCATTTTTCTTTCTTTTCTTATGTTTTATTACTTTGTTTCATGTTTTTCAAAAAGTTTTATTGAGTCAAAAACCAGTCCGGAAGTTATGAACTTGCTTTGAGAATTGAGAGTGTTGTGCTAACAATCCATGACCCTAGAGCAGAAACCAGCTAAAGGCACAAGCCTAACAGAAGCTCTTACAGTGGATCGACATGCTAGCTCAGCAAAATTTCTAAGGTAACCAAGCAATCTAGAGTTAACCTCACCCTTAATCAATCTTAATCACTCTTGTCAAGGGGATTGGCATACATGTCGACAGTTCCTTGCTTGATTTTCAATGAGATTTGTCTAATCTTTAAAGAGTTCTCCTCTCTCTCCCATCCCAAATGGTAAGTAATGTTTATGAGAAAAAGCTCAAAGAGCACAAGGAAAACAAGTAAGCATGAGGAATGCATATGTCTGTACCTTCATGTCTTATGGAATACCTTAGTCAAACAAGGAACAAGCTAAAGACTTATCCTGTGGTTGAAAGAAGGGTCAATAGAAAAAATAAAATGATACCCTAGAAAAGTAGGGAGAAATTGACCTTTCAAAGTTCTGATGTGAGAAAGAGAGAGGAAAAGAACTCATTGCACTTCAAAGACAATCTTGGAGAAGATCAAGTGGGTAAGAACAAGTTCAATTGATCGATGTTCCCTTGATAAAGAACTCACGCTTTAAATTTATGCAAGAGGTTAGCAATAGAGAGTTTGGATTGCTGGATGAGACTAGTTGGGTTGGTATTGTTCGCTAAACTTGCAGGGTGTATGTGAAGCTAACCTTATGTTGTCTATGTTCTTAGTGGAATACAGGAAAGGAACCTTTCACAGGATATTCAAAAGAGCAAGGGAGTTTCCACGTTTTCAAACCTCTTTCACGGATTTAGATTCTGTTTGCTTGGGGACAAGCAAAGATCTAAGTCTGGGGGAGTTGATATACCTCTATTTTACATGCTTTTTATACTGTTTTAGTATTGTTTTCTAATGGTTTTTGGCAGGTTTTCTATCTAAAAAGGTAGTTTTACTGTGTTTATAGTGTCTAGAGTCTAAACAGGTGAAATGATGCATTTTGGAGCAAAACCATAGGATTTGCACTTCAAGCCGCTCCATGCACAAGCATCAACTTTAAGAGGGCCCAGAAAAAGATCTACTCAATGGATTTCATCAAGACCAGTTCCCTGCGTGCTCTGATTGAGTTAACTTTCCAACGCAACTGGAACGGCCTCATTTGGATGAGTAGAAAAGGAGTTACAACCAAAAGAGTGAAGACTGTCCAGACGGCTCTATCGAGAATCAGCGCCCAAACCGCGCAGTCCGGCTGGCCGAGAAACGATGTTCACGCTCGGCCAAATCATCCGTCCGTCTGAAGTCTCGGCCAAAGTTCAAACCGTCGGCCGAACGCATCACGACCCGGGAAACTAAGTCCCGCGGTCGGCCACGCCACAACCGCTCACGCCACCCGCGCACGACCATGCCGCGCGAGCCGGGAAACAAGCCTCGCGGCCGCGCAACCTGTCTCGCGTACCACGGCCGATGGCGCCGTCCGAGCCGGGAAACTACGTCCCGCGTCCGGCCGAGAATTCATCGGCCAATCTTCATCCGTCCGACCACAGCGGCCGACCACGAATCCGTCCGGCCACGACCGTTCCGATCGTACTAGGCGACCATGACCCGATCATCCGGCCGATCGTCCCGACCGACCGTCCGAACGCCGCGGTCGACCCGAAGCCCGTTTTGAAGCCCGTTTCATATTTTCAAGGCCCGGCTTAACCCTAAGCCGCCTCTGAAAGACCTAGCACTATATATATAGCTTTTTAGCCTCTTGTGAAAAGAGAGCCGCCCTTGTATCACGATTTCCTACTCTAAGTTTTATTGCAATCATGTTTTCTTCATCTCTATGTGTGTTTGCTTTGATCATGTCTGAGTAATCCACTAGTTAGGTTGCTAGGGTTACTATCAATGAGTTGCTTGCATGATCTTTGATTTCGATGATTAGCTAGGGATTATATAGAGTCTTTGTCTCGTCTTGTGCACTTAACTAATGCTGATTGCTTTACCGCGCATCTAGTAATCCGATCTTAGGTTGATTTGAGCCTCGACAGTGTTGTATCATTCGCCGGACATATTCTTTGACAAGCTAGGTTTCTTAGACTGCGAAAGTTGATCTACTATAATCTAGTGAACTGTATCAGAACCTATTCATTCTAAAGCTTGATTTAATCACCTAGGGACATACCAAAAGTTTAGCGACTAGGTAGATTAACAAAGGAGCCGGAGCCTCGAAAGTGGAATGGTTTTATATTCGTGATCTGTGTTCTAGACGGTTCTTAATATCCCAATATCCCTAATCAATTCATCTATCATTGTTTCATTGATCATTGCTTGCTTCTCTGCGATTAGCCCCTGTGACCTAGCGCTTTCCTTATTGATTTACAACCTCGTTATACTTGCTAGTTCGGTTCACCATTACAACCTCAATCATACTTTTGTTTTAGCTTGATCCAAAATCCATAGTTTCAAAGTGTACTCAATAGCCAGTCCTTGTGTTCGATACCCATACTTCCGCGATCTGTGCACTTGCAGAGGTCTAGGAGTTTGGTAAAACCTGACTCCACATCATTACCCTAGTTTTCATGTTTTTAATTAATTTCTTTTATTTATTCTTCTTCAATTTCTATTACTTTGATTTCTTCTTTGTTTTTATTTTTTTTTTTATTCATCTTTACTCATTTTTGCTTATGATATTCTTTCGTGCTTGTCTTAACAAAATTTTAAATTTTAGAAAAATTCTTGCTATTAAAGCTTATATGTACTAATAATATTAATTGTTTAAAACTTTATACAACTAATTTACATGACAAAGTTTTACTTCTCAAATGTGAAAAGGAAAATAATTAATTATTTTAGTGATGTGGAATGATACAATAAGTTGTTTAAAATTACATATACTTAATTTTCTTATCTTTTATGAAATACCAACACTTTTCATTTTTTTAGAAAAAAAAAATTCTAACAAATCTAACGAAAGTCTTTAAAATAATTAAATAAATAATAATCAAATAACAATAGCAATTCAGTGGAAGTAAAAACAATTAAAGAAATAATTCTAACAATTTAAACAATGCAAATAAATAAATCATATCATCCCCACTTCAGTCTTGATTCCGCGATCACATAAACCTTTTACATGCAACACATTGGAATAGAGTTGCGTAAGTATTATCATAAATACTTAGTGAGGCAATCACTCTGCCTACATGCCATTTACGCAATTACTAGCAATTTAAAATAATTATTAAAAACTCAATAATTATTAAAATATTAATTCTCCATTATTAATTAATTTCCATAATTTAATAATAATTTCACATGAAAAAATAATTAATATAATTACTTTAAACCATTTAATTAACTAACTAAATACCACATTGAACCAATCCAACTCGGATTAACCATTCTCAATTCAATTAAACCAGTCAATTTCAATTAAACCAATTAAATCGATTTTAATCGGAAAGAACCGATCTGTGTCGACCGACACACGCTTTGTGTCGCTCGACACCGATTCCCGGATTTCACAGATCGAGCTATAAACAGTACTCCGAACACAGGAAATCACACAATCAACCAAATCGATTCACACAACTATCAATAACACCACAAATCAATGCACAATCACACCCAGAACACGATTCCTAGTAACGGCGGATCCACAGTCATGCACTTACCTCAGATTTAGGTTGAAAAGAGGAAGAAAACAAAGTGGAGATGAAGAACACACGAAGAACACGATCTAAGGCACGGCAAAACACCACACAGCAGCCCCTACACGAAGACCAAGCCTCCAATCGACGACGAACGGCCTCGAATCGGTCTCCAAATACCAGAATCGCCACAAAAAAAACTCTTCTCTTCTCAATTCGTCCACTAAACGACAAAAAGAGAAGAAGAACAGGCGGCTGCGCGATTTTAACTTCAAGAATCAGGGTTTCCACCCTAAACTGGGCTAAACCGGGGGTCCAATTCACTCAAATCAAACCGGCCGAATTTCCAATAACCGGTTTCGACCCTCACCTTTTTAGTTTTCGGATGTTACAACTCTCCCCCACTAAACTGGATTCGTCCTCTAAATCCCAACACAAACGTCACGAAGACAACAAAAATCCAACCTCGCAAGGCCACCAGACTGGAGATCCTCACCTAATCCCCGAGACATACGTAAAATCCTATGTCATAAGCACGTTCCAAGACATTTTCACTCCTAACTCATCATCCCAAACACACAAAACCACTTGTACTGTGGCCCACTTCCACCCACACAAAACCACTTGTACTGAGGCCCACTTCCACCCAGACAAGTCCACACCGGTCCGTACTGAGGCCCACTTGCACCCAGACGAATCCGAAACCGCTTATACTGAGACCTACTTGCACCTAGATAAGCTACACCCAACTGAGGCCTACTTGCACCCAGAGAGTCTGCCAGAGAACCAAAGTCTCCAAAAACCATGATGAGTTATTTAGGATCGCAATCCTTAGAGTAAAAATTCTGGAAAACGTCTATAACAATAAGATTATACCTTCTCACAACCAAAACTGGTCAAACACGTGTAACATCCGAACACCATTTTCATAACACAAGACAAAATAAGGATAAACTACATCTCATTAAAACTCCAAAAATGTATATTGTTACAACCAAAACGAAAATATAACAACACCCTTATAAGTTATAACATATGTTCGCCAACCGAACATATTTTTCTAATTTTCTTGGAGGAGTATTCAAGCCACACAAAAGCTTAATGACACAAGGTATATAGTCAAATTCAATGCATTTTAAAATCACAAGTTCAATAACATTGGATTTTAAACTAATTTTAAAAATTCATGTTTGAATAACAAAGGATTTGTCATTTTAAATCAAATCACTCAAAATCACATAACTTTTGTTACTCACTTCATGGAAGTATTTTTCGGTTCTTATTTGACATAAAAGAGTGGTACTCGAGTACCATTAGTTAGCTGTTAGTATCATTAATCTATAAATGACACAAAAAACAGTTTTTAGTATCATTTATAAGAGTAAATGATGCTAAAAATCAGTATTTTCAGGATTTTTAAAAATCATTAAAAATGGTTTGACTTAAAAAGAACAAATTGCCAGTAAACAATAAAAGAAAAAAAAAAACAGCTCTCTCTTAACTTCGCGACGCTAGCTCGATCTCGATCTCCATCAAATCATCATCGCAGAGGTTGTCAATTGTTTCCGATCATCACCATCGCTGAACTCAGTACTCAGGTATCGCTGAACTTAATATTTGCGATTTTGAGATTTTGAGATTTTGCTTGTGATTTTAGTCTAATTACATGTTGAGTGATTTCGCTTGTGATTCTGGTCTCTACTTGTGAAATCGACCTCTATTTCGTGTTCTACTTGCTCGAATTGTTCTTCCTCTTAGTTATTGTTGAATCAGAGTTGGCGAAGTCGCAAAACGAGCCATCGAGTTCCATTAGGTGAATTTGTTTATGCAATTTCGATTTCGGGTGTATATGAGAAACTTCTCTTGATTCTTCTTCCTATTGTATTGTATTAACCTCTGAGAATTTAGGTAAATCGGTTCTCTTATCTCTTTATCATCCGCCATTGATATTTTTTTATCTTCATCTCCGTTTCTCTTTTCTGTGTTTGGAATATGTGTATGAGAGTTGTTGATTCGGAGTTTATCTTATCAGATTTGTGGATTGCTATAGTTAGATTGAGTTATCTCTGAATTTTGTTTCACTGACGATCAGCTGATTACAAGAAACTATTCACTGTTTTGTGTCAAATCGTGGGTTTGAAATTTCTGGATTTGAAATTGGTTTAGATCAAGCTGAGCTAGATAGAGTTTTGTTGTAGTGACGATGCAGAATGAAAATGATATGGTGAAGGATGAAGCTGAAGTCGCTGCATCCATTTCGGCACTCGAAGGTGAAGAATGGGGATACTGTTCATTGGAAGATGAACCATCTTTTCAAGAAGAAGATTCTGTGAAAGTTTCCTTTTGGTGACAAGGTTAGTGCAATTAAATTAAACTGAATGATCTTCTGTTTCCTACTTTCATATATAAGGCTTTTGTTTGTTTATTGAAACCCATATGAAAGAGTCATTTTGCTTTGTACTCTGTTGAAAGAAGTGGAGCTATTGTGTACGGTAACACAAAAGCATTATCTATGAGTTGCTTGGAATGTGATGTGGCTTCATTTCAATTTTTTAAAATGTTTGATTTCTGTGGAATATCTTACCAAAGTAGCAACCTTTTTACTCTTTAAAACACAAAACAATGGATGCTTTTGGCTCATCCTTGTGCAGGAACCTCTATCTAGTTTATCTCCAGAATACTAAGCAGGGAGTCCCATTTTTTGCTTAGACTTTGATTGTATCTCTAGCTAAAGTAGTTGTTTTTTATGCTTTATGTGTAGGAGCATATCAAAGTCAATGTTGAGAAGTGTAGAAAGACTCTGCATAATTTTCGTTATAGGTTTGAGACTACATTCAGGTACATTTCTTATTGAGCAACTGATTTTGGTCTTAGATGTGTTGGATGGCTTTTGCACTCTAGTAGTATGACCTTTGTAGGAGATTAAATACGAATCAAAAGTATCATCTTTATACACCTGTTGCTGATATCACATGGATTGTTTCTCTTGTATATTAGGTTGAGGGGCTTGTTCTGGATCATGGTTCAAGACACCCTGACATGAAAAGACGCGCGGAGAACTGTCACATCCTAACTTGCAATGTGTCACTGGAGTATGAGAAGAGGTATGTAATATAAACTTTTGGGTTGATTGGTTGAAGAAATATGAAAGACTAGAGGATCTATCTCGTGTATCACTACTGACTTTGTAACTTTGTATATATCAGTGAAATCAATGCAGGGTTCTTCTACTCGAATGCGGAACAGAGGGAAGCCATGGTTACTGATGAAAGACGTTCTGTTGATGAAAGAGTTAAGAAAATTATTGAGCTGAAGAACAAGGTGGGTTAAAAACTACTACATCGAAGTATTATGCTGTATTTTTTTCCAGAATATTTACATGGTCTATTTCTCATGCAGGTCTGTGCTGGTAATGATTGCAGCTTTGTTATCTTAAACCAAAAGGGTATTGATCCCCCATCATTGGATCTTCTTGCTAGAGAAGGGGTAAGCTATGACTAGTTTTGTACATTTCTCTGTATCGATAATTATTTCCTGTTATTCCGATTGCCGGAAAAGCACAAGCAAACTGAACTTTCTTCAAGAATCGCAGCTCGTGAACTTACATGGTCGTGATCTTTCTATGAAACAGAAGTGGTAGGCTTGAGAAATACAGTTGGTGATCTACAAAAAAATTGGACAAAATGAATGATTTAGAGGACAAATATGAGAAGATGAATGAGGTGCTTAATAGTCTTCTCAGCTCGGATTGCAACTGTAGAAGGTAAGTTGCATATATTCTTGTTCTGTTTAGCTCTTGTTCTTGTTAGGTTCCTTATTTAGCTCTTGTTCTGTTTTAATGTTTTCAGGGCATAGAACGTGAAGGTGACAGGATAAGACAGGATTATATACATTTCATAAGGTAATTAACTTGTTCTGAGTTGGTATGAATCAAGTTGGTAGTCTTAGCTTCTTGATACTTGTAGTATTGGTATGTTACTTGATCGTTTCACCTGAAAAAATGTTGCTTGGTGTAGTGGTGCAAGTTTTGTTGTTTAATGATCTTTGCATTGTCACATTCTGATCATATCTTGATGTCATATCTTGATCACATTGCTTGGTGTATTGGTATGAAACTAAGTTTCACTTGATGGTTTGATGGTTTCGTATAAGATATTTGATGTTTATGATGCAATTTGCTCTTTATTTTGGCAGGTATGAGAATACAAGGAAGAAGACACAAATACACATTTATACATTTTACTACAAGTAAATTTGAGGTTGTATACATTTTACTACAAGTAAATTTTAGTTTAATTACTATATAAGGATATTTTAGCTTGAATATATATATATATATATATGTATATTTTTTTTTTTTAATTCTAATCTCAATTTAGTATATTTTTTTAAGTGATACTAAATGTCATTTTTAGTATCATTTAAAATCTCAGTTTTAGTATCACTTAAAAAAATATACTAAATGTCATTTTTAGTATTACTAGTAAATAAATGATACTAAGGTTTCATTTTAGTGTCATTTGTAAAAGTGATACTAAATGTCACTTTTAGTATCACTTGTAAATAAATGATACTAAGGTTTCATTTTAGTGTCATTTGTAAAAGTGATACTAAAAAAACTTAGTGTTATTGATTTTAGTGTTAAAAAATGATACTAAACTTTAAAAAAATGACACTAAAAATTATGCTTCTTGTAGTGCTCTGTTGGTTTGGAACTAACTACCCATTGTTAGGTTTTTTTCTTATCCGGTTAATTGATCTAAAGAAAATAAAAGTGTGTTCGTTCACAACCCGTCAAAAAATAAACAATCAAAGCCGATTGCATAGCGAATTAGATAATATAGATTCACCCGAATTGAAATCCATAAACCTTGGACATTTCAACGATTTCAGATTCTAGCTACGATACGACTTCGTAGATTATCAACAATCAAAAATTTGTTATGCAACTTTTGACACCGCTATTATCTAAATGTCAAACAATCGGATTACCACATTTACGATATTTTGATGAAAAATAATAATAATTGTACGTACTGATCGTTGATATTTGTCAACTTATAGATTGGTATCCATGTCTACTTCAAATTTATTTTAAAGAAGTAACCAACAGGGCATAGTGCCAATAGAATAATAGGATGCGACAGAATTTGATCAACTATCAATAACAAATACCCACAAAGTCAAGTGTCAAAGCTTCCTTCTTCATATTTTGAGATCTTTCTAGGTGAATCAATCCTGTATTAGATGGTAGATGCGATCACGGGGTTTGTTGTGGGTAAGATGGGCAACTATCTCACCGAAGAAGCGTCGATGTTGCTGGGAATCAAAGACGAAATAGAAGAGCTGAAAACCGAGTTAATGTGCATACGAGGTTATCTCAAAGATATTGAAGCTCAAGAAAGAGAAGATGAGGCCTCAAAGGTGTGGACAAAACTGGTGTTAGACATAGCTTACGATGTGGAAGATGTTTTGGACAGTTATAACCTGAAAGCGGAAGAAAGATCACAAAGGCAAGGCGTGATGAGATTGACCAACAAAATAGGCGAAAAGATGGATGCATACAACATAGTTGATGATATCAGAACCCTCAAGAGAAGAATCTTGGATGTTACTCACAAGCGGGAGACTTATGGCATAGGTAACCTCAGCGAGCCTGGAGGAGGAGGAAATACTTCAAGGTTTAGGGTGAGGCAGCTTCGACGTGCTAGATCTATTGATCAAGAAGAACATGTGGTTGGTTTGGAAGATGATGCTAAGATTCTTTTGGAAAAGCTTCTCAATGATGATGGGAATAAAACGAGACATATCATCTCCATATTCGGCATGGGAGGTCTTGGAAAGACTGCTCTTGCTAGGAAGCTCTACAACTCAGGGGATGTGAAGAGAAGATTTGAATACCGTGCGTGGACTTATGTTTCGCAAGAGTATAAAACAAGAGATATGCTTATGCGAATCATAAAATCTTTGGGAGTGGCTTCCAAAGAAGAAATGGAAAATATTAGGATGTTGGCGGAGGAGGATTTAGAAGTTTACCTTCACGGTCTTCTAGAAGGAAGAAAATATTTGGTGGTAGTAGATGATATATGGGAGAGAGAAGCGTGGGAGAGCTTGAAGAGAGCATTACCTTGGAATCATAAAGGAAGTAGAGTCATCATCACTACACGTATCCGAGCCGTGGCTGAAGGCGTTGATCAGAGAGTATACGCTCATAAGTTAAGGTTCTTAACAACCGAAGAAAGCTGGAACTTGTTTGAGGAGAAAGCATTTAGGGATATAAAACCGGTCGATCAAGACCTGGAGAGAATCGGAAAAGAAATGGTTACAAAATGTGGTGGATTACCTCTTGCTATAGTCGTTCTCGGGGGGCTTATGTCTAGGAAGAGGCCAAACGAGTGGAACGATGTATACGTCAGTTTATGGAGACGCCTAAAGGATAACTCCATTCACATCTCCACTGTGTTTGATCTAAGTTTCAAGGAGCTGCAGCATGAGTTGAAGCTCTGCTTTCTTTACCTCAGCGTCTTCCCAGAAGACTATGAGATCGATGTAGAACAGTTGATAAGATTGCTTGTAGCAGAAGGATTTATACAAGAGGACGAAGATATGGTGATGGAAGATGTTGCACGGTACTACATCGAAGAGCTGATAGACAGAAGCCTAGTGGAAGCAGTGAGAAGAGAACGAGGGAAAGTGGTTTCTTGTAGAATTCATGATCTTTTGAGGGATGTGGCCGTTCGGAAAGCAAAAGAGCTCAACTTTGTAAATGTTTACAACGAGCAGCATTCATCTACTACCTCCCGAAGGGAAGTGGTTCACTATCTTAGGTACAATGATTACTTGTGCAGCACGGGTGTGAACAAACGAATGCGATCCTTCTTGTTGTTCGGAGAACGAAAGGAATTCGCGGAAGTGAGTTATCTTAAAACCATAACTTTGAAATTGAAGCTACTTCGAGTGCTTAATCTCGGAGGGATTCACTTTTTCTGTGAAGAAAATCTGCCATACAGCATACCAGATGTGATCGGAGGTTTAATCCACCTAAGGTACCTTGGGGTTGGTGATACTTTTATGATTGCTTTTATCTCCAACTTACAGTTTCTACAGACACTTGATGCATCCGGAAACATCAACTACTTCCAGGGGAGGACCGATCTATGTAAGCTCACATCACTAAGGCATGTTACCGGAAGATTCGTGGGAGAATTGCTTATAGGTGATGCAGTTAACCTTCAGACCTTGAGATCTATCTCATCCTACAGCTGGAGCAAACTTACAAAACACGAGTTACTCAAAATCTTCGGATTTGGAGATCTGACTACTATGAGCAAAACTACTGTGGACTTCGGTTCTTTTTCTAACCTGACAAAACTTCGCGTCCTCAAGCTGGATGTGGAGAATATTACGTTATTGTCGGAATCAAAAGAAGCAGTTGGATACATGGATGTCATCCTTCCCAGTCTTGAGTCGCTAACAATTGTCCGAGCAAATCTCGAGGAAGACCTCATGTCTGTTTTCCAAAAATTTCCAAGACTGGAAGATCTGGTCCTGGAAGAATGTGATTACCCAGGAAGAAAGATGAGCATCAGCGCACAAGGTTTTTGTCGGCTGAGGAAGCTTGAATTGACGAGTTTAGTAGTGAATGAGTTGCGGATCGAAGAAGAGGCCATGCCTAGTTTGATGGAGCTACATGTAATTTACCCGGGACGGCCAACGAAGATGGTGATTCCAGATCGTTTGCGAGCGTTTGTTCGAAATTAAGGCATATGATGATGCATTCCGATCATTATTGGCAGCAAAAAAAGGGATTGGGATCACGCGAGAAACGAAGCTAGGTGAACTGTTTTGTTTGCAAACATAGCTGTGTGTAATTTCTAAGAATGTTTATGCAAGAAAATAACGTTTTTCTAAGCCAAAGGCTGCTGATGAGCGATGAAGAAACGAGAATAAATTTTTGGAAAAATCAGAATTATTTTCTTGAGTTGGAATAATCATTCTCATAATTTTCAGATTAATATTCAGAATCCAAATAAAATGAAGATCAAGAGTAACTTACGCCATGGGAATCTAATTCAGAAGTTTTATTTTTTTTATCATGAACAATGATAAAACCACGATTCCAAGATATACTTATCAGCATCATTCGCCATTCCCAAAATCACAAAGAAAAAAAAATACTCAAACCATCATTTAGCGAGAATGGCTATGATCCTCTGGAAACTTTTCGAATGGAAGTTCTGAGCCGGAAAAGTATCATATTCTCATATGATTTTGAGAAGAATGAACAAGGAAAACGAACATAGAAGAAATAAAACCGAAGAAGGTTTCGTAGAAAGTCAAAAATGGTCATAATACATCTTTTTGGTTTGATGCGTGGTCCGACATGGGACGGCTTTGTTGAACTCACAGGGGAACAAGGTCCCATCGACATGGGAATAAATATCAATGCTTCAGTAGCTACAGCGATGGAAAACAGCGATGGAAGCAGAGGATATTCCACTCTGGAAAATCAAAGACAACGAGTTTAAAAATAAGTTCGCTTCCGCCAGCACTTGGAATCTCATTCGTGAAGTTTCGCGGCAAGTTGACTGGTATAAAGGGATTTGTTCTCTCAGGCCACTCCAAAGTATACTTTCTTCGCTTGGCTCGCAATTCACAACTGCTTGTCAACGGGAGACCGTATGCTATCATGGAGTTTAGGTGTGAACCCCTCCTGTGTTTTCTGTCAACACCGGACAGAATCACGGGACCATCTGTTTTTCCTCTGTCCCTACTCCTCGGAGATTTGGACACAGCTCACCGCCAAGCTCCTCCAATCCACCTTTTCAACAGATTGGGAAATAATTGTCTCGCTCATCTCAGGAAATCAACATCGAGGAACACATCTCTTCCTTACTAGGTATGTCTTCCAAGCAACCATACACAGCATTTCGAGAGAAAGAAACGCTGGAAGAAACAAAAGGATCCGCTTTTTTTTTGGGGTCTTCGAAAAGTCTACCAAAGAAATCAGCAGAGGAAGATAATTTTTTTGTTACATTTCCGCACTACTTTCCCACTACTAACGGGCTGTGTAGAGAGGTTGCATAAGATTAAGAGTTTAAGAACGTAGTCCCTTTTTCTTAAACTGGGGCCTAAATCTTTTGATTAGTGAGAAAGTGGTGAGAAACTGTAGCAAAATATTATCTTTTGTGGTAAGAAAGTAACGAGGTTGTAACTTTTGTAATTTTTTATGGTCATAAAAAATTTGTTTTTGATCGTTTCATGGCATTTCATGGCATTTTGTTTTTGTTTTGGAAAACAGACATAACATAATATATTGGGTCGTTTACTTTTGTTGAAACAATAAAAGTAAACGTAATTTATATATATATTTTTTTTAATACTAATATCAAACAAAAACAAAACTTTTAGAGATAAGGCTCAGTTCAGCGGTATTATCGACACAGAAGCGAATCATCCAAAAGAGAAAGAAACGCCTAATTCCGGTCTGTTGAGCTTGAATTTTCCGAGTCGTCATTGCCATCACAATGAATCATATTAACCAGAAACTATAGTATCATAAACATTTTGTAGCTAAAAAAAAGGCTCAGATTAAAGTTAAGAGAAATTCTCAGCAAAAGATCCTTTAACAGATCTATATCAGAGTGGTGCATGGCGTTCTCGAATTGCTCCTCACTGCCACTAATCAATCAAAGAAGAAACAAGAAAAAACAAAAGCCTCAGAATTGGATAAAGTCAGCATAGGCTTCATAGAAGCTTAATCAGTCCCGAAAGATGGTGATCTTTTATAAATCTCATCTCTTCACTGGCAAAATATAAAACGAGAAAGAAATTTATGTAGGTGTCATGGCCGGTCCCAAACGGTAAAGGCAGCAACGCCGCTCCGCAAGGCGATGGAATATGAGACCTTTCCCGACGATGTTTCCGACGGAGGATATAGGATCCTTCTACGTCTTCCACTGCCGGTTAGGGTTTTCTCTGTGACGTTTACTTATAGGGTTATGCAACCACGATTTTTAGATTGCCCCAATCAAGTAACCGATTTCTTGGAGAGAAAATCGCGTCACGTATATTCACTAAGAACTGTATACAATAAACAAAAAAGTAGACTAAACGAAAGCATACGGTTGCAAGAATGAGAGGCAATGAAATTCTTGTAATCTGAGTCATCTATTATATAAAATAAACGGCGGAATGTTTATCAAAAAAAAAAAAAAAGATAAACGGCGGAACTTGGAAGCCCTAATCATGTGATTAGAAATTTTAAATTTTTATGCTAATTATTTACCCAACCCAAAAACAAGGAATGGCCCATTCAAATTATAGCTCATGATTTATCAAAAATAAAAAAGATTGCTTTCATTGAGAGTTGAACTCAAGACCTCCCGCTTACTAAACGGGTGCTCTAACCAACTGAGCTATGAAAGCATCACATCAACAAATGCTATACTATGTTAAACATACTTTCTTTCATGGTAAAAGTGTGGCAAGCGTAGGACTTTGGTGCAACAACTCATCTGTTGGTACATGTTTACTAAGATCAGTGATGCCCCCGAAAGACTGAAAGATGCATCATGCATGGCTGATTTGCCGCACTGGTTCACAAGCATATTCATATTGACAATCCTAATCAAATTTACTTAATTATACTATCAGTCTACCACGTTTCTCCTTTCTCTAACATAAGTGTATATTTCACTCTATTTATGATATCCAATGACGATTGATTTTTTTTGTATATGCAAACTTCAACGTTAATTTGATCTCGAAATAGCCTAACAACGCGTGGATTTGTTTCCTAGTTACATTAATGATCTATATTTTCTCTCTGTTGTCGACATCTCTACTCTCATTTCTTCTTTTGATAGACAAATGTTGACTGTGTAATAGGAAACGAATTTGATTAAGACAAAAATAAAGTATGTAATGTATTCCCACATTGTATATGAAAAAATAAATGGTGTTTCCAGTACTTGTCTTCAAAAACATAACGGGTTCACTTTTACAAACTCTAAACTGATACTCTCATAATCCAAATTGTAAACTCTAATGAGGCTGAGATTCTGTTAACATTAGAAGAAGAAAATTAGTTAGCAAATTATTTCAATGGAGATTTGTGGAGAGCGCTAAATGACACATAGATAATAGAGCTAAATGACACATAATCATTAAAATATATAAGAGCTAGTTTAATTACTTTTTGGCTGTTCGTTTGTTGTTCATTCTCCTTTGCTCTCTTGTACACTAGTAACGTTAAACTTGCTCAGGTTTCTTGCAATATGTTTCACACGGCTTAGCCGTATTGGCCCCAACAGCTTAGCCATCTTCTTCTCTGGTATTCCTGCAACTGCATGTCACCAAAAACGTATATATATAAACAATGATACACCTCTACAGTTATCTCTTTTGTATTTTTCACTAATTAGATGAAGAGCCTACTCACTCTCATCAGACTCAACCAACGGGACGCTACTGGCTCCGGTTTCAGGCGGTGAGGTCAATGCTGCTTGATTGCCTCCAGTGATGGACTGACTCTGGAAGTCGATGAGACTTAACTCAGCTCTCTCTTTTCGAAGCTGGTAGTTTCTGCGGCGCTGAGCCAAATGCTTTTCCCTCTCTTCTTGGCTCATAGATTGTCTTCTATGTCTGTCTCTTTGACGCCACTTTTCCCTTTTCTTCTCTATGCTACCTTTATTCGGTTCCGCTCTTTCTTCCTTCATTCTCTGAGTATCTGCTTAGAATTCAGTAAGATTATATAATAATATATACATAAAGTGCACATGGTTGACAACAAAAATAAATGGAATCAACAATTCTTTTAGCTTCTTCTAGAAACTTATGGTTTATGTTGAACTTTTTTTTGTTAAAGAGTTTATGGAAAAAACAATTCTTCTTCTTTTTTGTCTTTTAATTTTAATGAGACCCATATACTAAGTGGAAAAATTGTTACTCGGCGAACAGGAGAAAAATCAGAGAGCTCAGGAATAAGAAAAACAAAACAGTGGAAAAAACAAAATTAATTCTGCTCATATTCCTCTTTTCTTTTTCTTTTTTCTTCTTTTGTTCTGAATACTTTTTTATTCATCTTTTTCACTTCCCCTCCGAAAGGAGCGAGTTTTTTCCTCTTTTCTTTTTAGTCGTAATAAGTGTGATATTGGAGGAATTGTTTTTACACAGATGACAATTGCAATATCCATGATATATGATATGAGGAGAGCGAATAAAAAGATTCATATTTACGGTGCGGATCTATCAAATGAACTAACAGTAGGTTCGGACTACTGTACTTACGAAATCCATTTTAGATTCTATAAATCTTGATTACCCAATAAGCAGAAGAACAAAATTTTATACGAACAAAAACACAGAAACATGGAGACACTCGCAAATTCATGGTGAGGGCGAATAAGAATTACAAAAGACATTATTGTGTATGAATGACAAAGAAAACGAAAAATAATGCAAGATAGATTAGACAACATACCTGAAAATATGCCGCGGAGTCGAAGCGAGAGCAATGTGGGATAAGGATTCGGCGAATGTTTCTCCCAAATTCCAACAAATATTTTCCTGATAGTTATTTTTTATTCGAAAAAAAATATAATAATTGCTATCTTATAAAACAAAACAAAAAAATTGACCTTCCATTTTAGATCTTTTTTTGTTGAAACCTTCCATTTTACATCTTATTTGTAAATATAGATAGATACACTCCATATAAGTATTTGTTTCCTTGTTTTTAAATATACGGACTTTTGCAAATTTATGCTGAGAGTGGCCAGATAAAAACTACAAAATACATTATTGTGTATGAATGACAAGAAAAATGAAAAATAATGCATAAATTTATACATTATTGTGAAAACTACAAAAGATAGATTAGACAAAATATATTCTTGTGAACAAAATTTAGGCAAACAAAACCACAAAAACATAGACACTCAGCAAATTCATGGTGAGAGCGAATAAGAACTATAAAACATTATTGTGTATGAATGACAAAGAAAACGAAAAATAATGAGAGATAGATTAGACAACATACATGAATATATGCCGCGGAGTCGAAGCGACAGCAATGTGGGATAAGGATTCTGCGAATGTTTCTACCAAATTCCAACAAATATTTTCCTGATAATTATTTTTTATTCCATAAAATTTAATTAATTGCTATCCTATAAAACTTTTAACGTTCCATTTTACATCTTTTTTTGTTAAAACCTTTCATTTTACATCTTATTTGCAAATATAGATAGATACATTCCATATAAGTATTTGTTTCCTTGTTTTCAAATATACCGACATTTGCAAATTTATGTTGAGAGGGGATACAAACTACAAAAGACATTGGGGATGATTGGTAGGAGCTGTGGTTGCTCTACACAGCCCAAAATCTTTCTACAGCAATTTAAAATTACCAATCATGCTCTCATTCTGTCTCTTTCCATTTTTGAAACACAGAGCAATTTTTTATATTTATGGAAGTTCCGTGGCTTTGGAAAGCAATTTTTCTAGAGCACCAAATTAAGTGCTCTTAGAATTTTCTCTCTTCTCTTTCCTTATTATTTTTTCAATATTTATTTTTTAATCTATTATTTCTATATCTTATCTTTTCTGTTTTAACGCTATATTTAATAACACAATCTACAATAAGAAATCCTACAGCACTAAAATCTATATTTACAGCCAAAAATTCTACAGCGTAAAATCTACAGCAAAAAAATTAAAGCTACACCTACATCCAATCAGGCCCATTATTGTGTGTGAATGACAAGGAAAACAAAAAATAAAGTGAAACTTTATGCATTATCGTGGAAACTACAAAAGATAGATTAGACCAAATACATTATTGTGAACAAAACTTATGCAAACAAAATCACAAAATATAGACACTCGCAAATTCATGGTGAGAACGAATAAGAATTACAAAAGACATTATTGTGTATGAATGACAAAGAAAACGAAAAATAATGTGAGATATATTAGAAAACATACCTGAATATATGTCGCGGAGTCGAAGCGACAGCAATGTGGGATAAGGATTCAGTGAATGTTTCTCCCAAATTCCAACAAATATTTTCCTGATAATTAATTTTTATTCGATAAAATTCAGTTAATTGATATCCTATAAAACTTTTTTTTTACCTTCCATTTTACATCTTTTTTTTTGTTAAAACCTTCCACTATACATCTTATTTGCAAATATAGATAGATACATTCCATATAAATATTTGTTTCTTTGATTTTTCAATAAACTAGATGGTTCCGTGTTTTTTTATAATAATGTTGTTCACTACTGAACAGTCATATAATATATGTTATACTTGTAAAATTTAGTATATCAGTAGCTCTAATATACATTTTTATCAAAAAAAATATTTGTGTTTCAAGTATATTTTAAAGAAAAAAAAAACACAGTTGTACGTGTTTTTAGTTTTGTACGTAAAATTTTGTAGACAAACTTGATAAATGATGTGATTAACCAGAGAAGTTGGGACAAAATTATATACCAGAAGGAAGACCCACATATTCTTATTTTGAAATGCATGGAGAAAACCAGTGTTGATTTGGTATCTTATATATTCCAGAAAATTATTTAGTCTGGGCATATTTTTATAAAAATTGTTAACTAATAGAATAATTTATAAAAAAATAGTACGATATTAAAAAAAAGATGTTTTGACCAAATAAAAAACAAGATAAAATAAATATCATGTGACAAAAACACAATTAAATTTATATAATATTTTACTAAAATTTAGCGTTAGTTTAGATCTAGTTTAACAAAAAATGAGAAAATATTCCTTATGTTTTAAATATTCTCCAGATACACGTCTATACTAATACTCCCTCCGTTTCAAATTAGTTGTCGTTTTGGGAAAATGTATCTGTAATTATTTGGATGTATATGGATGTATTTTGAGTTTAGTACATCCAAATTATTACATATACATTTTCTCAAAACAACAACTAATTTGAAATGGAAGTTTTGTTTGACAAGTTTTAACCTGTAGTCACTGTAGATCTATGGTGCAGTGATGAGAAAGTGAACATCTCTAAAGCTTATGTTGCCTACTGGCTTCTCACTTTTCCTTTCAACGACGTGTATGCCTCCGATTCTCTTTCTCCTCATCAGCTTGAAGACCTGAAGAACAGGTTCATCTTCATAGATCTGTAACATAAATGGTGAGTATGTTAAGAACAACAAAGAATGCACTCTTATGGAGCTATGAGTAAGATTAGGAATACAAAGTTACAAAGCTGACCTTTATGATATGATCTTTTGACATAATGGGAAGACGGACTTCAGAGAGAGTTTTGATTCCCCAATCTTCAAACCAGTGGAGCCCCGCGCATTCTGCAAACATATGGATAACTCCTGATTGAGTGATGATGCTCTCGATCTTTGCTTCACCTAAATCAACCACAGGGATGCTCTTCATTTTGTGCTTTGAAAGAAGCAAGAGCATGGTTAAAAAGGAGTTCTCTTTCTGCAGAGCCAGGAACGGTGCCCATCGGAATGTTCCAGAGATCTCGAACCTGTAAGAGAGAAGGATATTCAATGCATTTCCAAAAGCCGTAATCAGGAAAAGAATCAATGGAACGTGTAAAAAGATAGGAGCTTCACCTTGGTGTTCTTCTATAGCTCTGAAGAAGTAAGGACCTCAAAGAAGTTTCCAGAAGTTACTGCTGAATTTCCGTTATCCAGAACATCGGAGGTTAAATCATGAGCAATTCCATTCAAATCTGAAAACAAGACTAATCACTTTGAATAAAAGCACTCCGCATAAAGCTTTTTACTTTAACCCAAAAAATATAATAATTTTTGTAAGGAAAAGAGGAAAAAAAAAAGACATGGAAGAAGGGAGAAAGCAAATTATTCTTAGACAAACAAAGGGAACCACTTTTTGTGTAGTAAAAATCTCACACGCTACGACAAAAGTGCACAAATTCCCGAGCCTCCCACCCATCCAACGGTTCTATATCTCACTTAGCTTATCTAAATCAACGGTTGAGATCTCACCTCACCGCAAGCCCCTCCTCACGGTACTCGATGTCTTGCTTTCGGCCACTCATGACAGCAACGAGAGCTGCCTTTCTTCCGCCTACGTGGCGCTGGGACCCGTACTTACCATGACCATCTGACATATGGGGTCCCACTCTAGGGCGGGAACACAGTTTTCCTCCTTTTTCATTTTTTGGCTGTAACGGATTCGGTCATGCTTTTTGAGAGGAGAGAGAGAGAGAGAGAATCACACTCTCGCAGATACTGTGTCTTGGAGAGAGAGTCTAGAGTGAGAGAGTGTGTGCGTTTGGTTGCTGGATTATTGAGCTAAAAAACAGTTTTGTTTGTTTTGTTTCATATTTCAACCACGGATATAGTAAAAATTGTGGAATCGAAGAAAGAAAAAACATCTCATTGAAGTTTGTTTTTTTATTTTGAGAGAAACAAAGTTTGATACTTTTTTTGTCCCCTCTTATCAAAGGAAATTGTGGTTTTTGTGTGTCACTTCTTAAAATGTTCGATTTTTAATTTTGGAGGAAAAAAGGGAGAATTTTTGAAAGAGGAGCAGATAAGAATATAATGAGCCAACGATTCTCATTCATCTTCTTTGAGAAGGTTTTGAGTTGAATTCCATTTTCTCTTTCTTTGGTGGATTTTCCCGAGAATATATGTGGTTTTTGGGAGCAGAGGATTAGGTTCTTCACTGTAGCAGAAAAAAATACTTGAGACTTTTTCCTGGTATCTTTTAGCTTTCAACTGCTTCAGCTTTCTTGGTTTCTCAGATTTGTGTCAAATCTTGAAAAACAACCAAATGCTTTTCTACTTCGATGATTTCGATTTCAAGTGGCTCGTAGACACAGCAATGGAGCAGAGAAGAAGACGAATAAGAAGAAGCGGATATAGCAACACTCTCTCTCTGCTCTTATTCTTCTTCTTAGTCTTCGCTTCAAGAACAAGCACAAGCGCAAGTTGTCGCCGAAGAACTGTGAAACACTTATCCACAATTCCACAATCATCTCCACCGCTCGAATCAAGAATCACTTCCAAGGTCATCGTCATCAGCATCGTCTCAGGGATTTTAACCGGGTTGGTTTCAGCCCTAGTGTTAGCTTTCTTGGTCCGTTGCATTGTCAAGTACATGAAACAGACGCCAATTCTCAAAGGTCCTGTGGTGTTTTCCCCCAAAATCACACCTAAGTCTCTCCACGCTGCTTTAGGTAACGGCATCCAGTTGCTTGGCTCAGACCCTAATGGCAAATACTACAAGATGGTACTCGATAACGGTCTGGTGGTTGCGGTTAAGAGGCTAGGCTCACTTGAAGGAAATGGCTCACCAGAAGCAACTACTAGTAGTAAGTCGGTTAAGAGAAGGTTGCAGAAGGAGCTTGAGCTTCTTGCTGGTTTAAGGCATAGGAACCTTATGAGTTTGAGAGCTTATGTTCGTGAATCTGATGAGTTCTCTCTTGTCTATGATTACATGCCGAATGGTAGTCTTGAGGATGTGATGAATAAGGTTAGAGCTAAAGAGATAGAACTCGGATGGGAGATTAGGCTTAGAGTTGCTGTTGGCATTGTGAAAGGGCTTCAGTATCTTCATTTCAGTTGTGAGACGCAGATTCTTCATTACAACTTGAAACCATCAAATGTGATGTTGGATTCTGAGTTTGAGCCTCGGCTTGCTGATTGCAAGTTGGCCAAGATCATGCCGGGTTCACACACAGCGGTTTCTTGCTACTCTGCTCCTGAGTCTTCTCAAAGTAACAGGTGTGTTTCAAATCAACGCCATTGCCTTTTGAGTTGTTAACTCCTAATGACTGTCTTTTACTAATTCTTGTATGTATGCAAATCTTTATGAACAGATACACAGACAAAAGCGACATATTCAGCTTTGGGATGATACTTGGTGTTCTTTTAACGGGAAGAGACCCGACACAACCTTTCTGTGGAGAGGCAGCAAGTGGAGGCAGCAGCTTAGGACAGTGGCTGAAGCATTTGCAGCAATCCGGGGAAGCACGAGAAGCGTTAGATAAGAGCATTCTTGGAGAGGAAGTGGAGGAAGATGAGATGTTAATGGCTTTAAGAATCACCATTGTCTGTCTTTCTGATTTTCCAGCAGACAGGCCTTCAAGTGATGAGCTTGTTCACATGCTTACACAACTGCACAGCTTTTAGCTCAATGTTTCTTGTATCAGATCTATCTGTGAACCTAGAATCAGTACATCTGTAGTTACCATCAATATATTTCATTTTTCCGTTAAACTTTGATCACTCAAAATGGTCCAAGAAATTGGTCTTACACTCTTAAACCAAATGGAAGATGACAATCGTACATACTCTACTCAGAAGCAATACAATGAAAAACATAGATCAAGCAATGAGCTCGTAGAGTCAGTTTTCTACTTGCAATGCACTAACAGGGGACCCGTTGCCAAATCTCGGTTGTATCAATAACTCTGAGAGGTCACCACTCTCGAAGAAGGATTTGTGAAGAGCCTCTACGCATCCTTCAGCTTCATCATCGTTAACTATAAGGGAAATGTTTACCTGCAATAATTTTATAACAAGATAGAAATTTGTTAGGTGGGGACGAGAAAGAGAATTTTTTGTGATAAGCAGTGTTGTGTTTTTTACCTTGGATGCTCCTTGTGATATCATCTGGACATTGATACCTTTGGTCCAAAGAACATGAAACGCCTACCCAAAATTACAAAAAACAAAATCAAATAAGAAGCGGAAAATAAATAAAGCCTTGAAGTAATCTTGGTAGGAAGTAAGAACTAACCCTCTCTAAAATCAGGGAGGAATGTTGAACATTCCCAATTAAAGAGATTATTGCCCTTCCTTTTGAAAGATTCACAACTGCAATTTTCTCCAGTTCTTCAACTACATGATCAAGCTCCTATTACAAGAAAAAAGAAAGAAACTGCCTTTAGAAAGAATAAAATATATGGGTTGGAAAATAAAGTGCTGGAGATTTCACAAGAACTTGCCTGTTGAATCAGCTCCCTGCTCCAAAGTTTTGAAGGGTCCAGTGTCAGAGATAGACTGACTTCACTAGTGGCAACAACATCTACGGATATCTCAAGGTCCTCGAATATCGAAAACACCTGGCCAAAAGAGTGAGGTTCGCTTTGATTATTAACAGTACCACAGTTCTAATCTTGCACCAAGTTCTAAGGAATGGAAATTCTGAAACTTAAGCTACATAAATTCGCTGAAAATGAACGTTCTTACCTTTGCAAGAAAGCCAACCTGACCAAGCATTCGGGTGCTTGCTATATCCAACATGGTCACGTTTCGTTTCAGAACAATGCTCGTTAAAACTGTCTGTCATAAGAAGAAGCAGAAAATTTGGTTTTCTACAAAGAACCTCACATGAGCAGCATAAGAAGAACACAAATTAGGAGACTTTATATATATACCTTGGTCATGTCTCTTGTTTTTGTGATGATAGTTCCAGGAGCTTTAGGGTTATAAGAATTTTTAACCCTAACAGGAATCCCACCCTCTCTTGCTGGCCTCATTGACTGTGGGTGCAAGACCTGCATTAACATTTCTTTCTTTTTTTTAGCATTGCCATTCTAAAAATTTCCATGTGGTTACAGCTAATAAGTGGACTTTGATTATTATTTCATACAGGTAGAGTGGGACCTGTGCACCAAAGTAAGCTAGCTCGGCTGCTTCATCGAATGTCAGAAATGGTACTGGTGTTGCTCGTTTATATATAGTAGGGTCACATGTTAGAACACCATCAACATCTTTCCACACCTACTCAATGAAAAAACAAGCATCCAAACTGTAAAGAGAATGTATGCAACGTTTTAGAGAAAATGTTAAAATTTTGAGGCTGTAGAAGAACCTGAATCTCTTGCAAGCCCAATGCTTTACCAATTGTGGTTGCCGTCAAATCACTGCCTCCCCTACCCAAGGTAGTAACCGCACCAGTTTTCCAACCCTGTTATTGAATGAACTAATGAGACGAGCCACAACAACAAAAATGAAAACCGGTTATTTATAGATTGCAAAATGTTAGCAATACCTTTCCAAGAAAACCTGTTACAATAGGAACAGCAGGATCATCCACCCAATCATCGTATAATCTCTTGGCAACGGCTGGATAAGTTGCTTCCAAGATATCCCCGTTTGTGAAATCATCCGTTGTAATGAAACCAATTTCAAATGCATCGTACTGCAAAGTAATTGTCGATAAATCTACTTAGATTTGTTTGCAAGCCGGAACATAAGTGAACATCTCGACAAGATGTCATCTAGAGTCTCAAACCAAGGCAAGCTTAGCAAGCAAAAGAGAAAGTACACCAAACTGTGTTACCAAAACTGAACCTTTTTCTTTTCGTTCAAACCAAAACTAAACTAATACCAGAGTTTTCTGACCAATTCAGAGTAATACTTTCAACTTGCTTGTATTATTTTCTAAACGAAAGTCGAATCTGGATTGAACAATTCTGGCCTAATCTACTAATTTACTTATTAGTCAACCCAGTGAAATATATAGAGATTCTTTCTTAAGGAAAATTAAACTAATACTAAAATATGATGATGGACATACTTGGCGTGCCTTGACACCGATTTTGTTAAGATAAGCGGCGAAAATCCTTGTGGACAAGCACTCTCCAAAAGAGACTAAGTAGTCTCTTGTTCGAAGTGTCAACTCTTTCATCATGGCTATGCCTTTCAGGAGCTGCTCCAGTTCTTCTAAAAAGGCTACAAAATATATCCAAATCTAAAGACATCAATGCATGTAGAATCTTAAATGTTACCGAACTCAATACAAGTGAACATTTATGAGGCTACTTAATATAGCAAGAACGAAGCTTCAAGTATTGCAAAGTCTATGCTTACACAAAAAAACAGAGGGATCAATCTGGAGCTCTTTCACAGTCCTGAAACAACAACAAAAACCATATTCATCAAACCAACAACAAGCAGGAAAGGATACTCAATGTACCAAATTGATCATATTTTTCAGGAAATTAAAAACCTGAGATGCAATTCCTTGATAATGCTTAACTCCTCAATCTCAGATGCATTTGAAACACCACAACTCACAGCCTTCTCTCCCGCCTTCACTAGCACCAAACCCGAATTTCAAAATCACATAAATTTCAAAATCACATAAATGTCAAAAAATGAATAGTAAGTAACAGAGAAGAAAGGAAAGAGCTATCAGCATTTACAAGGAGGAGATTGTTGGTAGTTTTCCCCATTGCGGAGAGAACAATGACCGGACTTTCTTCCGGAAATGTCAAAATCAATTCCGCCACTTCCTTCATTCTCTCCGCAGACGCCACCGAAGATCCGCCAAACTTCATCACGCAAGTGAATCTCTTCTCTTCTACCTCCGTCTCCCTAATCGCGTCTGTCTTCTTCTCATCCAAAACAGCTCGTACGGTGCTTTTGAGGCATGAGCCTGAAACTCTCCTTGTACACGAGCTGCCATCTCCAATGGATAACAAGAATTTCCTCGGGCTTTTCAGTGCAGCGAAATCGACACGATTCGGAGAGATCGGTAGCGTCGGCGAGTTTCGGTGGCCGGATTGCGGCAATCTGGTGAAAGGTGCATTGCTGTGACACCGAACCCTAGCAGCCGCCATCGGAGAAGAAGAAGAAGGCTGAGACTCGTGTTGTTGTTGTTGATAGGTTTAAAACGACGAGAGATGAAATCGTAGAGCTCAATTCAGTCATTGGTGAGACGCCAAAGAAGGAAACTTTGAAACCCTCTGTTTCTGCTCCAAAACGGCGTCGCTTTATAACAAACGAATGATTTGATTTGACCCGCGTTAGTTGATGTAATAAAATCGACCGTCTCTTTCATTTGTCACGAAAAAGCTCTAAAATTCTGAAAAAAAAATTCATCTTCAACAATGACGATTCTCACTTTACAGTCCTCGTTTAGCCCTTCCCGGATTCCGGTAACAAAGCACGCGAATTTCGATCAAATCCCGTCGTGGGTCTCTCTGAAATCGAGCACTTCGTCAGTCAAAATCGAGCATAAGCAAGGGCAAGTCGAGAATCTTCATTTGGTTTCCTTGTCGAAGCACGGGAAGCTCAACGAAGCGTTTGAGTTTTTCCAAGAAATGGATAAAGCTGGCGTCTCCATCAGCCCGTATTCTTACCAATGTCTCTTCGAAGCTTGCAGAGAATTGAGGTCTTTATACCATGGGAGACTCCTGCACGATCGCATGCGAACGAAATGTGAGAATCCTTCTGTGACTCTTCAGAACTGTGTGCTTCAGATGTACTGTGAGTGTGGGAGCTTCGAGGATGCAGATAAAGTGTTCGATGAAATGCCTGACTTAAACTCTGTTTCTCGCGTGACGATGATATCTGCTTACGCCGAGCAAGGGCTTCTGGATAAAGCTGTTGGTTTGTTCTCGAGAATGGTAGAGTCAGGAGAGAAGCCTACTTCTTCCGTGTTTACCACACTCTTGAAATCTTTGGTAAAGCCTAGTGCTTTAGGCATTGGTAGACAGATTCATTCTCATGTTATACATGCTGGGTTATGTAGCAACGCATCTATAGAGACTGGGATCTTGAACATGTACGTGAAATGCGGTTGGTTAGTTGGTGCTAAGCTAGTGTTCGATCAGATGGCAGTGAAGAAACCGGTGGCGTGGACGGGATTGATGGTAGGTTATACTCAGGCAGGAAGAGCAAGAGATGCTTTGAAACTGTTTGTGGATTTAGTAAAGGAAGGTGTCGAATGGGACAGTTTTGTGTTTTCGGTTGTGCTTAAAGCATGTGCTTCTCTTGAAGAGCTTACTCTTGGTAGGCAAGTTCATGCCTGCGTCGCTAAGCTTGGACTGGAATCTGAAGTCTCGGTTGGAACTCCACTCGTTGATTTTTACATCAAATGTTCCAGCTTCGAGTCTGCTTGTCGCGCATTCGAAAAAATCACTGAACCAAACGATGTTTCCTGGAGCGCAATTATTTCTGGATACTGCCAAATGAGTCAATTTGAAGAGGCTATTAAGACCTTTCAGTCTTTGAGAAGCAAAAATGCGGCGGTTCTAAATTCTTTCACTTATACTAGCATATTCCAAGCATGTTCTGTGCTTGCGGATTGCAACATTGGTGGGCAAGTCCATGCAGATGCTATAAAAAGAAGCCTGGTTGGATCTCAGTATGGAGAAAGTGCTCTCATTACGATGTATTCGAAATGCGGATGCTTAGATGACGCCAATGAAGTCTTTGAGTCGATGGACAACCCTGACATTGTTGCTTGGACAGCTTTCATATCAGGTCATGCCTACTATGGAAACGCCTCTGAAGCTCTGAGATTGTTTGAGAAGATGGTGAGTTGTGGCATGAAGCCAAACTCGGTTACGTTTATTGCGGTGTTAACCGCCTGTAGCCACGCAGGCCTTGTTGCAGAGGGCAAGCATTACTTGGACACGATGCTTCGGATATATAAGGTGGCTCCGACGATTGACCATTATGATTGTATGATTGACATTTATTCACGTGCGGGACAATTAGACGAAGCTCTGAAATTTATGAAGGATATGCCTTGTGAACCTGATGCAATGAGCTGGAAATGCTTTCTAAGCGGGTGTTGGACTCATAAGAATCTTGAACTGGGTGAGATTGCTGGTGAGGAGCTTCGCCGACTCGATCCAGAAGATACAGCTGGTTATGTTCTACCGTTTAATCTGTATACGCAGGCTGGAAAATGGGAAGAAGCTGCTGAGATGATGAAACTAATGAACGAGAGGATGTTAAAGAAGGAACTGAGCTGCAGCTGGATCAGAGAGAAGGGTAAGATTCATCGGTTTATAGTGGGTGATAAACACCACCCACAGACTCATGAGATCTATGAGAAGCTCAAGGAGTTTGATGATTTTATGGAAGGTGATGTGTTTCAGTGTAGTATGACAGAGAGAAGAGAACAGCTTCTTGATCATAGCGAGAGGCTTGCCATTGCGTTTGGGCTGATATCGGTGAATGGCAATGCCCGTGCACCTATAAAGGTGTTCAAGAATCTCCGGGCGTGCCCAGATTGCCATGAGTTTGCAAAGCATGTGTCTTTGGTTACAGGGCATGAAATCGTCATCCGAGATTCTAGAAGGTTTCACCATTTCAAGGAGGGGAAGTGCTCTTGCAACGATTACTGGTGAGTAGTGATCTTTAGTGTCTGTATCAGTAATTCAGTATCATCTATCAATCATTCTGTAGATACTTTAAATTGGATACTAATCTGAAAACGTGGATATATTATGTCAAAAGTAGTGCGTGTAACACAGTTCTTCGGTTTACAAAACTGGATTAACATGTTTCCTGTCTGCAAAGTATTCGAACCAGACAGGGAAAAGCCGTACGATATACAATACTGTTAAAAGCTGTGGTAACATGACTGTCCTGGAATCCTCAGGTGGTAGGTCATGACTACTGGTTGGACCTGGAGGCTTCCCACAATCTACGTTCTATCCGAAGCTTTCTTAGCTCTGTTAGCCCTTGCTCAACTGAAAATTTGAACCAACAACCAGTTTAGTAATTGTCTTATGGGTACTCCTCTTATGGCTAAATAGGAATTTGGTATAGGATAGACTGTCACAGTACCTTCCATGGCGTCATGTGAAGATGGAGAGTGTGCACTCCTGCCGATCCAGAATCTAAGACGTTGTCGCGCAATGTCTACTTCTATGCCTAGGGACAGTGCTCTTCTCCAAAAGTACGTGAGCCAAGCCTGCCAAAAGTACCATATGATTTAGTTCCAAGGAATACATAGAAGAACAGAAAACACAATACGAGGACAAGCCCATGAGAGATTCAGAGAAAGCGAGAAAGAGGTTGGGGTTCTTTACCTCCTTGAAGAGAATATCTTCAGACTCTTCTGGACTCAGTTCTGCAACGG